AACCCCGTCCGACATCCCTGCGGTTCATGGGATGCGAGATGGAGATGGAGCTTAATCTCACCCACCGACCGGTGCGCCGTCGCAGCCAATGTTCCCGGAGCCACTCCGACTCGTCAGTCTGCCTTGCGATCGCGATGTACAGGCTCACTAGGCTCGGTCTGCGTCCTCCAATCCTCACACAGAGTCACACGAGACAGCTCCCCCAGAAGAACGAGATGCTCAAACCATCTCTGAGTGAAGAATCAGTCGCTTCGGTCTGAGGGTGTCCAGGGTCGCTAGTTCGTCCAAGGACATCATGGAAGTTCGTCTGGTACCATGTCTCGGTCGACTCAACACCAGGAATAGTATTCAATCCTACCCCAACAACCAACCCCCTTTTAGCTCTGTTCAATGGTAGCTAACGGTCCAAAGTTGGTTCAGAGCCGTTCCTCGATAGCTGCGTAGACCAAACTCATTGCCGCATAATATGATCATATGCGAAACCTACGCCCTCATCGCCACTCGGCAGCAGTTGGTGGGCAGCCAGTGGACAACGTCCGTAGAACAGGCCCTCCACTTTGGCTTTACGCGAATAAACCTCCCATTCAACTCAGACATGCAGGTCACGTTTTCGCCTGGTTATCCTTTCTCTGTAGTGCCCTGAAGGTTCGACGATATTAGTCCAGCATCGCACATGGTAACCCGGTGGCTTAGCTCGTTCAACATTCCACCAAGACTGCCTTCACCGCAAACGGCAACAACAGGCTGATCATCCTGTACAGATATCCAGAAGGCCTATCAGACAGACAGGCATTCCGCAAAAGCACTCCGCGTGTCTCGGCCTAGGTTCACTCGCCGTCGCCAACCCCAGTCAACGCCACTGGTGCTCGTATCGTGACCCCAGATCATCTTTTATTAGAGTTCAAGTTGCCGCTGTCAAGTGACGGCCTGGTTGGCGCACGAGATTGTTTGTTGTTCCAGATGATTTCCTGAAGTGGGGGTTCGAAGAAAAAAAGTGTGGCTTTCTGTACACTCGCTGTATAAACTACGGTCATCGTGAAATTACATCAAGCAGATCTGGTACGCGAAGAAGGGTGTCTGCAGATATTATGTCTGGACGCCGCCAATCAGTCAGGTATGCTTCTTGATACACTGTGTGGCAACACCGTCGCACCATGCTTCTGGTTACACGTTGTTGGCCATGTCCCGCTCGCAATTGGCAGTTAGAGGAACCCGGGTGTGAAACTGGCTCCATCATGCCACGAGATCAGACTTGGCCGGTCGAGAAGTCTCTGGAAGCAAGCAATAGGCTCATGGTCTTATTGTCTGGGTGTTGTATAAGGAAACAAGCTTGGTTCGATCAGCCGCAGATCGCCATGATCCTTCAGTCTCGTCCCCATCCGTACAGCCACGTGATCGATATGACACGCGGAATGAGGCTACATCTCCCGCTTATGCACGGCGGGAAGCGGAGATCACGCCGATGGGGCATGCCCGGGGTCCATTACCATGGTCCAGTCGAAGCCTCGTGATCGATTTGGTACTACCTCCGATGCGCAGTGTTAAAGCCAGCGGCCACTTCTGAATGATTGCTTGTGTGGAGCAACATCCGAGGGTTTCGTTGTGTATTTACGCATAATCGCAAGAGACGGGGCCTGTCAAACCTATCGTACCGGCATTCGCAGGAGAATGATTCGATGTGCCAAGAGGGTGGCGGTCGATCGGTCATATCATATGGTAATAATCTCTGGTCTTGCAACGTCGGCTCTCTGATGATCCTGATATTTCGGCAAGGCAACGGCAGTTGTCTGAGAAACCCGAGAAAGACAATTCTAATCGGCCGTCCGGTGCCGGGTAGTCGGAAACCTTCCACAATTTGCGGCTCCCTAGTCTTCACTTGCCACTATGCCGATTTGGTTGTTGGCAGGTATAACTTTGACTTATGCCAGTCTATTTTATGAACCTAATCAGGCTCCTGCTATGAAGTTGTAATTCTACGGGGCCGACAGAAACCATTCAGAGCTGCATTTCGACCACAATTCCGTGGCAAAGTCACCGATGCCCGGGCTCGTCGGCTACGTATGGAGACGCTGCTTCGATATATGCCATTGGGTCAATGGGGAACCGCCGCGATATATCTGTATGCACAGCCTCCAACGCCTCATCAACGCTCATCTTCCAGCACCAGACAAGGGTCCTTAATCCGTGGCACTATCGGAGCCTACTTCAAAATGTCTCAAGGGTTCTGCGCCCACAATGTAGAAAATTCTCACCGGGTTGAGGGAAGCGAGAGGCGAAAAGGGCCCTGAGGCCTCACATTGCCCCCTCCGGCCCAGTCCGGCGGACCCCCTCAAAGTGGACATACCTTTGATTCCTGGTCCTCAAGCGTTGCAACCCCACCCACATTCCTTCTACGGTTCGAGAAGCCGAGCTCCCGCGAAATGAGATCGTTACGACATGGTCGTGACCGAGGAGGGCAAGAGGGCGTGAGTGGGCATAAGTGGAGAAGGGGCGTGTACTCTTGTCTCTCAGAAGAGGCTCCGCGGGGAGGGGAGACTTTTTCTGGCTAGACATATGGGGCAAACCTCCAGTCATTTTGATGAGCGCTTCTTACCGTCACGTGGGCGATTGGCTGCTGAGTCTTGACGGGCAGTTATGGGGATACCCAAGAAGGAGGCAGAACGATACTCGCGACCTCATGAACAATCCTGCCTGCTGCCCAGCCTCGTCAAAATTGGCCCAAGGGTCTATATAAGATTGGACCGGGCCAGAAAACGCCCAAAAATGGTTCTCTTGCTTGTGAGTCGTTGGGACAGGGAGCGACGTTCGAGTCATGCTTAAATGAGGAATTCCGTGTGTGCAAATCATTGAGCATACGCTGCTGCGTCAGTTCGTAAGCTCCGGTGTTCACTGCTGAGCCTTCTTGAAATCTCCCGCTGCGTACGTGGTGGGCTGTGCCGGGGTCGCAGTGGTGGGAAAGCTTGAAGGGGGTGCCGCCGGCCTGCTTGGGGGGTATGAGTCGGCGCTGCAAGATCTAGGTCAACACCATGTAATGAAGTGAAAGGGGTTGGTGAGGCAGTGTAAATGAGCTATTCGATGTGATTGTGACCACCCTATTGAAATATTCGGGGGGGGGAGGGGGCTGATGAAGTACTATTTTGAGAGCTGTTAGCTTTTTCCCGAGTCAGCCGTTCGACCCAGTAGCCATCGTTATGCCATGGTCACGCATACTGCCAGTATCTATGGTGAACCCCCTTTCAGCTGGACGCTCCTCGGATTGTAGCTGCCCAACAGAGCGTCGTAGAGGCAAACCCACCACGCTCACGGCCGTATCTCGCGGGGTCTTGCGGATTTCCGAACTGCACGTAGGGAAGCTGCTTCAACATCAACTGGCCCTCATTGCCCCGGGCGCCAGGAACGCGGTCGTCTCTCCCACAAAGCAGAGCGCCCCTAGTTTCCCCAGGGTAGGATATCTGCAGGCGGGACATGACCGGGCAGCGAGAATCTCTCGCCACCTAGTCTTGTACGAAGGAGCTCAGGTCAGTTCTTGGGTTCTACATTACAGAGTACGGCAGTTGGCCTTTGGGATCCATTTTCCTCTGGGAGGGGAGCCTAACGGCAACTCAACTTTAGTCTTGCCAGTGATGATCCGACCTCCTTTGATCCCCCAGAACATGTTAGCCCCGAAATCAGTATGAACCCAAGGATAAAGTCGGTGGTCAACATGTCACAGCCGGTGCTTGGAACCACGAAGCCCAAGTCGATCAAAGACCTCCTGGGAAGCCACGAGCACCTTTAGCCACCGGGTCTAATGCCGTTCATGTATGAGGGCTCGCTCAAACGAGCCATGTTAGCCTCTAGGTAGGCTGCGGCGACGAGGGCGACGGGACATAAGCGCTGGCAATCCACAAGGAAGGTCAAGGAGAATGTTGATGGCAGTATCCCGCCTGATATAAAACATGCTGTGATATGTTAGCTCGCTCCGATGCTAATCAGCTTGACAACATTCGCCTACGGCACATCGGCGGTCTTTTTCATCTTGCTGGAGGTAACACTCAACATCCCCCTATCACAACTGACGGCCGTCCGTCTCGCAAAGCAAACGGAAGTCAAGGTTCGATCACTACATAATATTTGCATATATGTGGTGCCGGCGTTACCAGCGTAAACGCGGCCTGTGAACATAACAGCGCGACTGTGTAAGAATGCAGGAGGCACCCCCTCACCTCTTATGAGCCCGCAGTGACGCATAAATCTTCAACCATGGGAGAAAATGGTACATATTACCATGGCTTGATTGCTTGCTTGGCTATTAGCATGAGGAGGAATCATATCATATGCGCAGATCGGTGAAGTGCTCTCGCATGACCCAGACGAGTGTCTCGGGGGCGAGAACCGCTGGTGGTTTGCCGCAGAGACATCCATGTGGCAGATGAGATGCAACAACTCAGAAACGCTATTTGCTTTGAGATTCTGGCTGGAAGGCGACGTTGGTAAGGGTTACAGGACCAAGACTGGCGAGTCCGTTGTAAGTTATCAACGACCAACCCCCCAAAGAGGATTTTGAAAGATGCGGTCATCGTAGCCGTGGGCATTCGGAGCAGTGAAAAGAACACTTTGGGAGATGCAGCACTTAACATTTGAGCCTTGAGATTGCGTATGAACCCGATGCTTGAGGTGTAAATCCTCACCTCGGAGGGGCCTTAAGCCAGCGCTCAAAAAAAAAAAAAAAAAAAAGAAGAAGCCAAGAGCATGGTGGTGATCGGCAATGCAAACATCGCCGACTCGAGGAGAAGCAGGAACGATCTATCACGTTACAAATCAAACATCAGAGTCAAAATCTCTTGTCATTCGCGACGTGGTATCTTAGTTCATCGATCTAAGGCAAAGCAAACCCCGCTCCCTTGACTCCAGATGGCCGAATGCACGCGAGACCTCCAAATGTCTCGATAAAACTTTTTTTATTATCACAGAAACGGTGTCCTTGACCAGGACCGCGACAGAGCCTCATCAGCCGAAGACTATCTCCGTCTGGAACGGGTAGTTGTTGGCGCAGGCTCAAAGGCATCATCGTCAGAGATCTCATCATCGCTGATCTCGACCGCAGCCTGCGAGGTCGTGGCTTGTGAGAAGTTGAGCTTCGTCTGGCGGCCCTTCGGAGCCGCACGAGCGGGCTGGGACCTTCTCGCGCGGGTGGGCGCGGGTGGCTCTTCAAAGTCATCGTCCATCACCACGTCCTCCTCCTCGGATTCGTCTTCGAACACAGCCTTTTTGCGGCCTCGAGCAGGCGCCTTCTTGGCTGGCGCCTTCTTCGCCGGAGCTTTCTTGGCCGGGGCCGCCTTTGTGGCTCGGGTAGTGGCCGCCTTTTTAGCGGGTGCTGGACGAGGTGCTGGCTCATCCTCCATGTCCATCAGGTCATTGTCATCATCCTGTGTTTGTGCCCTTCGTGACCTGACAGGTGCTCCAGCCACTGTCTCGGTCTCGACTACACCAGGTTGGTCCTCCCAGTGTCCATCCAGATCCGAATCCCATTCATCCGGCTTCGGCTTGACAGTGCGCTTCGTTTTCCTCTTCAGAGCGCCCTTGGAAAACTGCTCCTCAAGCTTGGCCCGATAAGCCTCCATGGCGTTGTCGAGATCTTCCTCATCTGAGTCGAGGCTGAGCATCTGCTTAACCTGCCCGGCCAGAGACTCGCTAACAAACTCCTCCATCGCGTGCTTGTCGTCTTTGTTGACAAACTGGTTGACGGCATCACCGAAAGGTGCCGTTGGCAGGATTTTGAGAGACTGAGCCATCAGGAACTCCTGCACTAGGGCCTCGACCTTGACAGTATCAAGACCTAATGTCTCCTCCAACATCTCAGGAACGTCAGTGCCGGCGTTGCGTCCTGAGCCAGAATTAGCTTGTGTAAGAGCAGTAGCATACGAATACTCACTCGAGACCCCAGCCTTCTTCCGATGGAAGTAGACTACATCATTGGTGTTGGCGACCTTGCCGATGAACCTGTTTGAAAAACGCTGAGGGTTCTCGCAGTCGTATTGACCTCCCTCGGGGGCTGTGTATTCCACCTTGAGACGGATCAACGGTAGTGGAGGCTCTTCTTCATCGTTGTCCTGAACGGCGTACCATTCTTCGTTGGCCTCTTGGATCATCTCCTCGACTACCACCATCAGTCTCTTGGTAAGCTCCTGTCGGTTGTCCTTCTTGGTGTGCAAGCCCTTGAATCGCGGGTCGGTCGCTAGCTGGATCTCTCTCGTGACGAAGGGTCTTACCGTCTTCAAGGGCAGCTTCTCGACCCTGAATTCCTTCCCAGTGATGTTTAGGATGGCGACATGTTTCGGCACCGCCTCGCCCGGCACAAGCGACGTCGCAACCGAGGAACCCGGCTGCATGACATGGAAGCCTGTCTCGGGGTTTTGCTGAGGATCAATCAAACATTCGTGCTCATGGCCCCAGACGATAAGATCCATCCAGTCGGGCAGCACGTTCTCAGGAAGGTACGAAGTCGCCGTGTGGGCGTGGTGGTTTTGGTGGACGGTGAGCAGGTTGAACCAATCCGACTGCTGAACGCCCGGCCGAAACCACTTGACCTTGTGGTCCCGAAAGGTACGGAACATGCGCTCGTCACGAACGTTGCTCAGTCCGAACAGCGCAAGCTTGGTCTGGCCCTTTTGCAGCAGCACCGGCTTCGCCTCGATATTGTCGGCCTCGGCGATGCGACCAAAGTAGTTTACCAAGCCAGCGACTTGGAGCAAGTCCAGAGAGCAGAAGTGACCTTCGCCGCTGGGGTCGTCATGATTGCCGTGAATGGAGAAGACGGGGATGGAAATGTTGATGTCTGGATCTTCGTAGTTGACGTGGGGGAAGGCACCCTCGAAAACTTCGTTCGCATCGCTGAGGAACTCGAGCTCGCAGGGCTTCATGCCGAGGCAGTTCTTCCGAAGACTGCGCATGACCTGATACATGGATTTTCGGGAGGGTTTGTTGTCGTGGAAGAGGTCGCCGCCCAGCAACACCATGTCGACCTACATGCGTCATGTCAGTCGACGGAGCATTGGGGGTGAAAACACAGCGTTCGTACGTCCTGGCTCTTTGCGAGGTTCAGAATCTCGTCAAAGGTCCTCCAGCTGTCATCTTTGCGTATCGGGTCTCGCTCTTCGTAGCCGACGTGGTTGTCTGTCGCAACCAGAATGCGGATGGTGTCCGCCTCTACATGCACGTGGGGTGTTAGCTAACTAAACATTGGTCGGTGGGAGGGTAGGCAGGGAGCAGAACATACCTGTGAAGTTGGGCATGGTGTCGTGTAGACCAGGAAGTGAGCCAGTCTGACGATAGGCATATACGAGAACCCGAGGACTACTGTTGGTCGGCCGAGAGGGTTTGCTGTAGCGAGCTGACGAGAGGAAGGACCAGTTATGGGTCGTGGGGTCGGCAGCTTAAGTGGCCGTCGCGCGGCGCGCCTCCCGTCAATAGGCAGCGACGCGAAAGTTCGAGCTGCCGCAACTCGCAATCACGTGAAGGTGGAGAAAACAGCCGAACCCACTATTCGGTGTGGCTGATGCCTGCCTTCCTTGCCTTCCATGGGAAGTGATGACTGCCTCATCTCAGGAACCAGGCACCAGCCACATAGAAAGGCGGGAGCCCGGACCGAAAAACTTAATAAAAATAAAAATAAGCTTACCCATAAGGGTGTGCAGCATGCCTTTTCACCCGTCCGTCGCGCCCAAGCCTCTTCCACCTGTGCCCAGGAAGGCATGTCTGTTCGTTGTGGCTTTTGCAACGTCATGCTGTGTGAACCACATGCTTTGTTTCTGAGTCCCCAGAGACTTGGTGCGTCACGTCTTCGTCAATGATCACCACAACAGTCGATCGGCTTCAAGTTCCGATGTTGTCTCTTCTCTCTGCCAGAGAGAATCACCGTATCACGACGTTAGGTACTTTTTGCTTGCTCTTTATCCGATTTCTCGGCTGGTCAGGCCTTGCCGAATGACAGAGTCCTGGGCAGCCTCGCAACACCTGTGTTTTCTAGCGTGATGGCGTCCGAGAGGGGGCTGCTCATGACAACAAGTGAACTGTCATCTTTTGGAGGTCTGTGGTCGCTGCCATCTTCGATTCTGGTGTCGGACTCGTCGAAACCATCGAGTTATGGCAGTCTTTGGCAACCGCTCAGCTTTCTGTAGGCTCTTAAGCCGTCTTCCCTCCTCGGGCCCTTGTCTCGATGGTATGCCATCGGCCTGCCTCGACTGCCGCGTCTGGCCCCGCAACTCTTCAACGATCCGATGGCCAGTCCCATAGGTTAGGCGCTGGCAAAGCTCGGCCGACCAGTCAATTGGCTGCTGCCATATTCCCAACCCGGCAATTCATCCCAATAGTCTCTGGCGGCTGGCCTTGGCAAAGCTAGGATCCTCTCATAACCCTTACACCGATTAACCCACCTCAGTCAAATGACTCCCGGAAACAGAAGGTTGTTGTGACCTCAAGTGGCCCCAGCCAGCGCCGTTTCTCTTGCGAAGTTGGCAAATCCGACATCTTTGGTGGCGGAAAGCTGTAGTTTACCAAGCAAGCTGGCTCTAGGCATGATCGTTCGAAGGTGTCAAATTCGCCCAAGAACTTCGCTCGTATCAACAGTCACTCACCCCCCCTGGAGGAGAGCGATAATGCTGCGGCTTAATCCCAATTAGGGAGGTTCGACTGTATTGCCCCTGGTTGGATGATTGGCTGTCTTGGCGGGAGCTTGGCATGCACGTATAACGGAGTCGCGATGCAACCGTACGACCCTTAGCGTTAGCTCCCGAAGCTTACTCGTCCTTCCGCCATTTTCGTCCTTCCAGATTCATCTTCGGCCGCCGGACAGTACCGACCACATCGCCCACTCTCTTCCCCACGTACACTACCTGCCGTCTTTGGACTCTTCGTATGATGCAACGCGGCATTCACCCGAGTGCCCTGGCAGTGAAGCCGAGGAGGACGGGCGTGGGGGAGCGGCTCCCATCTTGATTCGGTCGTTGGCAATGCCAAGCCATGACCGACGAATGGGCTCACAGATCCGACCCCCAGGTGGTTCCCCCGAAGCCGCCCACCGACTGACTCTCAGTCAAGCTCATTTGCTTTGATTGAGTTGATGTAAGTTAGCCTCAAATAGGAAGGCATTCACGCTTACCGTACAGCATTGGTTCCAGGGTCCCATCGCCCTCCATCTTTTGACCTTGAATCTCGTCCGCACTTGCTCCTGTAGGCTACTATGAGGCTGGAGCCAATATTTGGAAAGCGGCGACCTTCCGGATAAGTCCAAGGTGGATATCAGCGCCGGTCGGCGATCAGCGAAATTAGGAGGCGAGGCAAGAGCATCGTCGAGTATATATAATCCGGTCGTTCACCATCAAGGTTCCTCCTTCCTTTGCTCGCCATCCCTCTCAGCTCCTAATCCGGTCTCCCTCGTTCGACTTTAATCCAATCGTTCAGCTCGACTTTGATCCAATCGTTTAGCTCGCAATCATGCAGGTCACGTTTACTCTTGTTGCGGCCCTCGCCGGCATGGCTTCCGCCGCCGTCGCTGGCGAGAGGGGCAGCTTCGGCTGCGCCACTCACGAGCCCACCCTTGAGCACATTGAGATCTCCAAGAAGCTGGCTGAAGAGGAGGCTACCAACGCTACCCTCTTCGGACTGGCTGCCGCTGCCACTATCACTGTCCCGACCTACTTCCACGTCGTTGCCTCCTCCCAGACCGTGGCCAACGGCTACATCACCGTAAGCAGGCTCGCGGCCTCCCCACGGATTCCGCTCGTGCTGACAATCCAAAACAGGACAAGATGCTGTCTGACCAGCTGGCCGTCATGAACGAGGACTTCGCCCCCCATGGCATCTCCTTTAACCTGGTCCAGACCACCCGCACCATCAACCCCACCTGGGCTCGGGATGGCGATGAGTTGGCCATGAAGCGTTCCCTTCGCAAGGGCGACTATGGCGCACTCAACCTGTACTTCCTGCGCGATATTGGCGGCGCCTTCGGCTACTGCTACTTCCCCACCACCGCTTCCCCCGGTTCCGCCAGCTACATCCGGGACGGTTGCACCATCCTCTCCTCCACCGTCCCCGGCGGCAGCTCGACCAACTACAACCTCGGCCGCACTGTCACCCACGAGGTCGGCCACTGGTTCGGTCTCTACCACACCTTCCAGGGCGGTTGCACCGGCAGCGGCGACTCCATCGCCGATACCCCCGCTCAGTCCAGCCCCTCCTCCGGGTGCCCTGTTGGCCGTGACTCTTGCCCCAACCAGCCCGGCGTTGACCCCATCCACAACTACATGGACTACTCTATCGAGTGAGTTGCTCAGGTCTTATCCGAGTTGACGACTGTTGCTAACGAAATGATAGCTCTTGCTACGAGGAGTTCACTCCCAACCAGCAGACTCGCATGTACAGCTTCTTCAACCAATACCGTGCTTAAAGCGCTCGCGCTTGTTGAGGGGTTGTAGAGGTGTTCAACGGGAACTGATAATGTTTATGTTTATGACGAGGGTGAACGGGAATATGAGTTTAGGAGGAGGACTTCTTGGACATACTTAGCTACTTTGAAGTGATATAGTGATATAGTTCAGCCACCTGAGAAGCCATGTTATCTCACCTTGGAAGAGGAAGTAGAGATCATGTACTCAAGCTGATTAATTTCAACCTGCAGCTGGCGTTTTACGCCCTGCCACATCCACACTTGACAGCTTTGCCTCGCAAAATCATTAAACCAAACATATTTACCTTACTAACCCTGATCCTATCTATAATATGATTCTTAATCCGACCTTATAATGTGATTCTCAATTCGATCTTATAATGTGATTCTCAATCCTATCTTATCTATAATGCGATTCTCAATCTGATCTCTAATCCTGCCCCAACCCTTGCAGCTTATTCCACAAATTTTGGTAGAGTTTCTGTATCGATTGAAGGAAATTGGTACGTTGATGAGAGAAATGGAATCACGGGCACCTCGGTTTCTAACCCAAGTAAGAAGCCTCGACAAGGAAGCCTACCGTCAGCTTCGAGTGACGGAGGACAGCGTTCCACTGAATGCTCTCGTAGGTCTGTGCCACGGTTAGCTCGGTGCCAAGTTTTCTGTGCAAGGAAGGCTCAACATACGTCTCTGGAGCTGTGGATGTTGGGGTTGGAGGTCCTGAAAGGCTCCTCGTTGACAAAGGCAGCGGCTAATTGCCAGTCAGCAAAATTCTCGTAGGCAAAGCACTTGTACTTACGGAAGCCGTTGGAGCGGGCACTGGCATGGTCGGAGCAACCGTAACCACAAGACGAGCTGGCAGGGGTGGCACCGGTGAACTGAGCGGTGACAAGACGGACGTAGGCTGTGAACGCGCTGTCGACGTAGTCGGTGTAGACGGTAGCACGGCCGCCAGGGGAGTAACCGGTCATGTCCTGGTTCAGCATGCCCAAGACGCGCTTGCCAGCGGAACGGTAGTTGGAGAAGATGGCCTGGGAGCCGAGGAGGCCACCCTCCTCACCAGCGTAGAAGTGGAACTCGATCGTGTTCTTAGGACGGAAGCCAGCAGCCACGAGGACGCGGAGTGCCTCCAGGAGGTTTACAGTGCCGGTGGCGTTGTCATCGGCGCCAGGAGAACGTGCAGTGGTGGACCCAGCGGTGGAATCAAAGTGTGCTCCTACGATGACTGAGGGGCGTGTAAGCTGGTGTAAAAGAAATGAAACGAGTTGGCCGAGGCCATAGGGAACGGTTGTCGACTTACTGAGGTTGGAGCTGGTACCGGGGTACTTGACGATGATGGAGGGCTGGTTGAAGGAGTGGGTGAAGCGCGACACCGTGATGGCCGAGTAGCCAGAGGCAATGCTCACGGCCTGGTTGTAGAGCCAGGTCGAGGCCTGGGTGCCGGTGGTAGAACGGTAGTGACGGTTGTTGAACCTGAAGGTTTGTTAGTTTCGAGCGTTAGATGGTCCGGGTCCCATATGAGTTGACTGACTCGGTCAGAGTCTTGAGCCAAGACTGGGGGTTGGTGTTGCTGACGCGACTGATGAGCGAGTTGGCCTCAGTGACGTGGGCGAGGGTGGTCGGGTAGGTGATGGCTTGGCGAGAAACGAGGGAGGAGACGCTCTTGGGGGCGATTGAAAGATGATTGAGGACCTCCTCATCCTAGTGGACAGATCAGAATCTCCGTTTGTCTGCCAAGAATGATGTCGGGGCAGCGCCAAGAAGACTTACAGAGATGTCGGTGATATCGATGAAGCCAATGCCCTTGCTGGTGTATTTGTCGAATTTCTCATCCTCGGTGACCCAGGTGCCGGCATCATCCTCGGAAGTCTTGATGAGCCGCAGGCCGGGGTTGACGTGCATGTCGTCAGTGGCAGGCGCGGCAGCAACGAGGCCGCAAGAAGCCGCGACAACGGCGAGGGTGGTGCTGAAGCGCATGGTGTCTATCAAGTATCTAGCTTGGTGGCGTTGAATGAAGCTGAAGTTGACAGAGGCCTCGGGAGGGGGGGGCTCGCGTGAGAAAGAAAAAGAGGGAAGTCATAGACGAAATGGAGTGAAGAGTTGATATATATCAGGTGGCTTCTCGTTGATGCTCCGCTCCTTCCTTTTCAAGGACTGTGCGAGCTTGGCAAGCACACAACTACCCCGAGTAAACATCCGTACCTACCTAGATAGGTTACCAAACAGCAGTGAAAGGAAAGAGCCACCCAATAACCTGGCTTGTCAGCTGGATGGGTGGGTGTACCTAGGTGGGTAAGTTTTGGTTGCGGGGGATCATCTGCAAGCCCGGGCTGGGCCGTAAATTCCTTCAGCAAGAGCCGGCGGCACACCCAGCTGCCGAAAAAGGCATCTCGTTCGACGCTCAGGTCACAATGGGCCGTGAAGCCACAACACTCACATTGGCTCATATGTATGGTGGCATTCCATCGGAGCAAGGTGAAGCATGGGGCAGGAGGATCAGGAGCTTTAAGCTTATTTAGGTCGCCAAGCCACTGCTGTGTAATCAGCTGCCATATTAAGTCTAGACTCGACCGTTGAGTGTTCAACGAACCAAGTTACCTAGTTACAATGTGTTCCCTCTTCAGGCCGTACAGGTACAGGAAATAATAACCATACACAGCGGTAAAAAGTAGAGCTAGGTATCGTGCCCCGTACTCGACAGAACATGACGTTTTAGAAGAAATACCGTGGATGCATTCAGGTATCAAGGTACCCATCCTATTAATTGAGTTTGCGGGTAACAGTCAAAGCTTGATCTAAACCATAGAGGTCAAGAGTACCTCTTGGGATAAACTTTTCAACCGACCGTTAAACGGGTTGCCTGTGGCCTTAAAACCCATTTTCACTCATGCTCGCCATGGCAAACAAGGATCGCACCATCCACATACAAGTCGGCATACCTACCCTGCTGTCATACCAAAAGACCCCGTTTCTCTGTAGGAGGCTCCTTGACTCTAGGTACTTACTATGTTGCTCGGCTAAATGCTCAATGCAGCAATCCAACCTTAGGCTTCATTACAACTCACTTACAACGACGACTCTCACGACTTCCTAACCGGCTCGATCGCTACCACTCAAGCACTGTACGAGATAGGCAGCCTACCCAGTAGACCATGCCAAGCCGTCCTCCGTAGGGGCAATCAAGGTTGCAATGCGACAGCAGCACGGATATTTCACAACAGCATGAACTCTTATAGTCACTCGCAGCCTCGACGACATCTACCAGCCAGTATTTTTCCTATTAGATTGCTGCCGGTCCTGGTCTAATCCTTTGCCAATACCCACGACTGCTAAAGGTAACGATCGTTTCTGTGTGAAAGCAATTAGAGGCAAAAGATCAGTTAATATGCATTTTCGCGCGGACGCACGAGAGCAGCATATGTGATGGATGACTTGTTGGAGGCTTGGGACGGTTTTCTTATTTTAGTGTGGGTTCTCTAGCCTATTGTGTATATGTAGCCAGACTCTAGCGGGCTGACATGCTACTCTTTCGAATGCGCAAGCCCGCCCCTCCAGTACCGCTAAGTATTTCCCCCGTCAGGCCAGCCCTTGTCTCAGCAAAGCTTCTGCATTCCAGCTTAGAAACCCTGCTTCTTGACCTGAGCCTTAGCCGCAGCGATAGTCGCATCCTTGTTAGGGTCGACGAAGTTGCAGCCCTTCTTGCCATTCTGGAACTGCGCCGCCTCGGCTGAGCAGATGCCGACGCCACTGAGGTTCGCGCAGCAAGCGGACGAGCAGTCGGCGTTGTCGACGCAGCCTCCGGTGATGAACTGGGAGCCGTCGCCCTTGCCGACGTTCCTGGCGCCGGCATTGTTGGGAGAAAGAGAGAAAGCGGTAGCCGCAACTACGGATGGAAAGTTAGGTGGTGTAGCAGATAACTTGTGGCTTAGGAAAGGCCTGCGACTTACAAGCGATAGTAGCGAAAAGGGTGATGCGGACCATTTTTGCGAGTGTGGAGTTCCGAGTATGAACAATGATTGTAAGATTAAAGAAAGAATTTGTAGAAAATGCGACGCCAGGTCGTTCAAGCGAATGTATTTGCAAGTTGATTCAGAGTTGTGAGTGATGAGTTTTAAGATTAGAGCTTTGGGATGGCAACACCTTTGGTACATATATATTCCAACAGATCTGGTGTGCGCTGTCATCGTTTCGTATTTGTGGATGCCATTCCCTTACTCGGCTCGACCTTCGGCTTCGGCACCGTAATGCCGAACTGTAACGCTGGTGTCAAAGAACCTGAAGTCTAGCCCTGGAAGACTGAAACTTGCCCGTAATAAACCCTCGTGACCATCGTCGAATGATCACTAGATACTGCTCATAGTTCCCAGTACCCACCAGGTTCGAATCATGACATGTGTCATCCGAACGGCCAGTCCCGTTTTTAACTGTCTGATCGTCATCTGATCAGGGCTTGACACGCCGCCTATCAATGCGCACAGGGCCACTATTAGAGGCCAAGCCTAGTAGGGGTTTACTGATCTACTCATCAATATGATCTATAATGATTCAGGCTCTGATAATTTTGCCTTATAATCACGACAGTATGTTGCAAGTCTGTACTCGGGCAACGGAGTCCGTTAAGCTTGACCCCCACTCCCGCTTCAGTCCACCATCCGAAATGGACCGTTTGAGGTCCAGTTTCATTGCCGTGCATCTATCTTTGCCTCCCCTGACACGCACTAGCCTGCCGTTCTCATCCGACATGGTCGACCAAGTAACTGTGCAGGCTTGCCTTAACCCCTCTCGGTAATGGCTAGTCACAGTTACAGCCTGCAAATAGTTTGGTGCGCAGCGTGGTCACAGACACCTGAGTGTTCCATGTCGTAACCTTATGTTTGATCCATCCAGTGAGCCTTGCGCCTTGCCAATCATACATTCAACTCAATGTAAGATTTAGAATTCATTTGCTGCGCACGCAGTCTAGTCATCTTTGATCTTGTCTGATCTCATCCTTGTGACAAAAGCGTGACTTGCTAGGCTGCTACCTCGCCCCATCGACCTTTGGCCTACGGCAGGGGGGTAAGGCTGGTAAGGTTGGTTCAGACGTACAGAAATTATGCTGCAAACACCATAAGAAGGGTCGGCAGCTCGCATGGTGCTTATCGCCAAGTGGTACCAAGGATAGTTAGTGCATGAGCTACGTGTAGCAGGTTGTAGACGCCGGTGCGTCGGTGACCTTGCATCCCACGCATCACCGGCAACGGTTTGTGGGCTGCCAAAGCAGGCCCGCTCTTTTATGCCTGTAGTTGTATCCAATTGTGACTCCATCTGTCAGATGCTTTTCTTGATAGGTCAGCTCTCAGGAATTGAGCTGGTGCGAGATGACGGCTTGTCCGGCCCGGTATCCGTATAGGTTGGGGCAGGCCACCCGGTAACTCGGCCGATATTGCTCTTGAGAGAGCCTGATATCATCATTATCGCAGGCGAGTCAGCTTTGATTATGCGACAGCATCCCACCATCCAAAACAATACGCATATGTAATGGACCTTCATGGCTGTGGGTAAACTCGCGGAAGAAAAGGCAGGTTCTAGAGACCAAACTCTAGGATCGAATCCCAAATCATGAGCTTCAGGTCAAATGATGCCAGATCAGCTACAAGATCTTGTCCGGAGCAAGAAACATCAAGAGGCAAGTAGTGTAGTCCCGAGACAACAGGAGATTTAGGTTGCCATGATGGTTCACAGAACTCTATATCGTCTGATGATCAATAAACAATAAGTCCCCGGTTGATATCTCTCCACATAGGTCTATAGCTAAATGTCAAACAATCTCAATCTCGACTACCGTAGTCTTGTCTTGTGGACGATAAGAGTCTTCGCCGTTCCTCCACAGCGGACTTCTCCTGCTTGACAAAAGCGCGACCCTTGATGCTCACGAACACCGTAAGAACGACTCCGACAATGGCGCCCGCGACTCCGAGTGTGATATTGACTAGAGTTGGATCGCCATGTAAGGGGCCATGCGTAAATGAGTCAAGCCCGGATTGGGCAAAGTTAACAAGGCCCGACACACAAACTATAGTGCCATAGATACGTCCAAAGGTCGCAAACCCGAAGACTTTCGTTGCGTAATCGCTAAGAAATAATCAGTATCGGTATCTGTATCGTCCAATCGCAAAATTTGGCTTGACTGCGCAACTTACGATATGGCTGAATAATAGAGAGGTCGAAATATGACGAAGAGAACAACAGTGGCGTATCCTGCCCAGCCAAAGGGAGGATAGTTAAGAGCACCAATAGCGATAATCAGTGCGGTCAAGACTCCGAAGGTGACGGTCACGCTAACCTTGTTCAGCAGGACGCCTATGAACGGAGTAGATACCAGACCACCGATTGGAAGAGCAAAATCAAAGAAGCGGTTGATAGCATCGGCCTCGGCCTCGGACCCCAATATGAACCGATACTGGGACTTGATGGTTGCAATAAAGTAGTTCATCTTCAGCATCTGCACAATCGTCAAGAGCAGAATGAGAATGAACCATGGGCTCTGGATCTGTTTATGAGCGGGAACACCGTGCAAAACACCCCATACACCGCTTGCTCCCTGGCGCTCTTTGTTGGTCTTGGTGCGCTCCTCCCGTTGCTCAGCATCGCCAGCGACCTCTTCGATCTGGTTCAACTCCAACAACCGGCGATCGGCCCGATCGTTTCGCACCTTCCGAAGCTCTCTGGTGTCCTCGATTTCCTCGTCTGATTCGTGGACATCGAGCGCATCATCTTGGGCCCTTTCAATCTGGTTCTCTAGCTGGTGTTTAGTCTGATAGGAATGAATCGGCATGTATGCGAACTCGGCGACGATGATCAGAAAAGGAATTGAAAGGTATGAGAAGAAGAACCATTTAAGCGATATCCTGCCACTAGTAGCTTCGTAGACGGTGCGATAGAAGAGGAACACGGCTGCGGACGCATCAAACGCACCCGTTACCAGTGCTATGATGAGTCCGCTGTGCTTGGGAAATGCATGGGCAAGTTGGAAGCTGGACACAAATACAAAAGTGCCACCCAGTGCCAGAAAGACGTTGGCGAGCAAGTATCCGTCAAATCCGATGATGCTATGCGAAGTAGCCATCAAGAGACAGCCAATGGTGAGGCAGGTGGATGACACGATCCAACAAGCTCGCCTGCCATAGCGATCAAGCACGTAGCCGGCTATGAGGGAAGAGACGTTTGTAGTGACGGAAGCAACGAGGAAGAACAGGTTAAGGCGTAGATCTTGCTTGGTGCATGGGACGTAATCGCCGTCTTCAATCAAGCTTGGGTCATCAGCATCGCATAACTTGCGGTAAACCCCTTCTGAGATGAGAACAGGCTTGAGAGCGGCGAAACCAAAGACAAGGCCTGCAGCCAGGGAGCAGGCCACAATTGCGGTAGCTACCTGTACTATGCAGTGTTAGCTTCATATCACAGAGCACCAGGCATCTTACCGCAGCTGATCACATACACCAACGTTTCGCGTTGGAGACCCTGTACGCGGCGATTGCTTTCTGAACAGCGTACGTCTTCAGGGGTGCGAAATTCAAATGTTTCCATTCTAGATTGTTGGCTGTCTCCGTCGTTTTCGGCTGAAGTAGACTATAGACGGCCTCGCGGTTGCCATGGTCTTCGGTTTGGTCTTTAGGGCGCTCGTAATCAAAGCCTTCGGCCTGAGTGACGTGCTGAGCGAGAGACATTGGCCAAAGTCAGCAAAAGCTTGTAATGTTATGAGCTGGGAAAATGGCGGCTTAAAGATTTCGTCTTAATAAAAGAGCTAGCAAGCCAGGCCGGAGTGATTGGAGGCAAGGAAGGATGAGGCCTGTTGAGAAGAAGATATACAATACTCCAGAATCAAGGAGAATTTTTGTGCTTCTATCGAGTCTGCTCTGGCGAGCACAGACATGTGACGTAACAGCGAAGACATGTTGTTGAGGGAAGTGGGTAGAATTCGAGGTTTCCAGCAATTTCCAAATCCCCATGCTCGGGCCAATTTTAGCTATCGGCTATCGGAGTGGGGCCGCGTCGCCTCGTTGCCGGCTCGGCCCGTTAGTGGAGAGAGTTGGCCCCCGGTCGGGCTTTCGACTAATTCACTCATGGGCTGGTTATTGTTGGCGCAGCAATTCAATGCCGGTGCCGATCTGTACCCGAGATTCATCTGCAAGTACATGCGTGGGAAGATGCCGCCGATAAAGTTGTGGCAGTAACAGGGTGAATCTTGCGTCGGTACCTAGCCATAATCACTGCTAGCAAGATGATGGTTGGTCACTGTATAGTTGAAAGTGGCGATGCCCTGTTATGAACGCCGATATTCATAGCCAGAAGTATCTAGTGAGATTGCAACTGCGCTGTCTGGGCCCCGAGTCCCCAACTTCTCGATAAGTTAGCCAACTAGGGTTAGGAAGCAGCAGCGGTGTGTATCAGATCCCCATGGGCCAAAACCAAGGTCCTCTTGCCATATGCATCTTGCTTTCAGGCATCTATCAATTGGTGCCCATGTATTGCAAACCCTGTCTTTGGTTCACAGAGACGCCGGTAGTATTTTGCCCAAATGCGTCAACAAGGCTGCCTGGTTGCCCGGGTAATCGATTAGGCACCGATTTCTGTCAGCTGTGGCTTCAGTATCAACAGGCAGCAATTTGCAGGGCTATGTCAGCAATCGATGACAGTGCAACACATGCTGGGCATAAACAGCTTTGAAATCATCAGGGAATATATCAAGTACCCTCGGCCCTTGATATTAAGACTGAGTGCAATGTGACTATTGATTCGATCTATTACTTCTACTGACACCGTACATCGTCAAGCACCATGAATGAGTACCATATCAAGCACACTGCCTGGTATCAGGCTTCTGTTGAAGCCTTCGGCAACAAGGCGGCAAAACAGGGCCTTGCCAGTCTTCAAGACTCAAATATTACACCCACCCGGACATGATAGTTGCAGCCCGATTGCGCCCGATCTTGGAGGATGAAGTGGCTGCTGGCCTCATTAGGGGTGTTTTCCCCCGCAAGAGCGGTAATGGCGCTGTTGACATTCACCAAATTCGAAAGCACATTAAGCCGCTAGGGCCACCAACACTCATCGTATGCTACCAGGCGTCAAACTACGTATCCTTGCTCAGAACTCTGTAGAGCTAACAGATTGCATAGTCTACGTCAGTCCGCCTCGACCGCGCCTAAGGCCCGGAAGACACCTCTGAGCAGATCTATCAAGACTTAGTACAGCCACTAGTTCCTTGGGCATGGTGCGGCGGCCTGAGTACCATGTTTGCATATGGCCAAACAGGTTCCGGCAAAACATTCACCGTCAGCGCTACAGAAAAGCTGGTTGCTCAGTCATTGATGGACGGAAATCTTGAGGGCGAACGAAAAGTGTATGCGTGCATCATTGAGCTGGCGGGCAACTCCTCTTTTGGTATGTTCTTCGGATTTACGCTGGTTGATAAGTGCTCCGTATTCACACATCTGGTGGATATTCTTAGATCTATTGAATTCCCGCAAGCCTATTTCCATCTTGGAAGACTCTTTTGGCGTCACGCAGCTTGCCGGACCCATGGAGTTCGAGGTGACTGAAGCAGCCACCTTGCTTGACCTAATCGACATAGCAGCGAGTTTTCGTCGTACTGCATCCACTCTGAAGAATGATGCATCGTCACGATCTCACGCCATTTGCCGGATCCACATCGAAAACCCAGAAATTCCAACGGCCGATGATGGAATTTTGTATCTTGTCGATTTGGCAGGGTCTGAAGCCGCTCGAGATGTGGCCAACTACACCGCTGACTGTATGAAGGAGGCTTGTGAAATCAATATGAGCTTGTTAGTGCTGAAAGACTGCATTAGGGGCAGAGCGACGATCGATGTAGCATCCCTGACAGGAAAGCCTAAGAAGCTGACGCACATCCTATTACGCTAGAGCTTCCTCACCAAGATTCTCAAGCATGTGTTTGATCCCGCTGGCCGGCGAAGTTGTAAAACTGTAGTTGTGGCCTGTGTAAACCCTAGTCTTCTAGATGCTGGCGCTGGTAAGAACACACTGAAGTACGCCGAGATGCTACGGGTACTCCTGCCTAAGACAAAATCTTAGGTCTATAACCCTGAGGTTCCTTCTTTGTGGGCAAACAGCGAATTAAAGAGTTGGATTAATGCTAACGTAAGGAGACGATTTATCCTGTGCTACCTTGTTGGCTAATAGTTTATAGTCCGGAAGCCCTGTAATTTCAGGGGATGTTCTAGCTCCCTACGAGACGGGTGCGCTTCTTCTTTGCCTTCCTACGCCTGAGTTCCTCACGCGGTGCTTGAAGACCCCTGGCGTCACGCCAGACCAGGCTCGTGCATTTTAAGCCAAGTTATGGCGCTTACACGTTGATTCTTAGAAGCCTAGTGCAAAGCTGCCTGAGGTCAAGACTAAAGACGATTCTCTTCTGGAGGGGGATGGTAAAAAGACAGCAATGAACCAGGAAATGCTCTCCTCGAGTGCTGATCCAGACCCAAACGTTGTCCAGACACCTTTCAAAGAGCGGATTCGTCCTGGAATGGTCGTAGGCTGGAGCCCTCCACCAACATTCTCTCTAGGAATCGACGGTATGAATATGGTGGTTGTGCTGAGTCCACAGTCTGCCGTGCGGTCAAATGTGCGGGATGTAAGCGGCGAGCTGATCAATGATGCAAGCAAGAACGGCGAGGCAACAAGTATCTCTGTGCAGTGGTTCTTCCTGGGTTTATGGCTAACTCTTATGAGTTGAGCATGTGGCGTCAAGTTGTTGTCGATGTTAACCAGATGGAGGCGGAAGTGCTCCTGGAGTATGATGTGGCAACGAGGTATTACTACATGACAGTTTAACGGGGACCAGAGAGAATTCACCACTATCAGTTGCATCAAAGAACTGTCATCGTTCAAGATGTGGTCCAAACGGTATATCAACCTACAGCAGATACCCAAATATCGAAATGCAGGGCCATCCCTGTCAAAGCCGGCCACTGTCTGGTACACTTATACCTATACGATGTGTTATTCAACCACTGCTACTGTCAATATAACAAAGATGAAAGCCTGTCTAACCATGGGTCGACCAATGGCGTTGAGAGATATGTGAAATGATGGCGAATAATCACCGATAGCCTACGCTCCATAAAAGTCGCTCCGTTGTGCTGGGTCCGGTTTGTGCTCAACCTCAGAATACAACTCAACATGTCGCTGTATTGAGTCTATCTATCCCGACCTAGTCTCTCTTCGTCGTCATCCATCAGTTCGTACGCTGGCCGGAAGCCAGCGCCGTTCTCTCCTTGCTTCTTTAACTGAGGGTTGGGATGGGTATCTTGCGTTCCGCCTAAGCTCGTGTATCCCTAATATAGAACGTCAGTTGTTGTTGCGCACCGAGTAATGGAACGGACATACTTGGTCATACAGAGGACAATACGGGATGTCGAAATGTCGAATGAACTGAGCCCTGGTTAGCCGTGACCTTTGCCTAGTCGCCTTGTCCATGTCTGCAGTCATTCGTCTGAAGAAACAGGTACACCCGTTCGTTACTTACTGCCCAGATTTCGGCTGCAAAGAAAATAAGTTAGCCTCGGAGTAGAACAGAGTTCAAAGCTGAGAATTGAAACCCCCGTGTCCCACGAATCTTATTGAAAATGAAAAAACCAATCCGATCAAATCAAGAATCATGCGACGAAATAGGAGCGCATAATGAGCATACCATAATGCCAATCAATAACCGGGTGCACCCGCATAAAGTCGGGCCAGCCGGAATCGGTGGGATCGAAATGTGTCAACTTCTCGCCGTGGGGATCTGTCCTCCTTGTCCCGACGAAGATGGCTTTTACGCTCGGCCGGTCCGCTAGGTATTCACCTAGTCCCTCTTTCATTGACATGGCGTATCGTTTCACGTCCAGGTGGTATTGAGAACTCGTGGTTTCAACAAAATCGTCTACTTCGGCAAAGGGGTGTTTGGAGACGATGTACACGGCTTGAAATTGGTTGGGGAAGAAGGATGTCGCGTCGTTCGAGTTGTTCGAGCCATTCGACTGGGAGGATTGTGGTGGTGAGGGATAACGACGAGCGAGACAGGCAAGTAGCATGATCAATAGTACGAGACCTGCCACCGATTGTCAGTTAACAATCCTCATACCATTACAGCCTCTTCGTGGGGTGACGAGCGGCAAAACGTTACTCCAACGCGGGCAAGCGATATGTTTGGCTGGTGTCTGAGCACCAGAGGTATGGGGCAGGCAAACGTACAGTCTTTTCCTCCATTATACGAAAGCGAAATCTGTTCCAAGCTGTGGTGGCGCATCAGCGACCCATCGACAATGTAGGTCAGGGCTGACAAGGAAGCAGACGCACCTATACCTCGCCAAAGCCTCGTCTACTACGTCCATTGACACGCGCATCTGCGCCTGGACATTGCGCAACACATCCGTCTTCTGGTCCTCGGCCAGAAAGGCGTCTACTCTGATCCGCAGCTCATTGCACACATCGTAGAAGCTCCTGGGAGACAGCTCGGAAGAGTGGGGTTTGGCGGGGTAGCCATTGACGGCCGTGGCGGCGTGGTCGCCATTCTCAAGTACCATTGTAGACCGCTTATTTTATGAGTATGGGGATGTTCAAGCCCGTACGGTGATCAGAGAGGTGTCGAGAAGCAGAGGGAGCTGGGCGGCGACGAAAGGTAAATGCGCAGTGAATGCGGGACGCGAGTGTTGATTCGATGTCCTCGGCAGGCGGCGATAGACGACGGGGACTTAATACAGGCTGGCGACATGCCCATTCCGATTCTGCCGGCTTACCTAAGAAATCAGCGCTACTTTCGTCGTCGACCGCCTTCTGATGGAAGCCTAGCGCGGCACGTGAAAGTCTCATTCGTCCTAATTACCTAATGGCTTGCCGGGGTTAAAGACCCCGAAAAATCAGAATATGCGCTAAGGCCACACATTGACAGCAATTCTTTAGTGTTTCAAGGGTCACCCTTGGGTCCTTCGAGCAGGTATAAGCTACATAGCGGTTCATCGCAAGCTGTTTTGAAGCATCCATCTTGGGTCGTGAAATATGCCCAGTCACACGTTGCTTACAAGCGATGAGAATCCTTATCCAGGAGGAGCCCATCGAGTGGTACATGCTTACTTGAAGCTGGCTTACCCCATTGGTTGAAGGCTTAACTATCCAGATTGCCTGACGGCCGGCATGTCTCTTCGCTAACGTTTATAGTGTACATGCTTGATGCATCTTTTCTGAGTGTGGATTGCTGCATAGCTCTGGCGCCTTGCTGACCCCAAATGGAACTTGAGTTGCCAAAACAATCGTCTAACAATGTAACGCATCTAAGGTGTGATTCACTCCATAATTGGCGATGGTTGAGATCGAGAAAGAAGCCTGGCCGGACTGGCATAACATTGCGGCGGTGGGCTCAACGGCGTTGCAACTTCAACATCCACCGGCCCAAACTCTACAGAACCGTCGTCCGAATCCCCGGCTGTCAAGGCGGAACTAGCATATCCCATTACTGAAAGGCGGTTTTCGTTGAAGGCCGCACTTGATGGTGTTTTCGGCTCTGGATTACCCGACTCCACATTCACAAACATCGGAATCGAAAGACTCTGCTGGCTGTAACTCCCAAACGTACCCCTGTTCAGGGGCTTTTGTTTAAAGCAAGCTTTGATGCTTGGCTCTGTCATCTGACCATTGTATGAATATTGCGGTCGGTTCAACTTGTTGATAATCAAGAGAGGCCGAAGGGTCGGTATGCAAACACAAGTGACGGCGCAACAGAGCTCGGCCTCTGACCAGACCAATGCTGGAATGATATCCCAGGATGTGTCCCCTGTGAACACGTGTGGGAGAGTGGACATTCTGACAATGGAGATACACGTTGTGCTAACGTCAATGTTAGCCAATCATGATCCTGACAGAGGGTGCCAATCTATTACACTTACACAAAGCCAAGCCCGAAACTGACATACAGGGCGACTTTCTGCATCGGTTTCAACTTCAACTTGCCGAGAATAGCAATGGCATCACAATAATAATGATGTCGGTCATCAAATGCACACTGGCAGTGGCCAGCCACCACAATCCCTGATCATAACTTGCGTGCGATCTTGTCTCCCTTCTCCATTTGGGAGTGTTGACCACGATAGCTGAGACGAAGAGCGCGATGCCAAACATGCCGATGAAGCCCACCATGATGTCACAAAATAATATGAATGTAGGGAGGATGAAGGCTCGTCGGTATTGTAGGAGGAAAGCAATTTTGACCACGATGAACGTGAGGTGATAGCACAACGTTGCCGATATCACCAACTTTTCACCAAAGTCAGTACCCAACTGGAATATGGGCGGTTGTCTCACCTTTGATCTGATGCCTGATTGATTAACGTCTTGTGAAAGTGCCCAAGCATGCTTCCCGAGGCCAGTAATTGTGCCTGTGTTCATGAGGTCAGCTACCGAGTTCACCTTGAACATGGGAAGAAACATCGACTTACCTATAGCAAATACGATGCCTGTGGACAATGCCAGTATCTAAAATCAATTCAGGCATGGTCCAAAGCAAGAGCTGCCTAGTGACTGACGTATGCAACAACAACAAAAGAATCATCCGCCCCCCATTTCTTCATCAGAACAGCTCGGACATGGACACGAAGCGCTACAAATACAAGTGTGAATGCGAGAAAACCAGCGCTCATGCCGATAAGGAGCGGTCCTCTAGTTTCGTTCATGCTTGACCGCGCCGTTTGATCATCTGGGGCCGGGGCATAGTCCATTGTGGTCTCTTAATTGAAAGGTAGAGATGCCTATTAGAAGCATGAGCGGTATGGGAGATTAGGCGGACAGTGAGTTTCCCACAACCGGTGGTTACACAAAAGGAAACAGAAAGATTTCGTTGAGTATCGAAATGAGTGTATCTAGCAGTGCCAAGGAAAAAGACGGTCCCAGTGAAATGGGAATTTGGGCTGTATAAGGCATACAATGTGATTCCAGAACAGTTTTGAGTGGGCCCTTGAACTGGCACTTACTTTATCCGGTATTCCTCTGATCGCTAAAGAAGACACATTGTCTATAACTGCTGGATGCGTCAATGCCGCAGATTGATTTAGCCGCTACGATACTCCCCAATTGAGCGTATGTACTGCGCCTCAATCGTCTAAGTATATTGATTATGCCGTCATGCTAGACTGCCGAAACTTGAAAACAAAGATAGCGATCGACATGAGACGGGATTCTCCTGGATCGTTATCAATCAAAGACCCAGACACAAACAATGCATGTAGTCTGTAGCCCCTATGAAGAAGATGACAGAGCTTCGTTTTCGGATCAAATGCCTTCCGATAATGAACCAACGTAAGCCGCATCTCGTGTGGCTACGCTGGTAGCCCTATTTCTGGCTTACGCGTCTGAAGGGTATGCCACCAAAGGGAATTTCCAATCACGGTAGGACAGCAGGTCAAGAGTGTCTGGAGTGGCCATGCCATCGACTTGAAAGCCAGAAGAGGCTACGCCTTAAGTCGGTCGTGGATATCTTAATGTATATGACCAATGGTGGCAATGATAAGCTTTTCAGTTCTATTGCTTAAGTCGCCTTTCAAACCCCATACAGCTGTTCTAGAAGTGTTTTACTATTTGTAATAAGAAGACAAAACGAACAAAGTTAGCAGCATGGGTAACGCAATAGGTTTAGTTGAGGAACTAAGGGTAGCAGGACAAATGAATGGCGTCAAAGGATTAGCTCTCCGCTCAATATAGATCAACAAATACCTATTAAATTAAAACGGTGTATGTAGGGTCTCTCAGTCTTCATTTGCACTTACCAATCCTGGACTCTGCGTTCCAAGCATTGATAGCGTTGTGCTCCTTGATCGTGCTCCAGATAACCACCAAGGCATCGGTAGAACACCACCGTTCAACAGCGCCAAAATAGCTCCCTGTCAGCAGTGTCGGAAGCCTCTTTGTCGTCACTATCGGCATTAGCTGGAAATAGTTGGACCGAGTACAATAGAGTTGTCGACGAGAGAAGTTGCGGCCAGAAAAGCAGCGAGGAACATGAGATGATAGAACATATTGACTGTAAGAGGAAATAAAGACAGTGAATGAGGCAGTTATCAATTCAGAATTTGTTGGTTGTTTTGTCATCATACATGATGGTAGTGCCGAAAGACTGATGAATGTGTCTATAACGGAAGATTCATGTCTCCTTCGACGACTAGGCTCTGTAGTCCGGGACCGGTGGTGCTCTCGAGTGGTGCAACGAAAGCCATCTGGCTCCAGCTGAATAGAGTGTTCCGTCCGCCATACACAAAAACTTCGAATCTTCCTACAAACTGCCCATCAATCCAAGCAATACTTCCGTGCAAGCTATCTGTCGCTATGGTGACATTCGCTGGTAGGGTCGATAACTTCACCACCTCATGTGATGAGGTAGAGACATTTGCCCAAATGCGGCCAGGGTGTCCTGGATCAAGGTCCAGTGCGTCTCGTTCACTTACAGAACGCAGCGGGTATACCCAACCGTCTGCGCTGAAGGTGAGGCTACCATTACCGTCTAGAGAGAGCGTGCTGTCTGGACCAGTGAGTGTAAATGGCCCCCCGAAAAACAACGACAGAGTGTAGTTGATGCCCTTGCTGCCGTGGCCGAGGTGCACTGTCTCGGTATCATCGACGGAACGGTTCCAGGTCACTAGAGGTGCGGGAGCGCTGGGAGACGGCAAGGTACGGTCGAGATTTTGCCCCGGTGCGAGGGGTGAGAAGAAGTCAATGCTGGGTGCCACATCATCTTCCACAAGCTCCGGGCCCCGACGGCCGCTCCACGCGCGGGCACCAGTAAGTGCTATGCCTCGGCGCATTGCGTAGTACGCCTCGAGCTGCGTGGAAGCGTCAGGGCCGTTATCGTTCCACGCAGCCATGATAGCGCCTCCGTTGGATGGCGATCCATCGGGTATCTGCATGGTTTTATTGAAAGGATTGAAGTCGGCGGGCGTCCACTGCCACCCAGGCTCGTCTGCGAAATTGAGCACGCGGCTCTCATTGAAGAACTGTGGGTATTTGGCGGGGAGAATGGGCATATGATCGTTCTTGAGCGACATGTAGGCCCACCAGTCCTCCGAGTTGATAATATTGTATCCGGTATCTGTAAGGAGCACTGGGTCCGACTGACCATACTGCCAGTGCTGGATTATGACATCCCTAGAGATGGTGACATTTTCTGAGGGCTCATATGTGCCCCAGATACGAATCCGCTTGCCGGTTGTGGAATTGATAAAATCCGACATTTCGTTGACGAACCCGATGTACACATCAGCCAGTGTTGCGTCGTACTCGTCCGCGCCAACGTGAACTTCCTTCGTCTCAAACCATGGAAGGAACTCGGACCAGATACGCTTGACTATGGGAATAGCTTCCGGATGTGACAGATTCAGCAAGTCACGCTTTGCCAGAGAAAGCTCAGGTTTCCACTTGGTCAGGTATAGACAGTGACCAGGGGCCTCGATTTCAGGGATGATGGTTATACCCCTTGCAGCACAATGACTCTGAAGACTAGCGAAATCTTCACGGGACAGCGTCTCGTTCTCACGCCCATGAAGGATCGGCAATAGGGATTCGTCTTCTGGTCGCAGTGAGAAGTGCGAGTAAACGTCTTGCCAAGATTCGTTACGCCCGCGATTGAGTGGGTAGTTGTCGCTCAGGTGGTAGTGAAACTCGCTCATCTTGAAGAAAGATGCATAGCTGCACAGCTCCTTGAGAAATCCCGGTGCGTACCATTTGCGCCCGGCGTCGAGCATGAAACCTCGCGTGGCATACGCTGGCGCATCAACAACACGCCCTACGGGGAGAGACCCGTTCTGAGAGAGCAAAAGCTGGAGTAGCGTCCTGGTCCCCCACCACATGCCGCGGGCGCCCGTTCCGCCAATGAATGCGCCCATGGGCGAAATATCGAGTTCGTATCCCTCAGACGTTGGATCACCGTTCTCGTACGCGAGAGAGGAGGCGTTGCCGTTGAATGGGCCGAGGAAAATGCCACTGGCGTTGGCAGCATTAGGAAGGCGGTCGACGCGCTGTAAAGTCCAGTTTACGCCCGTGAACTGGCTGATGTCTTGCTGGAAAAGGCTGGCGAAGTCATAGCCACTAGGTGGTATCAAAGTCAACCCGTTCGTATCAGCTATTGAGGCGAAGCTGTCATCGATGTATATGGTTTTCGAGCTCGATGCGACTTGCCAGACGGCTTCTACCGGGGAATTCGGTCTTTCGAGGGTGGGCGGAAGTAGTTGGAGACCCCAGGCAAGAGCTGGGGCGCAGAGGACCGCCGCAACACGATGAAAAGCCATCTGACGCGACGTCTGTGAATCCCTGACCTTGCAAGTTAGGTCTGGTAAGATGCATCCAATTGAAACTCAGGCAATTCATTGTTACTTATAATTGTTGACTGAGACCCAAGCTCTTCATGCATCTCTCTCACTGTCCCCCTCACTTCATCTTTGAGAGATAGATCATCATTGATAAGATGCAGTACCCCGCATACTGGGATCTCAATGTAACAACACACAGCCAATGCTAGAGTGACGTAACCGCAACGATGGGCCGCGGCTTCGCTAATCTGTTATCAATGTAGCAGATTTCAAGGTTCAGTATTAGGTGAATAGTCTCTTCTGGACTCCTGCCTATTTACACGGTTAACACTCAGGACTATGAACCAGCTTTCTCTTCTTACTGACATCTCAACAGAATCGTAAACCAACAGCAGTGATGCCTGTTCAAAAGCCAACAACGGGGCCAGAAAACATCGAGTTTGCCTTTTTAAGGGCGTGGTGCTGATCCATCACACTGAGATCGGTTGCGGAGCATCCGGCTCGGCATTGTACGAAATCCGACCTGCGGGCAAGAAGAAAAGCGCAACCAAGGCTCCCTTGCGTACTTCGGGATAATGATGTGTACCTGGCCCAGGAGAGGTCCAGCCAGCACCCTGCCACCCTTGCATTCCCCTCAGTTCGGCGTCTGGATCTAGCTGGACAACGCAGTTAATCTCACCATACGGATGAGAGTGATACTGGCCCTTGTACTCTTCTTTGCTGTCCATATAGACCGTCGTGATGCTGAAATACCTCGTCTCAGCTGAAGGGAGGGCGATTTTACCCCGCCGATATTTCCGGCCTTCGATCTCGGTCTGAGCTACCCATCCCTCTTCGAGACCTTGTTTGATCAAGGCACAGAAATCTTCATAGAAGTGGTTGCCGGGGCCGTAGTATTTGTTTAGTCTACTCTCGAGGGCTTTGCCAGGAGTTCTGTGAAGATACCAAATTGTTACCACATACCTATCTCATGGTTTCTGGATGGAATCAGAGGCTAAGCGCGGGTCCCAAACAAAGGGGACTTACAGGTCTTGGACCTCGGCCAAAAACTCGCTACATCGTGAAATAAACGTCTTTGCTGTTGGCCATTGAGTAACATCGAGAACCTCTGCAGCTTGGGGGTGCTCCATACTTCCAGACGTGGACCTGAACAATGGCCGATGATTCAGGTAGTAGGATGGTGGACGTAGAATAGATGGTCGAGAAGTTCGGTAGTTGCCGTTGGGACGGTAAAGAATGCGGGGAAAGAGACGCCGCAGGCTGACTTCCCCTTTCAAAGCTCGAGCCCGATATCAGGGCAATCAAGGTATAATTGGATTAGCATTGATCACCGACGTCAAACGCGCAGATCATGGGCTCGGGAGAATAGCTCATCCGGAAAAGGATGGACCCCGAAGGCCAGGGAAAAGAACAGGGAAAATACCGGTACCATCACGGGAACAATATCTCGAATTCTCCGTCAGTTGGCATTGCGACAAAATTGACATTTGAATGCGTGCAGTCATGCCCCAGTCAAAAATCTAGCTCACGCTAACCAGTTGCCATTCTCGTCTTCGTAGCCCATATCAACGTAAGTCCAACCCTGTTGCGTCATCTTACCGTCAATCTCCATGTGTTGCGATGCAATGTTGTTAGATAATCTCTCCCTCTTGATCGTCTTGTGTGCCTCGTTGATTTTGCGCATCTCCTCGTCGGTGAGAGTGACGAGACGGATGTTCTCTTCGATGCGGGCCTTGTTTGCGCTCTTTGGGATGACCGCAATGCCTCGCTGTACCGCCCAGGACAGCGAGACCACGCCGGTAGAGACGTCGTGGGCCTTGGCAATGCTGGTGAAGAGCTCGTGGGTAAGGATTTCGTTTTGCGCCGCGCTCGAGCCCCCCAGTGTGCTGCCAAGGTCAGCAATCACTGCTCCTGCAAGACATGGCACCGTATTTTGCGAGACTCACCTCCAGCTGGTGACAACAATACCCTTTTCCTGGCAGTAGGGCACCAGATTCAGGTTGGGGTTGAAAGCATGCAGCTCGACCTGGTTAATGGCCGGCACAATCTTGGCCTCTGCAAGCAGCTCATCCATGACCTTAGGCATAAAGTTGCTCACACCAATGGCCCTGCACTTCTCACCAACCAGCGGCTCCATCATCTTCCACGTCTCAATAAAGGTTGGGCTCTCCCACTTCTTGAGAACCTTCATCTCCGGAGCAGGGGTTGTGGCCCATGGCCAATGCATGAGGAAGACGTCAATGTAATCAAGCCCGAGAGTGTCCAGCGAAATCTGGAGCGCCTTGGCCGGGTCGTGGTGCCAGTTGCCCCAAAATTTGGTGACTACGATGATCTCGGAGCGGGGGACGCCGCTGTTACGGATGGCCCTGCCCACGACCTCCTCTACGCCGTAAAGCTGCGCGGTGTCAATGTGGCGGTAGCCGACCTTCAACGCATGGATAATGGACTCCTCCAGGGCCTTGGAATCATCCGTTCCTTGCGAGCCTGAAGACTGTCAGAAATTATGAGTGTTGATAACGCAATGGGGCTTGCTTGCCTTGCCAGGTACCCAGACCGACGGCCGGAAAATCGAGGCCTAATTATCGAACATCAATACCCCTCACTCTGTATCAATGACTCCATCAGAATCACACTGAGTTTGGATAGCTCACCATTGTTCAACTTAAAAGTTTTGGTGCAAACAGGTGGCGCCATTGCTTCTATGGTTGCTCCGGAAAAGGGTAAGATAAGGATTCCAACTTCGCCAGATTTATCTCAATCAGCTTCTATCAGCCCAATATTTGTACTTTGCGCGACCCTGAATGCGGGGTTCAGATGACGTCATTCCGGCGGATGAATCTATTCCCAAGGTGTTTCAGAACGTCTACTGTCCTCTTTACTCACTTGTTTATCGTCATTCGAAACAATTGACCTATGTGATGATAGCTGCTTTTGGCCATCAACTTTTCGAAGAGCAGTCATCTCAGCATGAAGAGTCTCCTGTCAACGACGAAGAATGCCAGGCCTCACTGCCGTTCCAAGATGATGTAATTGTAACGCGAAAAGGTTTAGCTATTCGTCTGCTCTGGATTACACACTGACCTGTTAATAAGTTTTCATACCCGTGAATGAGTTCTACGAGAAAAGACAGATACCGCTTGCAAAGAATAAGCCAATGTAACCCTCGCAACGTCCATTCTCCCTCATGATACCTGGTCAGGCACAGTATGCGCCGGTATACACTCGTCTCCCCATACCAACCTCATGTCAGCCAAGAACGCCTCTACACTCGCGAACCCCTTTCTCATAACACTATAAAGAAGTTCCCTCAGAATCTCCCTATTCCTGGGCGTGCTAGACTCCATACCGACGCCGAGGAGAATGATCACGTAGCTCCAGGCCTCCATCCCCACGCCTGACATCCTCTGTGCGATTCGCTCGCGGACGAGCTCACCGTAAGCCTCGAGATCGGACATTTCTATGAAGCGCGGCAAGTCTCCGGCGACGAGCTTCCATACCGGGTCACAAAAAGTCCGGGTAAGCCCCATAAGGGTGTAGTGATAATAAGCTTGTCTCAAGGTGCAAAAGTCGGTACTTTTACTCTCCCCACCATCGTCGTTGTCATTGTATCCTACACCGCGGAGACTTTCCATAGAGCTCATAGCCGTGGCTGAGCTATCGATGATTTTTATCCCTTTTTGCATTAGACCAGCTGCAATGAGAATCTCTCTCGATCCCGCTTCAGACACTTCACCTGTCAAGTGTTTGTCGTTCAGGGCGCCGCGAGCCTCATGTACCCAATTGAATGCCCTTTCTTTATTGTCAGCCCACCCATGTTCCCAAGATGCACTTGTCGACAAATTAATACTGTTTACCTATAATGCAAGTGTGCAAAGTGCGTCAAGAACTTGGTGTGGTGATGAAAGATTGCAGAGTTGATGCGGATATGCCCGGTGAGCGAGTCGACGTTTTCAAAAGGTGAAGGATCGTAGAATTCGAGGTTGACCAGGAAACTATCTCCGAATGATAAAAAAGAGTAAATCGCACCAAGAAGGCTAAAATGCATGAGCAACCCCTTGTCAAAGTAGAGAAGTGGCCTTCGTTGTCTTTGCTCGAGCGGTTGCCTAACCTTTGCCGCCAATTTCACATATGTGGCCCGGGAACAAACCCAAGTCTCACTGCTCATTAGCTGTGTGAGATGAAAGTTAGTAGACGCCTTTTTCTGCTGGTGTAGTTCTGTTTTCAGAGTAATATCTAGTATATCTCACCTCGGCATAAATTTTCAAGATACCGTACAGTAGCATGATATGTTGATTGTGACTGTCCGTGGCAATCAGGTGTTCTAGAAACCGGTTCAACTTGTTACGGTCCTTTTCTATCACAGCAGCTGCTGCGGACTTTTTGCTCCCCAAGTCGGGGTGTCTCTGGACCTCCAAGCAAATGTTTCCTATGGTTGTGACGATGGCTCGAACTGGTATTGAAGTCTTCAGATAGGTTTGCATAAATGATCTCGAAAATATGTCCGTAATAGGGGAAGGCGAGTCACCGACGAAAGCGAAGAATGCTGCCGTCGCTGAAGCTTGAAGGGGCTCCAAGTCTCCCGAGGAGCCACTGGAGGCTGATGGCGTAAACGTCTTGGACTCAGACGTGTCGGGTGATGACCGCGTCATTGGTGATGTCCCAGATGAGCTTAGTTCAACTCCCGCTCTTGAGCTGCGTATAAGTCGGCAGTCGCCCTGCAATGTTGGTCAGCGATTTACGCTCTCCCCTTGCACCAGATGCAATCCGCGAGTCCAAACTAGTTGCTTGCGACATAAAAGGCAGCCCTGGTATATTGATCGCTTAACTCGCGGTCTGGTGACCTTTTTTATTTTGCTCCGACCCATAGCGGCGTCTGTTACCTGTAAACGGCCATTTTAGGCCAATTTCAGACAGGTGGAAGCGATGAATGACCAAAAGTCTATTGTGGTGTTTGATGCACGCTCGAAAGAGAGAAAGAGGCCAAACGGTCGAACGCCGTCGTCTCAGAAGATCTAAAGCTCCTTCAGCAGGGGGTGGGGTACGTTCTGGAGCTCTGACTCTCTACCTCTTTGGACCGTGACCGGCAGTTAAAGGGCCGATTTGTCTGACTTGAAGTAGTCTAGCTCGTACGACCGATTCGGTCGTGAACTACCCGTATCTACTCTATGGAACTGATTGTTGGGATTGCGGTGAAGCCCAAAGGGAAAATAGCCGACACGATGGCTTTTGGAAGAGGGGAAATGAGGATCCCCGAACTTAAACTTCAGGTCGAAGGCCGTGCTGTACAAGCTCAACAGATTGAAACAAATAGAAACTCAAGAAGACCGCGAAACTGATCTATGCAAGTCCAAGTATGTCCGATTTGATGTTGAAGGTCCGAAATTAATCTTCCGGATCGATTAAAAATGCTGTATTTGAACGCGGATTAATAACCTAGTTCTGTGTTTTACTAACGGGAATAGTGCCAAACACAGCGAATATACCATAGAACGCTGTGTATTTGGCTCACCGGTCATACGTATTGGGTTTTGGTGTCTCAAGGAAGCTCGGGTGTAATCATCCCACCTTCCACCTTTCTTATATCTTCTAGCACAAACTTTGTCTCCGAACCTCTTGCTAACCATAACTGTTACTCCAGAAAGCCCAAGAGAAAGATAAACCTCTGAGCGCAATCGATATGCAAGAGACCCCGGGTAGCGATGCCAATGACCCGAGTTTTGGCCAGTTCTGAGACCTTCGAAGATGACCTTTTTGGAGCTTGCAACGAGCGTTCCCATCTTGCAGGACGCACAGGGCCCCGTTGATCCTGACAAAGTCATAGTTGGCCGAGTATCGCTACGGACAACACAGGTATTTCCAAAGCCCCAGACAAGGGACCGACACGCTGTAGATTTTCAAGACGGTGGCGATATGGGTACCCCTTCTTATACTTGGTACCGTAGCAGATAATCACCTTACAGATGTTGATGCCGCCACCCTCCATGCCCTGAATTGTGCTACCTGCGATGTACATCTCGGGGCTGCTGGCACTGTCGCAGATGCCACAGCCAAGGATTTGTGGCATCACGATGAAGAGCGCGAGATATGTTCAGCCGAAGAGGCTAGAGAGTTCCTCCAGGACAGGCACGATTAGATTTATATGTCGTCATGTGGTCTCGCGTCATTAGAGGGCTTTTCTGATTTGTGATGAAACTCATGTAAATGCTTTCTTCACGTGCTGTTGTAGGTCGGTCCTTCGTTGACTGGTGAGATGGGACGAGGAGGCTTTCCTCGTCGTGCACCCCGACGGCGCATGATTGCACTCATTGCCTGCTGGGTGCCCGTTGTGTGGCCAAAATTAGAGAGCAATCATAGAGGACTGGGCTAGTTGTCACTGAGTTCATACATTACCGTCGCAGCTAGCCATATATAGATTATTGAATGACTTGCCTCACAGATACTGACTGTACCCGTAGTTGGGGTACTGCCCAACATCAACATCGTAACCATTATACGCATACGAGAAAGCAGGCCCTGAGTTGACACCAACAAAGCCTCCACTCGTCGTCTCATCACCATTAGCATACACCAACCGACCGCAACTCACGCGATTCGCGAGCTCTGTCAGCTCTCTGAGCAGGACGCTGGCCGCAATCACCTTGAAGCTCTGTAACTGGGCCCAATGTTCATACTCGACGTCGGAATTGTCCAACAATCCCACCTTTAGACAGGCATAGGACATCTCCAACGCCTCCCTGTTGGGTGCGAGAAGTCGGTCAAGATCATCGACAGCCGCTGAGCCAGGAGCCTCTTTATCAAAGGTGGAGTCAAGATCATCATTTACCGCTGTGCTAGAACCCTCGACATTCCGAACTTTCCGTCTCATCTGTTGCGTCATGTGGTCTGCAAGGCGATCGAAATCTTGCTTGAGCTTCTTGGAGTTGTCTTTCTGACGTCGGGTCTGCGACCCTGTTTTGTTGAAGATGGAGCCACAGAAGACTTCGACCTCTGTGAGCTGTTTCATGTGATTGTCCGAGTATTGCACCATGAATCCACTGACAGTGTCCTCGAACCTAGGAATCGGTTAGCCGTCAAGCAAAGCAGGGCGGTAGAATTTGCCACTCACACGTCACGCAAACTTTGGGCTTGCTCGCGCTTCGTCTCCCAGCGAATGCGTCCTTTGCCGTATTCTCCAATCTTGCGCTCCATGAGCCCTAGGAACTGGTCCCAAACGGATGGACCAGCTTTCGACACAACGCGATTGATATCTTGATCCCAAATCTGCTTCTCATTGACGTTACGGTAAAGCTGACCGAGTATATTTTCCGACTTGTAGTACTTGTGATTTGGTCCCTGCGCATCTTCGTCATCATCAACTGCTTCGTCTTCGTCTATAAAATCAATATGGGTACGATCATAGAGCTGAGCGGGAGGGGCAGGTGCAAGACTGGGGTTATATCAGCTGTGTTGCTACAAATGTAGAGAGAGCATAGTACGTACAAGTCAGGTCGGAAACGAGGCGCCTTTGGAATTTCCCTCTGTTCGACCGCAATTCCTGTCTTGGAGAAATCAACAGCGGTAGAATGCAGCTCAGCAAGCTTGAGACAGTTTCTCCCCATTGTGCCTTCCTGGTCTTGGTCTGATAAGATGAGGTGTCGCGTGGCAATCAAACCGAGAACGTCGGATTTCATGAAGTCAACGAACCAGTTTGCCATATCATCTCTTGTCACCGGCCGCCCAAGAGGCTCCGGTGTTACTCTGGGGTAGTCCGCGGCTTTGCAAATCCATCGGGGCATGGCTTGTTTATCCCAGATGATGTTGTAGAGATCGCCATCAAGATCGCCACCACTTAGCTGGCTGGGCAAATCGCGCTGTCCGTGCTGGCTGAATGCAACACAGTTGCGGAGATTGCGCAGCGGATGGCCGGGCGGCGGCGTTCTCATGTTGGCCAACTGGATATCACCAGGGTGAAGGGCAGGCGACCGTGTCACCAGCACTCTTCCGTCCCGAAGAGATCTTTCGGTGGGAGCTTTTCCGGGACTCTTGTATGTATCATAGCAGACATAAACTTCCCCCTCTTTGAGGAATCCGGTCTCGTCCATGACGCCAAAGAGAGTGGCACCCTGAGGCACAGGGATTCGAGCCTTGTGCTTAAGCAAGCGCAACTCCCGCAGGACGGTTGACTCCACCACTGCCCTTAGGAAATCATCTCGTCGGTAGTCGATACCATACTTTTCGAGGCTTTTGATGAAAGTTGGGAGAAAGAAGGCCGAGCCCACACCCTGGAGATGAAGGAACGTCCCGGTGTTGTATGCATCTGCTGTGACGGCACGCAGACGGTCAAGTTCATTCTTCTGCAACCGGAGGAAGAAGTTCTTGTCAACGCCCAAATCCTCCATAATCTTGATCATCTGGCGGTTGAGAACTAGCTTAAGAGGCTTGGATGCCGCATCGCAGATTTCAAGGTTCTGCACATCAGTGCTCGGAAATTTCTCCATAGATTCCCTGCGGATGCAGATAGAACGGCCCGATAGCCGGGATTCCAGGGAGAGCATACCCTTGACGCCCCCCCAGCGGATCTGCAAACATGTCGGGATGAGCGACCGTTGGGGGAGCCGTGGCCAGACCAGTTCGATGGCTTCTTGCGAGATAGTTCCGACGCCGTCGCTGAAAACTCGTTGAATTTTTCCATCGTGCGATTTGACATCTGGTATGTCCCAGTGCCTGATACGGTGCTCGGAGAGATTGATGAATGCAGGAGTCTCGGAGAATGCTTGCCCAATACGCGCCGCGCACTTGGCGGGTATTTGAATGTGATCAAAATCGCCAAGGGACTTGATGATGTTTGCGTACAACTGCAGTTTGCCAGTGCTATCCACGAATGGGGCAGAAAACCAAGCCGAGTGGGATCGCAGAGATGAATGCGAGAACCCAAGAAACTGGTAGACCCGGCCAGCAATCGGTATTCCACCGTTCAGGACTTTCCGGTAGCGATCAAAGATCTGGTCGTAGGACACCCTGGGATTGAAGAACAAATCACCGCCATCTTCATCGCAAAAAGTAACCCGCATAAAATAACTCGTGTGGTCAGGGAATCTGCGAAGCACTCTATTCAAGGGTTCTGGCTCGGGGCCATGGAGTGTAATTCTCGTTGGCGTAACCATGGCCTTGAAAACCTGCACGTGGTGGTTTGCTGTCGCAGGTCCTAACGCGTCTTTCCGGTAGACATGTTCGGAACGTAGGCGCTTTTCGACCACTAAAAGGTGGCGCAGAATCTCGTCCGGCTCGAGATTCTTGGGGTCCGCGTTATGGATTGGAAATGGTATGGCATCTTGAATATTCCCACGAAGGCTCTTGAAAGCCTGTTCAGAGATTGGTTCGGGCTTGTTGTCCGCTTTTGCCTTTTGGAATATGAATTGGAGAGACAGTAGCATCTGGTGTACGGAGCGTGGGTGTAGGAAATTGTTCCACACCAGAGACTGTAGCTGGAAGAGGATACTAAATGGGAGTGACTCGTTCTTTCCAGCAGTAGCCAATCCGTCGTAAAAGTGAGTCCATGAACTAGGGTAGTCTTCTCTGCGGAAAGCGGGAGTCTGATTAAGGGCAACATTGAAGTGAGCGATAGATAGCAAGCCCTTTTTCTCAAGATGGATCATCTTGTGGTCAAAGTCGGTGTCAAAGACACTGATCTGATAGACAAGACAACTGCCGGAATATTTGACATGCCCTTCGACTCCAGGGATGTTGAGACAGCGGATATGGCCCTTCTGGGGCAACATGCGAGGATTCAGACCCAGCTGGGCCATCATGTCTTGGATCTCGGTGAGGGACTGGTAGAAGTGAGGGGGTTCACTCAAGACAAAGGTAAAGGTAGCCGGTGCTGAGGTGTGTATCATCTCGACGATGGAGGAATAAGGTACTTCGATCTTGGCGCCCTGATCGAGCTTCAGGGTGAGCATCCGTTTGCCGAACTTGGCAAGGCCGCGGTCGTCCAGTCGGTACTGCTCGTGAAAAATGAGGGCCTGGTTACCGTCGCCAAACGAATTGTGACCACACGCCAGTCTCGCAACGTGAAACTTGACGGTATCGTTGTCGGGGGAGGAGTCTTGCTGCTTGCGCTGCTTGTACTTTTCTTGCAGACGATGGCTGAGGCTTCTGAGGGCAAAAGGGTCGGGGGGTCTGTCGCTCTGGGAGACGAAGACGGGGTTGTTCATGAGGTGGAGATTTGGCTTGTCTCTTGGGCCCTTTCTGCTTCTGGAAGAACTCGACGATGTGGAGATGCGCGCAGGTTCCGGGGTGGCTATGGGTTGTTTCCCATGGCGCAGCAAGAATTTGCGACCATCCTCCCAGTTGAGAAAGGTCACCCAGCCGAGCTTGCTGCCGGCCTTGGAAGAGCATGACCAGTCCAGAATACCCAAAACATTCAGGTAGGGCTTCAGTTCCTTTTCCAAGGTACGGTCCGTCAGGCGCGGGGGAACGTTGGAGAGGAAGACTTCCATGACGAAAAGACGGGCCGGAAAAGAGTCGATGGAATGGTTAATGTGTAAGGCTGGGCTGGGTAGTAGAATAGAGAGTTGACGAGGCGGACCACGCGGCGGCGGGTGGGCAAGAGGCCAATATTAACTGTAGTCTGATCAAAATGGGTTGGTTAGTGGGGGAAAAGGCGGTCGTTGATCAACGACGGTCAGCGATAGACAGCGTATCGCAACGTTGCTGCTTATGTTTGCCGGCAATCAAAGGCTCTGGGAGCAAGGTTTGCAGAGGTGCTGCCCAGGGCCGTTGGCCATGTGATTGCGACGTGGTACAGCAGGGATTCCGGGGGCCTATCCCTATGTGCCTGCGCATGTAGGAGTCTTAGCCAGAGGGGATAAGCCAATCCTAAGGGGAGTGGTGGAAGCTACTGCAGCTAGGAGCTGTTTGTGGTGTGGTGTGCACTTGTGTAAAGCCGGGCGAGCGGCAGACAAACAAACAAGACAGGTAAGGTAGGTAGGTAGGTAGGTGTATGTGTCGGTGACAGTGGCTGCCAATCAATCCGTCGACAGAAACCACAAGTGAATGAAGCATCAAAGGTGGGAAGAAAAAAATAAACGGGTTTTGGGAAAAGAATTTACGTAGTAGGATCGATGAGAGGCGAAGAAAGAGGCCCTCTGCTTCCGATAAGGAGCTTTGAAGGTGGAAGGAACCTACTATCCGTGCCTGAATAGGAATTGACTTTGGTGGGTCCCAAGGAGGGATGGTGATTGGTCGAATCTTCAATGGCTGCCAAGTGCCCGCGCGCATTCTGAACAGCTGGAAGAGATATCACGAGGGGTTGGACCCTGTTCCTGAATACCTAGGTAGCCCATACGTAAGTACCTAAGATGTCACCCTCGCTCCTCTACCTATTCACCTACCCAAGTAGTTTGCTTCTCACCCAGTTTTTCCCTAGCCAATGTGTCGCCGCCATGTCCAAGGCAAATCGTCAATTACATCTCAGAGTAAACAAATGATGCGGTTTTAAAGGATAGACAGCATGGTCCGATGCGACCCGACGACGCTCATTGTTGGCTGACCCGGTCTGGAAAAATCATCAATCACACGCGATGCTCTGGCAGAATGCTTTTCCGCCACGAGCCGCGACAATATTTCTATTTAATATTCACAACCCCGCCCCAGTCTACGACAACGACCCGAATTCCAGAGGCACGACACTGTACCTACCTAGTCAAGACCGACCTATAGGTAGGATCCGACACTTCATCCACGAGAGTCAAACTACCTACCTAGGTAAGTACCTGTCATCTGCTGTGGGCACAACGTAGGTAGTCACTGACCGGCATCGAGTTTGTGCCGCGCGCTGTCTTTTGCCGTCTCAAAATCCCGAAAACCCCCCTGGACCCTCTCTCCCCCAATTCCGACCCCGCGTTCGTCATCTGCCCCGCCGCCCAGAGAGCTTCCCATGGGAGCGCGCCGAAGCCGCCCTCACTTGGAGCATCTGCCAGCCTTTTCTACCCGATTTCATCTTCGACCACTTCCTTGAGAACAGTGATAACGACCCAAATCTCACCAACAAGTTCGGTTGATACAAGCAACAAGATGGCAACCCCCGGATTGCTCTACGTGACTATGCAGCCGAAGCCTGGCTTGGCTCTTGAGCAGTTCCACGAATGGTACAACAACGAGCACGGCCCAACTCGCCTGCGGCTTCCCCAAATCTTCACCAACGGCCTGCGATACCGCGCCACCGACGCCAAGGAGCCCTCCTTCCTCGCTCTCTACGACGTCACCTCCATGTCCCACCTCGAAACGCCCACCTACACCACTCTTCGAGCGAACCGTTCCGCCCGCGAGGCAGCCACCATCGCCCAAGTCGACGTCACGAGGTATTTCTACGACCTGGTTTACGAGCAAGAGGCCCCTCTGTTCCTGCCCATCGAGCAGCTCTCCGACAAGGAGGCCGAGGGAATCGAGCTGGTCGCTGTCGAGACCGTCCTCAAGGACGAATCCGCCGAGACGGACTTCAAGAAATGGTATAGCGAAGAACACATCCCTATGCTGTCCAAGGTCCCCGGCTGGCTAAGGACCCGCCTCTTTAAGATCTCATCGGTCGGCGACGGCGCCGGAACCAAGACTTCCTACCTCGGACTGCACGACTATGCCCGCACGAATGGCCTGGGTGGTCCGGAGCACAAGGCCTCCATGACCACTCCTTGGGGAGCTGAGATTGCCAAAACCGTCACGGCCAAGAACCGCCGCACCTACTCGCTCTTCTACGTCTTCGGCCCTGCTCCTCGCGACCTGTCCAATCTGGCCAAGCTTCCAGCCTCGGCCTCCACATTTACCGCTCCGGACGGCAAGACCACCACTATTCCCGGAGACGACGAGGTCATCAGCTCGTATATCACGGCCGAGGACCAACTGTCCATTCCATACAGACTAGAGGGAAGCGCCAAAGATGACGCGCCAACCGTCGCCTTTTGTAACTCGCTGCTGACATCGCTGCACATGTGGGACCCCGTCGTCAAGATTCTGAAGGAGCAGCGCCCCGACTTGCGCATCTTACGGTACGACACGCGTGGCCGCCACTCGATTCCCAGTCCGCCTGTGCCGGCTACTCTGGATCTCCTTGCTTCCGACCTGCGTACTGTTCTTGATGCGTTGCGCATCCCCAAGTTGCATGCCTTGATTGGAGTTTCCATGGGAGGCGCGACGACCACTAACTTTGCCCTCAAGTACCCGAACCGGCTGAAGAAGTTCATCGCCTGCGACTTCAACGTGACGTCCAGTGCCGCCAACACCCAAGCCTGGAAAGACCGCACCGCGTTGGCAGAAGAGGACGGCGGCGCCGGAATTAAAACGCTGGCAGGGCAGACGGTGGGCCGGTGGTTTCACCCGGCAACGATGGACAAGGAGAGCGTCGTCAACTCCATGACGGAAATGGTGGCAGGCAACAACGTTGAAGGTTTCAAGTATAGTTGTCAGGCACTGTGGGACTACGACCTCAAGTCGGCGCTCAAGTCTTGTCAAGTTCCTGGACTGCTGGTCGTTGGTGACGGCGACGCCAAGGGCGCGCTTGTCAAGGCGATGGACGGGTTCAAGGACTTGGTTGGAGACAACGGAGCGGAACTGAAGATTGTGCCGAACGCTGGTCATCTCCCCATGTGGGAAGACCCTGCAGCGTTCTGGGAGGCCATCCAGGGGTTTGTGTAAACTGGCGGCTCTAAGAGAAGCGCCTTTCAAATGTGACAAAGATGTTGAGGCCTCGATAGTTCAATCGAAGAGTTTGTCGCAAACAGTATATGGCTTCGGCAGCCAATGGGAAGCTGGGCAAGAGGTGTTTTTTACAATCGTTATGCCATGACGAAGCCCTGAGCTGCAAAGATGACATGTTGCGTGCGGCCAGAACCAGGACGTGCCCAGAGGTGAAACGCTGCAGGAGTCGGCTTCGCGAACCAGACTCATCACTTCCTATGTACGAATAAGGTAGGAAGAAAAGAAAAAGGATGACGAAAAATGGCGCTTTCTGGGTATGCAAGCACCGTTTCATCTTTGATTGCCAACTGACAGCGGAGCGCAGAATGGATCCAAGTCGAGCTGGATTCGCCAATGGTCGTCGGCCTCGGCACATCAAGAAGAAACGGCCTGGCGGCAGCTGTCTTGGCGGGCTCATCTCGACCAAGCGATCGACGGGTGTGTCTTTTAGGCAACGCAGATCCGACCCTATTATGATTTTCCCTTCCCATATTAAGGGCGACAAGGGCAGTGAAGGGGATCTGTTTCATCTGATATTCCGGTACGCCTGCACCGACGACGTCGAAGACGACTCAGTTATCGCTGCGCCTGCATGAGGCGCATGCGCCCTACCAACGCCGTCACATCTAGCCTTGGGGCTCATGACTGCGGTTCCAGGTCTTCTCTCTCTTGCACCTTGTTTGGCGCCTTTACGTATCGCAGCCCCTGAATCCAGACATGTCCAGTTTGCATGTTGACTCACTCCATATCCCACGCAGGAGCCCCCGCGGCTTCTAACTATTGTCTCTAGGCAAACGAGTCGTGCTTGTTGAAAAGGGTACAATAGCACTGGGGAAGACTCGGCTTGCGAGCTATCAACCCTGAGGAAAACCAACCGGCCGGTATTACCGGGCCCCAGCTTCAACGCTGATCCCATCGAGGCCGTCACTATCCCCGCGTTGCGCTAACCCCGGCCATGATCCTAGCATCGGCCCCTGAGCCAGAGCAAATGTCTTCCAGGTACGCTAGGGCCAGGAACCAAGCGGCTACGTTACGCTGACAACCCGTCAGCTTATCATTCCAAGGCCGGTTCGCCTTCCGAATTGGAGCACACCCCCCGGCCCAGTGACCACCGCCCCAAAATCCCACTGGTCCGGTGTGCATGTGAGTGTTTCGGTCTTATGTGGTTTCTATCTTTTCCACCTGCAGTCTTCTGGCTGGCCTCCGGGGCCAAGGGGGGTCAGTTCTCGGCGACTGCAAGGATTCTAGAACTGGACTGTCCAGGGCAGCGGCGAGGTGGAAGGGAGAAAGAGCATCAAGGACGAAAAGGATTTCCGGGTTGCTGCGTGTCTCTCTGTGGTCGCTTCCGGCGAGATAGATAAAGAGGCAAATCCCTCGCACGTTTGTTGTTTCTTCCAGCTCAGCATCCAACCTCGCAGGTCGCACACATTCTTTGGTATCTTCACCACTTCATTCTTTTCTAACCATCTTACCGTCAGTTCTTCACTGTGTGAAGCCGGGACATTCCTTTGCAACACTTATATCCCACGATCAAACAGGGCTCGCTTTATTCATTTTCATCCGTTTCGCCAAGGACACAATCCCCAACCCCCATCTCTCAAAATGTCTCGTGTCAAGTCAACCCTTGCCCTTGTCGGTGCCTTTGCCGTTAGTGCCCTTGCCCATGGCAAGGTCGATGGCTACGTGTTCGACGGCGCATATGCCCAGGGCTACAGCCTCGACTATTACTACCTCAAGCAGAACGGCGGCACTCCCCCCACCATCGCCGCCTGGTCCGCCGAGAACCTTGACAACGGCTTCGTCGACGGCACCGGCTACGCCAGCGCCGACATCAACTGCCACAAGAACGCCGCCCCTGGAGGCACCGCCGCCAAGGTCGCGGCCGGCGGCAAGGTCGAGTTCCAGTGGTCCGCCTGGCCCGAGTCGCACTTCGGCCCCGTCCTGACCTACGCCGCCAAGGTCGATGGCGACTTCGCCTCGGTCGACAAGCTCAAGCTCAAATGGGTCAAAATCGACGAGGCCGGGATCGACATCGACACCCAGGAGTGGGCCGCCACCAAGCTTATCAAGAACAATAACACCTGGACCTCGACCATCCCCTCGGACCTTGCAGCCGGCAACTACGTCCTCCGCCACGAGATCATTGCCATGCACGCCGCCGGAACCCCGAACGGCGCCCAGAACTACCCCCAGTGCGTCAACGTTGAGATCACTGGATCCGGTACCGCCAACCCCGAAGGCACCCTCGGCACGGAGCTGTACAAGGCCACTGACTCTGGCATCCAGTTCAACCGTAAGTGAATTCCCTCATTTGAGCCCCCTACGCCATCGGTAGCCACAAACGGCTAACCTTTTTGCTCAGCGTACACCACCATCTCGGAGTACACCATCCCCGGCCCCGCGCTTTTCGGCTCCGGTGGCGGCCCCGGCCCTAGTCCTGGCTCCGGTTCCGCCCCTACCCCCATCACTAATGGCACGACTCCTGCCAACTCCACCAAGCCTGCCATCCCGGTCACCTCTGATAACGCCGACGCCGACGACTGCCCCGCCCAAAAGGCCCGTCGTCACGCTCGCTCCTTCCGTCGTCGTCGCGCCCCCTCTTTCCACTTGTAAGCGGCGGGCATTTCCTGTCCGAGAGACATGGGATGATGGACACCCATCACGCCCCCTTTTCTCTTCTGAACAGAGGATGAGTTAGCTGGCTTTGTTTTGTGTCTCAACCATCATGTAAATAGTTTATACCTGGCGTATATATGTGTGGCTGCAGCGCCGCCTACAGGCTACCACCACCGCCACGGCCCACGGGCGTCCAGTGCCCTTTTTTTCGTTACAACTGGGCATATTTCAACCTTTTTCAATGTACATATGCTCAAGATTGCTTCGCTGTCCCTTCCTCTCCGCTGTGAATGCGGCTTTGTCGCGCGCTCTCGTGGCTGGAACAATTGGCCGGCGCTAATAGCTTTGAGGAGTGTACTTTTCGCTGACGTGGGCTATCTTCCCTTGTAAATCTACTGTCCTGATCTTAGCAATGCTTTTCGATGAGCGACGGCGCACCGATGCTGGCCGCCACTCACCTGGCTTCCACTACGTGGCAAACGAGACGAAGCAATAATGTCTTGATTGGGATGGTGGAGACTGCGCCGCCGCATTGCGTATGAATAGTTGGCAACGGATGTCGTCGACAAGTAAATTCAACAGCAGCCACGGCTCTTCTATGTCCATAAGAGCCGCACCGTATGCTATTGGAGGCGAAATGGACGCTCACAGGGGCTCATGGTCATACAAAACCTTAGCTCGACTGACAGAAAGTGGCAGAGATTTGGGGACAAGGTTACTCGGCGATCGCGTAACGCAGGAACCTAGCTCGCTGGTGGACTCGTCAAGGTACAACGTCGTGATAATCTCAAGGGGTTTTGATGGCTATTGCCAGACTCTGGCAGGCACGGAGGTCACTGAAAGTAGCTTTCTTTCCACAACACTCCTGACTGCAACAATCCAGCCAACTACCTACACAAACATTTCATGAGAGCTATAGTCGCTCCAAGTTCCCATAAGCGGGCTACGTTCGCTCGGAGCATATGCAATATCACGATACGTGAAGACCCGGTACGCAGCACGTCTGACCTGTCACCTGTGCCATGTCTCAATCTCTTAGTACGGTATTGAAGTATTGGAAACCCGCCAAGGCAGAACAACTGTCAAATCGAATTCTATTTCAACCATGGCCATATACACAAACGACCTTTGGGCGCTAGAACGTTGGCGGGGATAATGGTACTGTTAAATCTGCTATTAAGGTTGTGACAGCTTGACGACAGGGTGCCTGCCTATATTGCCAGGGACACGGTGGTTCCATTGAACTCTGCCACCAAGGTTGTCGAAAACCCTTGCGCCTTGAGTCACAAACGGTGCCCGAGATAGCTTCAGTTGCTAGCAACCTTGGTGGCTGTCGCCATGTATACAAAAGGCGGCAGGTTCTAGTCTCTTCCCTCTCCATCAACCTTCCCGCACACGCATCTCACATCCCCCGAACAACCAAATTCAAACACCATATTTCCAGTCAACACCACTACCAGCAAAACATGAAGATGCTTTCCATTCAACTCGCGACGATTCTAGGCCTCGCTGGAATCGTCACCGCCATCCCGCAGATGGTGGTTCCCCTCTCCGCCCAAGGCCCTCTGACGACGCCGCCGCCCCTCCGTCCCGTCGCACCGCGTCCGTCTGTTATCGGAGATTGCAGTACCGTGACCATCTGCAGGGATTTTATCAACACGTGCGCTATTAAGTATGGCGGGTAAGTCACTAGCGCCCAACCTAAGTACAGATAATACTACAAAGACAGTCGCTAACCCGGAGAACTTGTAGTTGCCACAGCATATGTCGGCCCTGGCCGACGTACACGGCGCCCCCTTGTCCGATATGGACTGGTCTCAACCCGACAACGCCAATTAACAAATAAGACTAGATGGATTGAGTTATGGCTATGGTGTAATATGTAAAAGGCGGGCGTGTAATAAGCAAGTCCCTGTCTGTAGGGGTATGTTAGGTTAGGTACTCTGTTGTTCGCTGGACCCTGCGCGAGTTACCTAGGTACCTGGTCTAGAAAACAACGTTCCCTCTTCGTCGACAATGCATAACATCAAGTTCTTTAATTTCATGCTTGGTCTTCACTGGTCGAGTTGTTGCCTGCTCAGTAAATGCGTGATATGGCATCTCCGGTTGTCCGTTAGTGCACGTTGGTCCTGATGTTGTTACCTAGGTAGGGGGCCTGTGCGGTCAGAATGGCGGACGGCGCGGATTGAGAGGCAGAGCAGCAAGAAGCGAAACGGCGACAGGAGGCAGTACCGAGGACCAGGCAAAATCTCGGGTCAGAAAGCCAAGGTCGTACTTTCCAGGCCAAGGTCGGGAAGTTGGTCATCCAAAACGGTCCCAGGCCATCCGATAAGACGAGGAAGGTAGCGCAGGTCGTCAAGGTTCTCGGTTTTCGGCACGAGAATGCTCGCTCCAGGTAGGTAGCAACCTAGTCCTTCCTTCCGCGCACGTGTCCTAACCTTAATTAATCTCTGGAGGGAAGGCACTGCCATACTTACCGACCTACCAGGCAGGTAATACCTATTAATGACTTCCTACCTACCTAGGTTGGTAAGTAGTCTGACTGCGAAATTTCCGTGATGACTCCTTCCATTATGATTTGGTTGCTTCCCTTCTTTTCTCAAGCGTTCCCATTTGCTTGTTTCCTATGTCTTTTTTTGACCTTCTGCCATCCATCTCTACCTCTAGCTTTCTCGACGCAGCCCCTCATCTCCCTGCCCGTCCATAAAAAACAACATCTGATTCACTGTCACGGCAACATCCTCAGCATGTCCGGCTTTTGCGATACCCTTGCATGATTTCCGTCTCAGATATCCCACTCTCCGCCCTCCACATACCACATAGCATTCTCTCCGAAAGCTATGCCATCGCCATTCTTTTCATCAAACCTTCGCACGCTGTCGTTTTTACTCAACACGACACGAACCAGACAGATTTCATCCAGTATGGAGTCCACCATCAAGTTTGACATCCCTGCCTCCGCGCGCTCGTTTCATCTCTTCTCCAAGCTGCCCCCCGAAATCCGCCACCAGATTTGGGAGGACGCTATCCTCGAACCCGGCATGCATTTCCTCCGCCTCAAGACCGCAGCTCGTGCTACACACCTGCCGTCACCGCTTATCACCTCTCCCGATGACGACGACGATGATGATGACGCATCACAACCCAACCCGATGCTCGACTTTGATAGCGAACCACTTCCCTCGAAGCTCTGGCCCGCAACTTTGGAGCCCCGTTACCCAACGCCCCAGGCCAACCTGTCAAACTACATCACCCTCAACCGCACCCTGGCCAGACTGTCAGCCACCTGCTTTGAAGCAGCAGCCGTTGTCCAACGGCTAGTCAACCAGCCAGGGGGCATCAAGTTGAGTGGCGGCCGCATTGTGTCTCTTGCCTCCTCTAACGATGTCGTGTGCTTGGAATACTTGTCGGCCGACAACTTCCGTAGCTGGTGTCGCATGTCCTTGGACATTAAATGCCCCGAGTTGGCCAACGTCCGGCATGTGGCTGTACCCTACTGCCATGGCTGGGAGGCCGCGAATACCCCGTTCCGTTGCAGCCACTGTGGTAGCCAACATGGCGCTGGCATCAACAAGGTCTACCCCGTTCATTTGTACGAGTTTCTGGCGCGCCACCTTCCGAACCTGCAGACTTTTTACTTCATCGATTATCTTATCGTAAAAAGGTTCTCCCGGCCCATTGCGAAAGCGCAAGATTCTCGAGACAGCAGCCCCCCGCCGCCCGAGGTCCTGGGTAAGACCGATAGTACCGTGTCCGAAAAGTTCGACAGGCGTAAGCACCCTTCTCAGCAGGCCTAGCGATGGAGCACTGACGTGTTTGTCGAATAGACAAGCAAGAATACGCTATCTACGACAGCCCATCCCCGAGCAAGACTGCCAACCTGTTCGCGACTACTCGGGATGAGAGTACTACCGCATTCAGCGATGCAGCCCCATCCAGTACAGACAGACAGAGACGAGTCCCCAGAAAGATGTTCAAGAGCGACGGCAGGATCTTTTGCGAACTAGATGGTGACGAATGGAATGTCAAGTCTAGGGTAGTTGACACACTGTCTTGGATTCAAAAGAGGTTTATTCTGTACGCTACTCGCAGCAAGCTCAGCAGGCACCCACATCCCGAGAAGGTCAAGTTCAAAGTCATGGTATGCGAATGGGTTGACAAGCAGTCGGAAGCTCCACCAAAGCTGAAAAGAGGCGCTCTTGCATCCGGCAAACCCTTGAAGAAGAGGCTGCGGCCCTCGTCGGAAAGATCTCAAGAAGGATCAACGCCCAAGTCGTTCGCGACACAGTCATTGTCTATGCCGGTGACTATAGGGTTACAAGACAACTTTGGGTTTATTTTCGGACAAGAGAACAATAGCACCTTCAAATTCAGCGCAGGCTCGTTGCAACCTCGACGTTGACCAAGGGGTGGGCGACGGCTGTTGTTGAATGTCACGGTCTCCAGGCCTCTCTCTGGAGGACGGATTTGATAGTTGCCTCGACTGTACTGTAATATCACACCATTCCGAAGGCCTCCTACGACACGGAATGATAGATACTGGCAATAACGCTTAAAAGAGTATTTATTAGTAGTAATGACGAGTCGGTCTTTTGCTGTCGAAGCTTTCGGAAGCTAAAGATTGGGTGAAGGCTGGACTGGTCGGAAAACGCGCCGCAAACCAGGCATCTTTGAAGGATGGGCGGCAGTGTACTTCTTGACGTCATCAGCTGAAGCCGCGGCGCCTGCGTCTTGGCCTTCCTGGCTGACCATGGGAGGAGCTTCTCTAGCCGTCATCTCGCTGCGCTGCCTTGCTTGGGATTTTCTCAAGAAGAAGAGCATGGGAAGATAATCGTACGATGCACATTCAGTCAGATGCGTACACTTCGGAGTAATTACATGCGAATGATTGTTGATGCCATCCCGCGCGTTGGTGCGCGACGACAGAGGCGGAGAATCGCCGCCGATCTGCCCTGATTTGGGGGGGGGGGGGGGACACAGACCTGCTAACTACCTACCTACCTAAACTAATGAGTGCCCAGGTACCCAATTAGGCAGGGCCCTTGCTTGCAGTCCAGGGTCCAGCCACCACGTGTACCAGTACCTAGGCACCGGTAGAGTGGTAAAGATGAGGGGGGGGGTTGGCGGAATGGCCGTTGCCCATGGGAAGTCTTTCAAAATTCGGTTTCTAATGGCGTCTTTCTGGGATCGACATCAGTAATTTCTCTCTCTCGGGGCCTTTTCTACGTGTACAAAGGAAAAAAACATGGTCGATTGTGCGAGCGGAGTAACCGCCGCCACCGTCACCACCACCAATGGCCCTCCTAATCGAGCACGTCGAGTCGGATTTTGGACATTGACATTCCATTATCGAAGACCAGCTCATAGGGTTGCGATACGCAAGCTCAGCGGATGGGAACGAGTCGCGCACGTCATTTGAAGTCCAGACCGACGAGGATGAACCGCCTCAGCTGCGGACAGTGGCCTGCTGCCGGCCCTTGTTGGCGTTGGCTTGCCGGCGCACTCACCCATGGCAAGGGTATGAAAAAGTCTAGGCAACCCTTCCGCCACCGTTCCCCAGAGACGTCTGGTTCTCCCCGGAATGCCTAGCAAACGCCCCATCTCCTCCTCCCAGTCTGCTCCTGACGTCACAGTTCAAGACTGCTACACCCCCTCCCTGGCTGGACGTTCTGGACGACCTGTACAGCCGGACTTTTTCACCCGGGCCATTGGCCACTGCCGGTTGCCGAATACTTGACAGCCACTAGGGTCCTATCCATTGGATCGCTCGGGGGTCCCACAGGTACCAGAAGCCAACGTAACTCCAGATTGCCTTTCTTCGGCACCCTTGCTCTGAGGGTCCCTGGTGTTCAGGCCGCTAGTGCATCTCTACATCACCAACGCGTTTTCCCTCTATGGGCGAGACAAGTGACCTCACGATCCACCCGTAAACACCGGTCCGTTCCATTGCCTTGAGAGAGAGGTGTTCTTACGCCAGCAACAACAGTCCGCGAACCATTTTGTGACATCCGGCCGCGCTGTATTAGGGTAGGTTGGTGAGTCGGGGGATGGTACGGAACCCTGAGCCTCGAGATATCTCGAAAGTCTGGAACCGGCATCACGTCACCCTTCCAATAATGCCTTGCCTGCTCTCTCGTGCTTTCTCCATTGGTGGTTCGGCAGGAGGCGTTCCTCTTTGCCCCCTTGCGATCTTTAGCGCAAGGCTGTCTCCGCGTGGTGCTTTCCATCTTGCTTGCTTTCTTGCTTGCTTGATGAACCCCCTCTGACCTCCGCCCGGCTGAATCAGAATGTGTCGTCGTTCAGTCCCGTTCCTTTATATAGTTCACCACTCCAGCTTCCGATCCCCACGACCACCTTTGGTCTTGCCCATCGTGCATTATTTGCGGTCAACGTCATTGACTCATTTCGGGTCAGCTCGCTTGAAGTTTGCTTGTGTACTTCGTAGCACATCCTCGGCGACCACCCTGCAACTCGGGAGGCCCACACCAGAGCCAGTACCGGCCCGAACAATTGGATGGGTCCCACCCCGGACATTTTTCTCACCCAAGCCACCAACGGCAGCGGCCCGGCGGCGCCCCCAGATTGTAGCTCTGGAACGAGGAAAGATTGTCTCGTTGAGGGCCAACCAACCAGCAGTCGTACACAATGCCCTCGTCCTCGACTGCAGCGGTACGTGATTTCGATCACAAGTGAGTCTGACCCCAAGCGGGAAGTGGGTTTAGGTCATTTACTGACACGTGCCCCCCCTGTTTTTGTTCACAGAGCCACCGAGGAAAAGCCCACGACCCCGCCGTTACCTCCGACAAGAGCTGCCGAGCGCCCCGCAATTCCCGTCAAGTCGGATCCGGGTTATTGCATCCGCCGCTTTGTCGAACCGCCGAAACCATCCGATCGGCCCCCGCTTTTCGCCGGTGTGACGCCGTCGCCGTCGCCGGGGAGTGCGGAAGCCATCGGCCAAGCGCGGATGCAAGGGACCTTGGCTGGGATACTCTCTCCCCTGTTGGATTGACGGATAGTGAGGCTTGTCAATGGACTATCACAGACGGAGGAGCGCGTTCAGTCAGCGTCTCGGCTAGGCGTATGGTGCGACGGGTTGTATAATCGAAGTCGTGTTGCGTCGATTCTCACCTCGATATGTCTGCACCAGTACCAAGTCGGTAGAGTAATGAAACCTATAGCTTTTGGAGTCGCCGGCGTTTGCTGTCTGATGTTGATAAATCCACCTTGTAATCTATCCATTGAATTGATGCGGCAGGCTCGAGAGGCAGATCGGACGGCCGAAATCCAAGTGCCAGGCTCGTGGACCAAGGCACGTTGCTCCGCCAATCTAGCTTGACGAAGAGCAATGGCTCCCGACTGCGAGCGGCCACTGGTCCGGACCTCACCAATGCTTGGCCGCCGGAGATACCCCAGGTCAAGCCACCCGCCTTGACATTCCCCTCCAGAGACCGACGGGCATGTGATGCCTTTAGTGTTTTATCTGTTCTTGGCCCCGCACAGACGGCCTTGACATGCTTTGGCATCGAGTAATCTCGGTCGAGGCCGAGCCACGGTCCTTTGCCGCCTCTAGGAGAGCCACCACCTCGTTACCAAAAAACACCAGGCAGGACGAAGAGCACGGGCCGCCGGTTCTCAGAAGGCCTTTTCCCCTCATGACTGCCATACTACTCCTCCCAGGCTTCCTTGCTTCGGAAATCCTGCTTCAGCCTTGGCTATAAGTGAACCATGCGGTACATTCGACGCTCGGTCTCGCACTGAGGACGAAAGTTCTCCAGTCCTCTTTCCAGTCCCCTGTTTCCGTCCAGAAAACCCGGCAGCTGGTTGCCGTTCTTGCTCCAATTAGTCATTCAATCTCCTCCGCCAGGTGCCGACTCGAATCGCTCGTGCCGGCCTCTCTTAGGTTCTCAAACGTGGGGTGCAGCATGCAGCAGACTTTTAGATAAATCGTCTCACTTGCCCCCAGGCTGGGACTTTTTAGTATACGACAGATGCAGGCCCTCAGCCACGGTGCTGCATGCAGATGCCCTCCGCCACAGGCCTTGCCATTTCTGCTTTGCCATGTAGTTGCGAAAGAAGTGACGTAACTACTTGGGAACCTGATCACCTAGGCTGTTTTCCTTTTGTGCTTGTGTATGAGGTCCAATCTTGGGACTTGGGATGGTGGGGAGCTTGAGCAGAGCAAAGGCCCTTTGACTTTGAACCGTGTGAAATACCTACACACCTTGAATGAACTTGCCATCTCGATGAGTGCCTTATGCTACGCCGAGCCCAGGATTGGCTCACGGCACATGCCGGGTGCCGGTTGCGCTTAACTCTGCCCATATGAGTGACGAACGCCAGAGCGGTCGAGTTTATGCGGCTGGTGTTCGGCCCGAATTTGACAACACCCAAATCACATTTCATGCGAAACGATGACCGTATAAACTGCCAAGGAATACCGGGGAGCGACTCAAATACAGCTGTATCAACCAGGCTAGATGGTCCAAGACAACAGGGCTAGAACTTCAATCGAATCTCTGGAGGCGGGGTCGCTCAGGCTGGCGTGGGGATGGTGGGTGGTAGACACTATTACTAATTAAAGATCGTCTAGACAACCAACCACCCTTCGACTCACGGAATGCCTCAGCCGGGTCAGCCAATATGCTTTCATCAAGTAACTAGTAATGCTCAAATCGGCTTTTCCTTCTTTCGTGGCACGGCCAAGTCAGGTATTTCTTGGACTCCGTCACGCTTCTTACGCGCGGCGGAAGCCGGCTTGCCATCTGTCCGTAATCAGCACCCGGGCTTGATGAGGGTCAGCAGTAAGCTCCGTAGTGAATGGCACGGACGGCGTTTGTTTTTCTTGTGCGGAACGGAACTTCCAACCCACCAAGCCAAGTCAGTTGACTCTATTCATGCTGAACCCAAAGCTGGGTCTTCCAACCGCTGCCCTGGAGCCACATACCAACCCCAACTTGAAACGGTTAGCCGTCATCTCGGTATGACACAGCAGTAGTCTTTTGTAGCATAGCAGAGATGGTTTTCCATCGCTACCGGGTGATTTGGGGGATACAGACCCGGCCGCGTGGCCAAGACCGCTCCTCAGTCCTTGCGCACGGCCCAGTGCTACGGCCGGAAGTGAAACGCGACAGCTCACCCACGAGGGGCAATCGCCGGGGCAATGGACGAGAACAGGGATCGACATTCGATTGACTAGTAGATACCAGGGCCTGGCCTGGATCTGGGAGGACGCGAGACTGGATTTGAAGACCCAGCAGACAAGCTTTTGGCCCCCCGCAGCTCTGCGTCTGGCAGGGCAGTGCTGAGGGCATAGGTTCATCGCCGTGTCCCCTGCATCAAAATAAATGGCCAGCTACATAGATTAGTTATGACGGGTGAGCATGATTGGATCGTAATAGATGTTTGGCGTCATCTCCCGCCCGTGTGGCTGACGCGTGCTCTTGGTGCAGGGGGTGGCATGAGTCTTCGCTACGATCACCCTGAGCCTTGATCATACCTCTTCCCGCTGCCAAGAGATACCCTTCCTATCCCCCCATTATCTTAACCCTTTGTTTTGGAGCAGGATCTTCTTCAACATGGGCCTCGAACTGGCATTGGCAATAGGAACCAAGCGGCCGCCCATCGCCCCAACCCAACCCAATGCGGATGGACACTCAGGAGGATCGATCGGATTTAGCAATTGCCAAGGGCCTCTTCTAAGCGACTCGTGCTTTGCATCTGGCTTTGCTGCATAATGTTCTCTCGCAGCCACAATCCCGAGAGAAATACCAATCGTTCGCTTAGTGAGTGCCGGGGAGGCGCACTAGCAACTAAGGTTTGAGCAGAGGCACTAGTCGACGCCGTTCAGTTCACGTGGAGAGAGGCGACAGGTACTGGTGACAGGCAAAGAGTACGTTTCACGATGTTATGCCTCGGCAGATGTTGCTCTACAGCTGCATGGCTCTTTGACTGTCCTGCTCCTGTGCTGCGCCTACAACGGGCAAGTTCCCCATCGCTTGAGGTAAAAATGTCTGATCTAACAAGTCAGGAATACCGATAGCGTCACTCAGTCTCTCCCGGTCTGAGGCTTGGACTGCTCGGGTCTTTGGGATGCAGCTTGGCAATGCCACCCACAGCCCACCTTGTGGTTGATGGTTCTGCTGCCCCCCTCCTAGTGCCACTCTCTTCAGGGCATGGCGCGTTGGATGTTTCGACCCTTGGGGGCAAACTCGCATACCGAAGCGGATATCCGGCCAGCAAAGACAAGAGAGCTCACAGAGGCATGGATGGCTGTGCCCGAGGACATAAATATCCTATCGCGGGCCCTTCGGCTAAGTTTCCCTTTCTCATCAGATCACACTCATCCAGCTTCACTTCGCCTTCGACAGCTAGTCTTTCGCCCTTTTCGTCTCTTACATCTTTCGCAGCCTCGGCTTCTTACAACACTCGCTCCAACTAACCCGTCTTTCCAACAACTTCACCTTCAACAACCACCAAAATGCACGCCAAGGCCGTTGCTCTTTCTCTCGCCGCTGCGGTCGTCGTCCGCGCTGATCTTCGCATCAACAACAACGACATCCCTCAGGACTGCTCTGCCATCTGCCGCCCTATCCGTGACCTTGGCAACATCTGCACTGTCAACTTCAACCTTGGCCAGGGCAACAACAACAGCGACCAGACTCAGGATCAGCTTGACGCTCAGTGTGTCTGCACCAACAGCTCATTCGACCTGAAGAGCTTGGGTCCCCAGTGCAATGCCTGCATGATCGACAAGGTCCCCCAGGACCAGCAGCGCAGCCTTGAGGGTAAGTTCTCTTGTCACGTCGGGTGCTCTTCGGTACAGCTTCATCTAACCGGTTCCTTCCAGGTATCCAAAGCATCATGAGCGTTTGCCAGCTCCCCAGCGCCAGCGGCTACGTCTCGTCCTCCACCAGTGTCGCCAACACCGTCATCGTCCTCGCCACCCGTCTGACTGCCAGCTCGCAGCTGACCACCACCTTGGGCGGCGCTCAGACTACCGCCGAGCCCAGCCGCACTCGTTCCAGCGACCGCTCCACAATCACCACCACTTTCCTTACCTCCGGCAACGGTGGACTCCCCTCCATCGCCACTTCCACCATCGTTGGCGGCGGCCGCGAGACCGGTAACGCTGCCCCTGGCCTTGTTGCCCCCGGCAGCCACGGCCTTCTCGGAGCTGCTGGTGCCATCGTTGCTGGTGCCTTCGCTCTTGGTGCCTTCATGCTCTAAGCGACTCGCTCCCGCCGGGTCCCAGTTGAGAACGGATGTAAGCTAAGGTAGAGAGGAGGATAATTCATATGGTAGTTTGTTATGTCTGATGATTGAAACGGTTGTGTGAGAAGGGGAGTAACAAGGTTTGCATCACTCCTTTGGTCTTTCTGGGTCTGACTGTACCGCAAATGAGATATCTTTGTACTGTCTACTATAGGGTTGTGTTTGGAATTGAATGATAGATGTTTTGCTTAATTACCTGTGCCATGAAGGTCAATGTGAAAAGCTTGACGAAATTTGCTGATATGATAAGTTGTCACCTTCACCATTCATGGTGATGATTCATTATAACCCTGTGTGTTTGGCCCAGAACAAATGAGGGTGATGAGTCGAGGTCCACGAGACATTTATCCCGTAGTTTGTACCGGCCAGAAAATTAGGCGATTAGGAGTAGACCGAAGTTCGGATTGTGGGCCAAAATCCGGAGTAACGACGAAGCCTCCAATGGGATAAGGTGCGGTTTGTCAATTCATATTATAACCAACAATAGACCGATGCATTTGCTGAAAATTTAAGTTAGAGGATAAGAAATTGACGCAAGGCCGTGTCTCAAATTGGTGACTCGAATAATGGCCATTGGGGGAAATAGCTGGTTATACGACAAGATCTTCCACTGGGTCCATACATGCGTGTTTCATGAGGATGGGGTTGACCGTCTGAACTGGCACGCCGACTGTGGCGATGCTCCGAATGCCGATCTCAAGTCAGCCGATTGTGTTCGGAAAGCAAGACAAGGAAGCACCTTGTCACAGAGGGTATCGCCTACATAGTGTAGTACAAAGCACGCCTTGAGCAGATGCATTGAGAGTCCATGGAGGGCCAAAGTACTGAACCACGTGGAACCGGCACTACGGAGAAGAGATTTGCTTAAGTTTCGAAGATGGACTGTCACTGAATAAATAGTCCTGAACCTCATAGCTATGTGAAGCCAGCCAGCCATCATATAACAGCCACGAGATGGGCAATGATTCAGTGGCATAATCAAGAACATGCTGAATATGCCAAGCTGTGAACTCTCCTTTGGCTTTCGTTCACTGACTTCCGGATACTCAACAGACAGGCCCCTAGGTCGCAAAATTAGGTTCCACAAAAGATAATCAAATCAACGGGCCGAGTAATAGACTCTGTGAGGGTATACACTAGCCAGGGTGCCAGAGAACGAACCGTCGCTTAAAAAGAAAGTCGGATATGGCCTGTAAGTTTGTCAATCAATGGGAACACCTACTCTAAGGGAGACAGGGGAGGCAGGGGAGGCAGGGATAGCTCACGTTACAGTTCGGGCTCCCCGTCACCTTCTATCACAGGAGGCTCATGTCTGTGTGGCGGATACCGTCAGCCACACCACGCGCCATGTCACATGAACGAGCTCGAGGGCCCCCTTTATCACTTAGGCTGCCATTTCTGCCAAGGGCGGGGTAGAGCCAATGCATTTACAGCATTAAGTCCGACAAGCCAATAGTCTGAAGGTACTTCTGTTTATGTACTAATTTGCCTATATCAAAGGTACCAGGATTCTCTGCTTTTATAAAGAGGTACATTACAGTGTAAGTAGCCCTAGTAGGTCTTCTATTACTATACCTACTATCTACTACTAAATATCTTTAGCTAGACCTCTATATAAATAGTAGTATAAGTAGAGGTATCTAAATTAGAGAATACTATAGTTTTAATTCAATAATAATATTAAACTTAGTAGTGTCACCTAATAAAATAGTATTATAGCATTATGTATTGTTATGTACTGCTGTGGAGGGGGGTCCACCTTGGCAGAAATGGGGTCACCTCGCAGCCTAAGGGATATGGGCCCTCCACCCGTAGGATTCTTCTTCTTACAATACAAGCTTTTCTTCACTCATTCGTAGGACCCTATCTGCTGTGTGCTCTAGCTCGTGAGACCTTCCAACACCAAGGCGTGGCAGACTGAAGGCTGGACGGCCAGCAGTCCTTTGTACATGAGCTAAATTTTCTTGGGAAACCACTTCCATCCCCGGTGTTGGGTGCTCAAATGTGATGTTCCATGACCGAGCGCCTTCTTGCCCCCGCCGGCCACCAGGGACGGACTTGAACTGCTTTGATCGCAGAGCGAGATCAATACTAGCGATCAGTGTCTGACAACTCGACAATGAAGAAAGAATGTGGTGGAGTTTATAGTGCTGAATTCATGTGCATGATGGTTCATTATCGATTCCTAGCATTATTTCCAAAATTTCCAAAAGGACCCGTATCGCAATGCTACCCTGTTGTATGCATGATCCGAATGACACCCAACTCCTGACAGTGATGTTATTCCCAAAATGAAGGTACTATCTCTTCGTGCTTCAGCAGACCCATTGCAGACATGGTACTCCTGGCGCCGTGCAAACGCCGCATGGTGAGTTGCAACATGTTGTTCCAGTCGGGCAGATGACACTGCCGCAAGTTTCTGCATCGGCCGCGACGGTACCGTTCGCTTGACATCCGACAGGGTGCTCTAGGTGGAAATCGAAGACTTTGCAATAAGAATTTTCTGGGCAAGTGACGCCGGAGCATCGGTCTTCTGTGGGGGTGGTGTCGGCTTGAGGGTTCGGGGCCGGGGCGGCAGAGGTGCCGATAGCGACGGCAAGAAAGATAAATGGGCGAATGAACAACATTTTGAGTATTTGTTGGCAAAGAGTGACTTTTTCCCCCCCAAGTTGGACTGGTTGTTTTCTTCAAAGCCGGAGTTAAGTTGTAAATAACGGACGACTTTGGGACTTAGAGACACCCGAGAACCAAGCGGGCAACAATAACCTTTTATGATTGCAGCGTGGGGGATTTCGAAGATGAAGGGAGGCAGTAAATGTCATGACTCGGGCAAAAATTTCCTACAGTGTTTGGAAGTAATTAGTCCATGATCTCCACAGGCTTTAATTGCACAAAAATGGGTTAACGCTAAAAAGAGCGACTCAAGCTAACATAGCCCTATTAATGGTCTCCAACGCGCGAGGGATGGGGGGCAGGAGTCGGCAATCACCGACAGGTTCGGACGAGGGCGATCGTCGCAGCTTGGCAGTTCGAGGTATAGATAGATGACATTACATAGGTCGAGCAATTAATAGATAGGATCATGCCTCAGGGGCATCTAACTTTAACTCAGGTACGTATCTAGGTTCGCGCAAGTACAAAATAATAATAGTGTTCTCCCAAGACAATTGACTTTTAACTCTAACATTTCGTGGTTGTGATTATCCCCCCTGTTCCACACTCCAACACTACTGCGTATATTTTTTTCCTCCCCCATATTGTTTGGTTCACTAGTGCTAGCGCATGCGGCCATTTACAGCAAAATTCATTCTTGAGCTTCAGCCGGGTCGGCTTTGCAACCCTGGATGCACGCCGTGCCGGGAGGGGCGCATATATTGCAGAGACTGTTGCAGCATGTAGTTCCATACGGGCAAAAGACTTTACCGCAGGGATCTTTCTCATAGCAGCCAGGCACGCCTTCTTGTTCCCGACAAACGTAGGGAGCTATGCAACGAATGGTTGCGCAGGTAATGATTGGCGAAGGAGCGGGAGGCGACGTTGACAGGATGCTGGTTGTCTCTAGGGGAAGAATTTCCAGTGATGTCGAAGACGCCGATGGGAGGTCAAGTATTGCCGGAGTCAGGGTGGCGGAAATCGACGGAGAGGTCCCAATCGAGAAATCCAGAAGCGAAAGGTCAAGTGATATCGACGGAACGTCGGGCTTAAAATCAGCGATCAGGATAGGTGCAGCTTCGGGTTGGGGGCCGGGCGCGGGGAAGGCTGCGACACCGAGTGCCATGATTAGGCTTGCAATAGCGTGAATAAAGACCATTTTGTGAGTTTTAGGGCGGCTCTTCCAGGAACTTGCACGAGTGATACGTCCAGAGGCCGACATTCAAAGACGAATAAGGGAGAAGCTCACGGCCCCTTTTATACTCCGTGTGATGACCCCAAGTACTCTCGGCAAATCCTGCGATCTTCTTGTAACCTCGTTGCGGACAATCAACATCAACAGACGAACGCGGTTACTGTCTAGGCCTAAGTTTACCATGATCAACGACCAAGAGGCTGATGATAGCGCCCCAAAACTACCTAGCTTGAGCTGTGACAATGAAGACTTCTGATTCTCACGGAAATCCCGTTTATAGAGCACACCATAATAACATATAGCGCAGGGCCCAGCCAGAATGAGCTCCCTGAGTTGCACAAACCCGGTTAGTGCGAGATTAAAGGGGAATGGAGTTAGAAAAAGTCTTCCGCTAGATACATTTATGGCACTTGCTACTCTTCTCGACAGCTGGTGGGCAAATTCCGCTCACTAGCTGTCTGGTGGCTGGCCAGATGACTCAAAAGTGAACCGCCCCGGTCGCTTGCAGCCATAGCTGACACCACGGGCGGTCTAGGCTACGCAACATAGTGTTTCCACAGAGATCAACGTTATCTTTGCCAGAAATTTCAGTCAAAGACCTTTGAAGTTTGCAGCTTGGTCTTGGAGTCTGTCCACGACGGGGCGAGGTTAGGAAACGTTGATCTCGGACCAAGCGAGATACGTGGCATTGGCAAGCTGATCAATCGGTAAGGGGCCTGCCTGATTTGCGGTGATCCGAAGCTATCGTAAGTGGCAAATTACAAAGTTGAGACATGCGACCTTAATTGCTGGACTTTCTGTGGTCTCGTTGCTTGCATGCCGTCGCCACTCATATTCCAAGATCTTCCTAAAGTAAGGTGGTCCTCACTTGAATTAAGGGTATGATCGGTGAAAGTATTGACTTTTCGTAATTGGGTTAGGGGTGACTTTACTAACGAGCGGGAGGCGGGCAGGGGGCTTATGTACCTGTCTAGAGGCTTAATGGTGACCACCGGTCCACCGCAAACGGCGATATCGTATTACCTACCTCTACTCCTTGCCCTTCCCCTACTCTGCTGGCGATAGGCTGCTGGCGATGGGCTCTGCTGGCGATGGGCTCTGCTGGCGATGGGCTCTGCTGGCGATGGGCTCTGCTGGCGATGGACTTTGTTGACGATAGACTTTGTTAGCAATAGGCTATAGGCAGTAGGTGATAGGTAATAGATCATGTGACTATATATAAGCCACAGCGCCCAAATATAACGCCTCAATAACCACTCAAAACCCTAAAACTGCTTAAAACAGTTTTGAGATATTGCTGGCGATAATTAACGCCTTACCTTATGCAACAGGCGCTATACCTATGGCAGCAGTGGCGCTAGGCGAATATAGCGCGGTACAGAGGCGCTTTAATAATTGTCTAGCGGAAAGATCCGTCCAGTGGCAAACTGATTTATGCAGAGGCCACTATACTAATTCAGTTCTAGGGTTGCTAATCCTGGCCTAGTTGTGCATTATGTGGCTCGCCGATTCTAATTACCGATTCTCGATTTCTCTCCCGATCATACCCTAAACAGGGTTGCTGTCTAGTAGTTATGCTGACATATATGGGTCTAAAGGTGTCAGATTGTTGCGCTGAACATACTCGTGAGAAAGGAACGAGTTCGGCTTATCAATGATAACGCGGGAACGCAATTATCCATACAGTTGCGTTGAAATCCCATCGTCTGTGGATGGTGGCACAACAGCGAAGTGAAGCAATACTGCCGTATTAGTGATATCTGGTGGTGTGTGTGATGGATGGAGGAAAGCCTCCTCACAAGGCTATGGGCAGAGGCTGGAGAAGGTGAGGGGCCCAGGAGGTCACGTGACCTCCTGACACACGGGCCCCCTCACAACATCGTCAGCTAAACTCTGAGGATCCCGGCCATTCTTCTTGAAGCCCTCTACCAGTTCACAAACGGACTACTCCTCCAACAGCACCTATGATCTTTTGAGAGAGATACCCTAACCTGTGTACACTAAATAGAATTGTCAATTAATATGTTGCCGGCAACTTGCCCCTGGCTGCTGGGGTAACCTGATTGGGCTGTTGGCCTATTGCTGGATACGTCATTGATCATTGAACACGCAGGTTTGCGCATTTCTACACACGGAAGATGAAGTATTTTGCAAAAAAGGGCTTACAGAGACCGATTGTTTCTGGTAAAGTTGAAAGCATCACGGCCGAGACCACTAAGTCGGATCATCTTATTGCAGATGGCAATTGATTATTATTGTGCGAAAAGGTTAACAGGGTCAGTTTCATATTACATTAATTTAGAGTAGAGACACCAAACATGTGTAATGGTACGTACGTTCGCTCAGCCTACGCCCGGAGCCCTGGTTTCCTCTCTGCTTTCTTATACCCCCCGAGCCGAGTAGTCTATGTGACAGAACTTGTAATCGATGCGAGGTGGATGGCAGCATCCGCGTTTTTTCTTTCTATGTAGATACAATTTTGGGTCTTCATTGAAGACTGTCATAGTGGAAGGAACAGGGTGCATGGTGCTCGTAGCTGTCATGGTTCGAACGAGGACGGTTGTGACTTCTGTATCCTGGGCGCACGCAAGTGAGTAATGCCAACTAACTATTCTTCACTCCCCGATAGCTGGCACCTTGTGAGTTGAAACACCTTTGTACAAGAACTCAGTACTGATTATGCTATCACAGCTGCCTATTTCGGCGGATTTTCGTCATGGGATTGCCACAGTGGCAGTTGGGGAATTGCTTTGAGTGCAATGGCCTTACTTTGACCCTTGTCTTTCTTTTCATTTTCATTTTAATGGCGGCGGAAGAAACGACACGACTTAGTAGATCGAAAAGCAGTGTGCAATCCTTTCCTCTTATGGTCAAATAACCATCACAGGTCCATAGTCCACCCCTCAATAGTGACACTGCCCACCCCAGAAGTCAACACCCCCACCGACACAACATTGTTCAGCCAGTAGTAATCATCGCTGCCAGTCTCAAATATCTGTCTGAGGTAGATCTTGCCGTTCGGTTGTTTCGATCCACTCGTCTGGATGTAGATGTTTGCGCCATCATGCGTCCTCAGGTTATACCGCGTATCAGGATGAAATACGCCTTTCTGGTCCGTCAGACCCCAGTCGGCACCAAGGTCGAGGACAGTGCCTGTCGTTGACACTTAGAGACAAGCCAATATGAGAGACAGGGGATATCATATTAATAGCTCACCATTCAGCCGAGGGCCACTGAAACTCCCGCCTATGATAGGTATCGCCTTGCGATCGCTGTATATTCCCGTTCCAATCTCAATCGAAGAGTTAAGTAGGGCGGTAAGAGTGTATAGATACGTTAGTTTGGGCGTCTGGGGCTCCGGGGTGTCTTGCGAGACGGCCGCACATGCACTGAGCGCCGTTGTGAGGATCCAAGAAAGACGCATGTTGAAAGTTTACTGGTGACTATGTAGTCTGCATTTGGCTCATGCTGTTCCGAATGCGGCACGGCCTCGGTATTTGTACTCAAACCCAAATGCACCTGGTAACTACCGGCTCAGTGGCCCGATGTGAAGACGCGCCCTTCCCCTCTACCAAGCCAACGAATTGAGTCATTACCACACCATAACTCCGGTGTTTTCTCCGAGCAATCCTGCATGCCACTTTGTCATGTTTCTCTCGGTGCCGCTCGTTTCCTCTTGCGGCCTTTTCACACTGAATCGCCGCGGTACCTGCTCGTCCGCAAGTACATGGTTCGCCTGCGTATTTAGCCGAATTACCGAGTTGGAGTTGGGAGTACGGTTGGCGACGATTACAGCAGACGTCAGCTTAGCCGAGACCATGCCTCTGTACATCAAACTTACACTACCTAGGTAGGCAGCAGTGCCGCTTACAAGTGAACCTCCCCCATCATGTTGAAGGTTAGAGCAATACTTGTGCTTCCTGATTGGTTGGTAAGCCCTGCAGATACTACATTAACACTCGACAGGCTGGATGAGGTTTAAGTGCCCCCACTGGATCGCACGCTGGTGCACAGTGACTGAGTGTCTGACTGGCCCTCATCACCACGCACATTAGATAGACCACAATATAACCAGGGTGAAAGGCCGGCTCCTCCCCCACCACCACATATCCACTCTATCGGCACTTACGCCCGGCTAGTAACGAGTGGTTTGCGGGGAGGGGGAGCGGGGTCAGTGCTGGAGATCTAGCTCCAAAATGCGATTCAAGTGCTCCTCCAGACGACCCGCTTCCTCCACCAGAAACTAGAAACAGATCTAGGCATAACCTATCCGCCTCCTGTATATGACACATACCGATTCCCGAATCTCTCTCTTGGTGTCTGGATTGTGGGTTGAAACACATGTTCCGAAATTTTCAACGGGGTATCGAAGTTTCCGGGCTTCACGCCCAAATTTCGATGAGATGTAAGCTCAGATGTAACGAGGACATTTGCAGAATGACCCAAGGAGCATTTCACGGGATCGGTGACTTAATATTTAGCTATGAGGAAGGTCGGCGCGGCCGTGGGGACGGTGTGCTTTCGGGGCCGACTTCTATGGTCACGGAGAAGATTAGTAAACCTGGGTCTCCGGCGTCGAGACGGGATGTGGGGGCAGGGTTATACATCATACTGTGTAGGATATTTGACTACTCAACGGTCGCTATATGTCGTCACGCGACAAATTACCCGTAACTGAGACGCCTACAATCTTCTTCCGATAATGTAGACAGAAGCGTCTGTCGCCTTAATGTAGTGGTATTCTGAAAAGCAGTGTACCGTAACCGTTGCATATTTTGCCCACCCCCGAGTTTCTACCCAGCAAACATACCAGCGTACTGCGTCCTTTAACCCATCTCCTCCTAGTTTAGCCGTAGCTACTGTTCATCACCGTCAGTTATCACCACATCTTGAGCTCTCGCATGTTTGTAAAATTTCAGGCCTCCTCTCCGGCGTTGTTCGCATACCAAGCCTTCAAGGAGCTAATGTCTTCAGCGCTTAGGGCGGGGCTGTCGGTGGCGTGGAGGGAGATGACATATGCTACCAGGCTGCCTAAGTTCTTTGGATCGGCCGCAAGACCCTTTGACTCAAGGATAGCGTTGGCCCGATTGGGATCGTTGACAAACTGTTCCAACAGTGCCAGCTCGTCTGCGTCGAGGATAGGCTCGGGGTCACTATTGCGTGCGATAATTTCTTTGGCGAGTGTGCGGTTCGCAAGCATATCGGCAACTGACGGTCCAGTGTATACGGCGGCCATCTTCCAGGTGATTGAAGAACACGGATTGGGCAGATGTGAGGATGTTTGATGATCAGAGGTAACAGGGACGTGTAGGGAGGAGCGTATCAAGAAGCTTCTAAGATGGATGGTGCTTTGGTTGATATAAATATTCTAGCAGCAAACGGATGCCTAACCTGCTGGCAGGGATGACCAGTAACTACAAACACACCATTCCCGAATGGGTAGGAGATGCCTATTTGCTTGTTGGACAGCAAGGAAAACAATGGTTGTTGGACCAACATGCGTAGTAATTCCTGGAATGTTAGCCAATTATAACAACATGTTAAAGCATCGATAAGGCCCATGTATTATATCGATTCTCGGCTAAATTTAATCTATGATAGCTCACTTTCATTCGTAGTCTCTCTCCCTCATCATGATAAGCTGGGCCACATATTGCTTGACATAGGTGACAACGACAGCATTGCCAATGACGAAAATAGGCATCAGCATTTGGTGAGGGGAGGAAGCTATCACCACCCAAAGTAAATAGACAACGGTTATCCTTGTCTTGGCAGCGTGGCCCTCACAAGAGAAGCCATTTAGCAAACTCGGTGATACTACCTTGTGATTTGGGCAGCGGTAATCAATGATACCGACACAATGGTATTGAGATTGATTGGTGTTTTCACAGGAATCTCTGTATCCCTGCCTCAACTCTATACGACTATCATGAAACTAATTCAGATACTTGCGGAGGTTCTTGCGTGTTGCCTATTCATACATGTCTTGTTGGAAGTCTCAAGGCACACCCGAACAGGTCATGAGTGTTATGTCCCGCACGCAGTAACAGTAGAGTTCTCGACTGAATTTTCCTTTAATATAATCTGGGCTGCAAGACCACATGTATTAAAGGTCTAGACAGTAAGCTCTGTAATCTGCATGTGTACTTTTTTGTCATTGGTCTTGCAGACAAGTTGGTGGTCTGTTGGGTTGATCAAATTTACATCTGCGACGGGCCGAGAGAAGCTGGAAGGCTAGCTGTGTAACAACAAAGCGGATGGCTGAGTAAAATACTGCAGCTATTTCGTAGTGCGTCTAATTTTCCACCTACTGTTTCATGGAAAGAATCAACCTGATCATGGTCTGCTCTTATCAATTATCACCCGATTGACACAGAAGGAGCAAGGTGCATTTTGAGAATTCCATAGGTGTGAAATGAAGTCCGTCCAACTATTGAAATATAAATGTGGTAATGTGTTGCAATGGGCACGGAATTAAGCACCTTGTCCTCTTTGTCTGCCTGTATCGGGAGAGTTGTTGTTGGTCGGCTTGGGCCACCCGCTTCCATCTGACGCTTCAAGGTACACTAAAGCAAAGTGGCGCTGTCTTATGCCAAATGCCAAGGTCAGGAACCGTATCAGTTGTTATCAAAAATGGGCTGATCATGTACCTCGCATGTCAGCTGAATCTAACACTAGCCAACGACAGTGATTTTTCATCGCCAGCGAAGCCAAGTTGATTTTGCATAACCCCTGAGCTGGGGAATTTTCTGCCGAACAGTTTGGTGAGGTTCCCACGCTACCAGGATTAACTGCGGGGCTTTGAACATGGAGGCTCAGACGGGGTCGTTCATAAATTGTAGGCTAGACCAAATGAGGAGCTTGTTTCGATAATACCAGGGTTTTGTGCGGGCTCCCGGCTGCATCCGACGTTGCGTTTGCCCTGGTGACTGGCGCACAAGCACAGTCACGATCAGTAGAGCCTGACTCCTCATCCCCATCGGTTTCGTGATATCTCCGAAGTGCCTTTGCCACGAGGGGCATTCTGCAGCGCGTCCCGTCCGTAAGCACCCACCACCACCCAACTCGAATCTGGCGTTCCTGTCAACAACCGACAATGGTCTTTCTGGGCCGTCCGTCAGAGGCATGCGGCCCCTGTCGTGAGGGAAGACTCAGGGTTCGTACTCCATTCCGTCCCTTTTCCTACTGGTTCGCTCGTGCCGTCTGCCAGCCCGTTAGCCCTACGGCGGCGGACTTTGACCGACGCAAACTCTCCCAACCCGCTCTACCTCTCAGATGTCAGCCAAGGCTAACCGCTTCTTCTTGTTGTTGTTTTGCAGTGTGATCAACTGCAGCCCGGGTGCACCCAATGCCTCCGCAAGCACATAGCCTGTCCCGGCTACAGGGATCCTTCGGAATTCTACTTCAGAGACGAGACCGCCAACGCCGCGTTCAAAGTCCAAAATAGGAAACCCAGGAGACGTTTGCCCGCTAAGACAAAACAAAAATCAAAACTGCATGCCATTGCAAATTCACAGGAGCAACAACATGCAAGTTCAAGCAGGACGCCAGCAACATTGTCAACGACAATGGCCGTCGCAGCGTCACAGGCAGCTGGAACCTTGGCCATCCCTGATGTCTCTCCAAGACCACCGCCTGCCGAGCCATCTCCGGCATCCAGCCTGGCTCGTTACCAAACCATCTCGCAGCCCATGGATGATCTAGCACGCACATACTTCATGAGGGAGTACATAGCATCTTCTCCTTTTGAGTATCTACCCAGACTCTGTCCTTATGGCTTACAGAACAATGACGCAATGTCAGCGTCAATACTAGCAGCATCCTTCGCCAGTTTATCACTGAAGGTATCGGAACCAAAGATGATGAAGTTGGCCAGAATGCATTATGCTAGAGCGCTGTCTCAAACAAATCAAGCTCTTAGCTCACCAGAACGCGCCGTGGAGGACAACACATTGGCAGCGGTGCTACTTCTAGGACTTTTCGAGGCTATCGTTTACTCTGGGCAGCAATCTCTAGATACCTGGAACCAACATACGCTCGGCACCGTGGAGCTTCTCCGCCTACGTGGAACTCGACAGTTTGATACGCCTCTCGGTCGGCAGCTTTTTGTGCATTCCAGCGGCAACATTCGCACGAGCTGCGCATACACCAAGACACCTGTTCCGCAACGGTTTTTGAAGGTGTACGAAAATGCCAAGCCGCACCTCGATCTCGATGACCCTTTCCTCAAGATGACTCCAATTCTTGATCGTGTTGCGACTTTGAGATCGAGAATCGCCAGTCTGAGAGACTCTGAAAGGCGCGAGGTTCTATATGAAGCTCTTGACTTGGATGCGGCAACAGCAAAACTTGGTGAGAAGGTCCCAGAAGAATGGAGATTTACGGCAAGGCGCCCAGGAGAGCGATCTCCTATATCCTACAAAGGAATGTCTTTCCGCTACCCTTCACTGCTGATTCTACGGTACTGGAACTCGCTCAGGAGCATTAGAATGTTCCTCAACGATGCTATCTGGATACAATCATCACTCGCGCTTGACCGCGGGCCGGAGCCGGATGACGAGACGGACTATGAAGGGCTTCAACGGTCCGCTAGCAGGAAAATGTCAAGTCTTGTTGTCGAAGTACTTGGTAGCTGCGGCGAGTATCTCGAGTTTTCCGAGGATCGGTTCTCTGTTTCAGCAAGGTGCCTTATCTGGCCGTTGTCGGTGATCGCCGAGATTTCCTCAACGCCTCCTGATGCGCGCCTATTTGCACTTGACTGCCTAGATCGATTGGGACGTGGTGGGCCAACCCTAATGTCAGTTGCAGAACTAACGAAAGGAGACAGTGTCCAAATAGACTGGTAAGTTAAGCTTTGTTTCTACCCCATTCGCCCTTGTCATAACAACATTGATGAGTTGGTACCCAGACTTCGTCTTTATCATCTTGCATAAAACATCCGGTGCCCCATTTCTTGGTTTATGATATTAATACATACTCACGCCCTTATTAGACTTCCCGCGGTTGATAAGGAAATAAGAAGTCAGAAACAATCTATTATCACGGCCTCTTCTGTGTTGCCCGGATGAATGCACGAACCCGTTGCCTTCAGGCAGGCAGGCAGGAAGTAATCTTCTATTCCAGCTGAGGATATCACCAACCCTTTGAACCTGTCGAGCAAGGGAGATAAGATGGTGTGCTCCCAAATGTATTCACGCCGTATGCATTTTGTTGTGCTGCCATCTCGGCAGGAGTTTGCGATATAGCGGCATCTCTGCGTTTCTTTCTAATCTGAAAGTAGAGAGTCAAAGCTGCGATCAACAGGCTTGGTATTCCGACACCCAAGCTTGCAGCCAATGCTACTATATCCGATTTGTTCAACCCAGTGTCTCCTGCCGCCGATGTCTGCAGGGTATTGGCGGAAGTCGTTCCGCTTACAATAGAGCCTAAAGTCTGTGTTGGCGTTCCGACATCCGACGATTTTGCAGCGTTTTCCACTGTCGGAGAAGAGGCTAATCCGCCAACCGTTGTTGTCGCCTGCGCTTCAACCACTGCTACATTTGCGGTTGCACAGTACGAGTCGTACAGGTTGAGCATGCTCGTCAGATCGACTGACCAGTCATTGACTTTGCTGCACCCCTTGCTGACGCATGAGGAGATGTAGGAAGTTGCCGAGCTACCAAGGGCCGTGTTGCAATAGCAGCCATTAATTGACTGGCAGCCACATTGAAGAGCCACTCCCAGATCTTGGTATCCGGCGTTAACACCACACTGCCATATACCGTTGTGTACAAGGCAGTTAGCTGCACACCCCCTTGCTGTGGAGTACGCTACTTCGGAGTGAAGGGTTACCGGTGCGAGGGCACCGCCTGTTGTTTTTGCAATCGACATGAGAGGGGAGAATATTAAGGAGCAAGCAGACAGATTCCAGAGCTGGAATGGGCTTCGAAACCCGAAATTGGCATGGCGGATGTGTCCTCGAGCCATGTTACCGAATCACGTTCAATGATGTGTTTTTTTGATGTGATTGGAAACGAGGAAGGAGACAGAAAGGGAGCGAAGTCTGAATATGGATGAAAGAACAAAATACCTCCAGCGAGGCAACACCTGAACATCTTATCCCTTTGTAGTGGTTTCCTTGTGGCCCAAAGGATAGGGCTGAAATTTCCAACCCCAATAAGGTGGCTGGACGTTGCTTGATTTGTGGCTGGACTACTCCCATTTCAGCCGTACCCCGAAAGCCTACAGTGCCTTCGAAAAGCGGCTGAGAGCTAAGTGATACCAAAATAACAATGCCCATGGCATGACGAGGTACTGATTACAACAGTTTCAACTAAAGTGTGCTCGTGGATGTTTCCGTCAGAGATCTGCGATAGGGGCTTCTCAGAACGCTTGGGAAATCATGAGCCACGGAGTGTGAAGCATAGGTTGATTTTGGCATCGCCTTTTCTGAGGGAATAAAGCCTGGAACTCAAAGCAATTTGAAGGTCAATTGATACAAGTGTGGTACAAATTTGTCCGTGTCTTAGCCATCAGGCGGCGAAGGGTGTTATCGGCGCGGTGACAATTCGCGACAACATCGCGAGCACTATCTAATAGAAGCGAAATCACAGACATTGCTGAGAAGTTCATGGGTATTTCCAGAGGCACATGGTAGGGCGACGAGATGGTGGCCTAGTACCAGATTTCTGGAGTAACTTGAACCTGAAAACCTTACATGGGTTTAAGTCATGCAGGTGAGCTTTCAAAATAGATCACAGCAGCCTTAATTCAACGACTTCTGATCATGAGATAAATATCGACCTCTACGAAGTAAAGTAGAAAATACGATGGCTCTCGAAATCTATCCGCGAGACGAGGGACAATAAAATAAGGCTAGGTGGTGTCAAAACGTCACACCAATAGATCGCAAAAACCTTGATTCCGGAATCGAGCTATTTTCCCGCACTGAAGTCCTATTAACACTTTAGTGAATAAAGTCCCAAAATCTTTGGTGGCTGTAAGCGGCGATTCCTGATGGCAGGCCCTCTCTCTTTATTATGGGCGCTCCATGTGCGTGTCATGGTCCGAAAACGTTGCAAAGGAAGTGGTTTTCGGGTGCGAGTACACACGCCCGGTCAAATATTCCACGGCAAGCAGAGACCTCGTTTAGCAAAGCCCCGTCCATCTCAAGTGCATAAAAGGCATGTACATATGGAAGAACAACTTACACTAGGACCGTAAAGCTGGGAATCTGTACCCCAGCCATGAGCCATGGCTGAACTACGTCTATCTCGATGAGATCAGCCGATACAGCCTATAAGATGCGATGTTAAGTCAACAAGGTTTTTGTCGACGTATAAGCAAAGTTTTTGGAGACCGGTTCTCCCCCTACCCACAAATCCATGTGTATACATAAGCCCGCCGGGATACCAAGCTACTGTCGGAGAATACGATGTTGTCGGAACAATACGATGCGGTCGGACCCAGCCGTAGCAAGTGTTCCTGGCATTCAGCGGCACTCGATGCGATACACCGGCGGCACTTCCCACTTCTGAATGGCTGTTGCTTTGCACAACATGCGAGGTTGACTGGCATCACCATCCTAAAAGGAACCCCGTTTCTGCATGTTGGTGCTATCCACAAAGAATTGACTCATCCTGTCATCCTAGGTTATGCGTACTGTGTGTCTTCATCAACCCCCATCTAGGCAAAAGCACGTTTCACCACGGAGGCTTCCTGTAATGGTGTGGCACTCCATCACGCTCTAATCGAAAAACAGTACAAGATGAGCTGCCTAATCGGGTGTAACGTGGTGAGGAATTGGGGCGTTTCTCTTCGAGGGGTTGGGGTGGGGAAGCCACCATCTGAACGAAAATGGGAAGCTCCGCCGCCCCTGCATAATCATCTCATGCTTACTGAGTTGCAGCGACTGTCAATCTTCTCTAATGTCCGGATGTGGCTGTATGCGGCAGGGTGCTATTGCTGATTCCGTAAATCAGGCCACAGAATGGTTTCTTCTTCAAGTAGCCAAGGGCCGGTGGGACTTGAAATCTCTGCCCCTAGGTGTGGCTCAAGTAGCATGCATATTGCGTGCATAACTGAATCACACTCCCGCGAAACCCATGGGGGAAGGAGGCTAAGTAGTGGCACCTGGACCAATGCTCCGGAGGGATTGTGGCCTCCGCCGAGTATGTAAACAGGGCAGTTTCCCATATTCCTGAAGGGGCCGTGCGGTTCTTGATCATCGTGGCAACCCTGCTATGCGGTTACTATATCCGTAGTAAAGATTCAATTGTCTTGGCTCTCCCCGTCCCCCGAGATGGCTCAGCTTCCGTCTGGAGCTGCCGGCGCCGCCGCCGGCGCGATGGTATACTCCTGCATCAGCGAGATCTGTAGTTTCCTCATGCTGTGGTTGACCTGGTCACATGGCGAACAGTTCACCTGTGAGTTGATACTCTTCTCACGCAATTGACCATCGCCAGCTGATCAGTACGATAGATGTGGCATGCGTTGCCTATTTTACCCTGTTAAGCACGACTGCCTCGATCATCCAGCAAGTTCACGATATCATAACATGGCGAGACATGCTGTGGGATCAGTTCAACAACAAGAAATTGAACCCAAATAATGCAGAACAGGCTATTGCCAATGGCTCGGTTGGTATGGACCTAGTTCTGTACTACATCCAGTACTACTGTTACAGTGTAGAAGCAATGTTTGTTATGTTTTGGTAAGTAATACATACAAATAGAAGACCCTTGGAATCACTGGCAGAGCAATTGATTGATGGATTTCTTCAAGGGCCATTGCACTCGCACAATCAGTTTACAGGCTGAACGAACGCGGGAAACTCAGACGAATGCTGAACAAAATCAATGCGGCCGGCAAGATAATTGCTGTCGTTTTCCCGCTTTGCACGATTCTATCACTGCGCATACCCGCCTTGCAAAAACAGCTTGTTCCATTTATCCTCGTTGCAGACCTGCCGCGTAAGTTCACGTTATTGCTGTTACAAGGTGTGCTTGAAAGACTAACTTCCTCTAGTCATGTTAAGTCTCGCTGTGGGGTCTAGTACAATGCTGGTCATACTCACGAGATACGTCCAATCACGAAGGAAGTTGACATCGTTCAACGTCAGCTACGGAACCTCGAGTCAATCAGGGTCAAGGAGTGCCGACACAACAGTCAATTCTTCTATGAACAAGTCACAGCCCACACGCAGTGTCTATGACAGATGGCTCATGGGGCGCTTCACAATAGCGTTTTTTGCACTCTCGTAAGACCCTATTCCATTGACTTGGTTACAGTAACCCAACGATACCAACCCTCATTCTAGGATCTTCGAAGTTACCAACACCTTGTTCCAACTAGCTTCCATCAACAACATTAAGAAAGATGCGGCTTTGACCGAACCAGATTTCAGCTTAGAACGCGCTAGGACGACCTTTGCGCTCTTTCTCCCAGGCGTGACACCGGGCATCTTCCTCTTCATCATTTTTGGCACGACAAGAAATTGCCGAACGTTGATGTTGGAAACTTTTACTCTCCGAAGATGGCGCAGGTTGAGGGAGGAGAAGAGGAACACTATGGGGGCCTGCGCTGCCGGACGCAGAGACCTGAGGAAACCTCTTCCATCTCTGCCCAAGGCTCATTGGGCGGATGAGGCACAGGGCGAGAGCATCCAGATGCGTGCTCCCAGATCGGAAAATGCCAGCGAGAGCAATCTCAGCGATGGAGGATCCATTCTGCCCATTATGAAGCCTGACATGAAACATCATCCTAGGGAGGGTCATAAATCACCCTGGAGATCGCCAGCTTTATAGAATGCCGAGACTGTTTCCTTTTCATAGAGATACTGTATGTAGCACGAGGTTATAAACTAGTAAATAATTCGGACTTGACGAAGACAAAAGGAAACTTGACGTCCGACCCAAAACTGTGATGGCTGCTATCTAACTCCCCCACCCTATATCCGAACCACCCCCACATCCGAACCACCATCATCACCACCATCGCCACCACTATCACCACTTATTTCACTATCTCTGCCGCCCACCCATATGCAACTTTCGGCCTCGCTGGGCAATTTGGATGCCCTAGATTCATCCAGACTATCTATATTGCCAGGATCTAGACTTCAGGCCCAGATTATATCCTCTATAGTAGTAAAGGTGCTGTTAGGCGATAGGCAGACCTTTTTCCTCTTACGTAACTATATATTATCTAACTAGGCCTGTAATAAGTTAACCTGCCTTTCTAGAAGGGCTGCTCTAGATGCCTGCTTATTATAGCCCTTTTGTATCTTTCTAGATAGGTAACAAATAGTATAGGTATCTAGCCTATCCTTAGCTAGCTAGGTTAACTAGCGTAGTTAATGCTATAGATTAGCAGATTAACAAGGGGTTAACTATAGGATAATAGATTTAGCTTTATCTTACTACTAGCTGCTAGGCTAACTTAACTACTAGCTAGCCTAGATAATCTAATAGGCCCTAGTTACTATTAAGTTAGATAAGGGGCGTCTTATATATATAGGCTATAATCTAAATAACCTTTAGCTACTACTAATATTAATAGATATAATAGATACCTTATAGGCCTTAAAATAACACTTTAAGAATGCCTTTTTGCTAGTAACAGTTAAATTTATAACCTAGTTATCTAAATATCTAACCTCCTTACAATAGGCCTGCTTTAATAGGCTAAAGACAGCTATATCTAGAGGCTAGAGGACAGTAGAGGCGTGTAGCAGTAGAAATAGTAGATATATATTATACTGCTAGTATTACTATATAAAATTAATAGTTATATAGCTATAATACCTATTAAGAACTAGTAGTCTAGCCTCCTCTAGCTAGGCAGGCTTAGTGCGTAAGATAAAGACCTTCTCTAGCTATTTAAGGGCAGTATTATTAGTCGTCTAGCTATTATTAGTTACTATAAATCGCTATAGCTTATATATATTAAGGTTAGATAGGAACTACTAGGCCTAGAGTGATTTACCTTTATATATAACTAAGGGGGGCAAGGAGCTACTAGTAGCAGACATATACTTAATAATAGATACCTATGCCTAGGATCCTAGCTGCTTTTTCTAGATATATCGTAATGCCTTAGAGCCTAGCACTAGCCTATTACCCCCTTTGCCCTTTATAATACTAGTCTTATCTATATTCTATCTATTAGATAGATAGATCCCTTAGATAGCAGGGTGCTAAGGCAATAGAAGAAATCCTAGATAACCTTAGGGGAATAGGCTGCCTATTGCTAGGCATTAATTGCTCTAGATTAGAGGGTTCTAATAGATAGATTTTGCTATATAAATTAGGCTATCTATTTCCTCCCTATAGGAGGATGCCTATTACTTATTATACGCTTTACTAGGCCCTTTACTTATTAATAGTTAACGTATCTGCTAAGGGACTATTAAAGGGTAATATAGGCAGCTAGATTATCCTCCTAGGCCTAGGATAAGTGCTGCCTATCTTTAAAGGCAGTATTCCTACTTTACCTACTAAAGTATTAATACTAAAGTGTTATATATAGTATACCCCATCTGCAAGCAACAGCCCAGAGGCTATACTGCCCAGACTACACATCTAGGAGGGCCCGTTAGAGCTCATCTTCAGAATATTACTTCATAATAGTTTAAAGAAGGTATCCTAAAAAAATAGCGTTATTTAGTAATAAATAGTAATTGTTAAGATAGTTTAAAAAAGGTAGTAGTGTTAATAAAGGAGGGGAAATACGGGAATTTCGGGTGGTTCAGATGTAGGGGTGGTTCGGATATAGGGTGGGGGAGTTAGACATAGGGTTCAGGGGGAATTACACATCTTGCTCGATGACAGAACCCAACGGTAATTAGGCCAATGTCGGCTTTCGAGGAATCCGCAGCATATCTAGGTCCGATAGCTAATGGGCAGCTAGCCATTATTTCCTCGGTGGTGTAAGAAACCTGGAACTTTGGTGAAGAAACGATCACTTCAAGGCGGGTAGATACGTACAACGTCTTTCGATTTAGAGTTTGCAAGGGCAAATCAGAGGCAGTTGGGACGGCAGATGCTTTTGGCACACTTGCAGTATGTAGGTATCAGCCAACTCTGTCGTCTTAGTGACGCTAGACCATAGGCTACGAACTATGAGACCAGACTAAAATGCGTTTATTTTAGCGAGGGAACCAGACGCCCGCTTTTCCACATGATAGGTTCCAATTATATTGGATGGCATGATATGTTCTCCATTCCATATCAGCAACCCATATTGGAAGCATAATGCTCGTTAGTCCCGATTTCACGATATGCAACCCGATCTTTCGGGTTTGCTCACGATGATGGTATCGATCTACCTGGCGGGCGGGAGGGGGAGGGGCCGGGGGGTTTGGACAGTGCCCCATCATAATGTATCTCTAGCGAGCGACCTCAGGGGTCTGGTATTACCCGCCCGACATACGATGTAGTAGGTACCAATTGTTATGTACTGTCTGTCATTTTGCTCCTGTCATTTACAGCTCCTTCTCTCTGGCCATCTTCTTCATTCTTGTCTTTTTCTTCTTTCTTTCTTGTCTAAATCTAGCCATTCAGACTAGGCTGACATAGATCTACATCTTTAGACATCTCTAAAAACTTAGACAAGAGAGTTGATTCTAGGACAAAAAGGGTTCGAATGACATTCGCATCACCCTAGAATCTAGATGCAGCCTGTGGAGTAATTGATATTCTATGCGGAGTACTGTTTATATTCACCTGGTCATAATGTATGGACACTGTCGAGAACCCCCTCCCGGGTAACCACCCCCCCCCCCCCCCCCCAGTATCCGTAGGTAGTGGAACGTCCCGGTTGAGATAAGAAACTGCACAGACCATACGGATACCTTCCCCGTCATTGTGGGGTGGCTCAGCCAGGACAGTAGAAAGGGGGGCCTCTGTAGGCACGTGACAGATGCGCCACTTTCGCAAGGCGACCAACAACATACAACACCAGCCTCATCAGCCTCACAGGACTTTGCTTTGCTGTGTGAAGTTATCTCCCATTTCAGAAACATCATCAAAAAACGGCTGTCCGGCTAACTCTTCGCGATCGAAATGGCTAGCACCGCACCCGAGAATGCCGAGCAGGCCCCCACTGTGCCGAACACACAGGAAGCTCCCACCGAGACAGCAGCTGCCCCGGCCGACGCCGCTACCGTCCCCGAAGCGGTCGCACCAGGCCCCGAGCCCAAGGCCATCACCCGCAAAGACATGTCCTTACGCGAGTTCTTGACGAAAATGGACGACTATGCTCCAATTGTGAGTTTCCGTCTGCTTCCCTATGTCCCCGCACCCGAAGCTCCAGGCTAACGCTTCCCCCCCCTCCTAGATTCCCGATGCAGTCACAAACTACTACATGACCAAGGCTGGCCTCCCCCCACCGCCGCAGACCGATCCCCGCCTCGCGCGCCTGCTCGCCCTCGCCACGCAAAAGTTCATCGCCGACATCTCTGCCGACGCTTACCAGTACAGCCGCATCCGTGCCTCCAACTCTAACGCCAACAACCCCATGGGCAACCTAGGCGCTGCGGCGGGCTTCCCCATCCCCGGGCAGCCCACGGGCCCAGCTGGCGCAAAGGACCAGGGCCGTGGTGGGCCCCTCGGTATCCAGAGGCCAGGCTACGGTGGCGGTGGACAGGGCGGCAGCCAGAACAGGACCGTCCTTACTATGGAGGATCTCGGTATGGCTGTCGGCGAGTACGGCGTCAACGTGAAGAGGAGCGAGTTCTACCGATAAGGTACGGTCTTGCTGTTTGTCGAGGAGAAGGGTTTGCATCTTTGGGCTGATGTATATACATATAACACGGCGTTAGATGGTCTGGGTTCGGCGTCTCGGGGTCAATCAGGGCACGATCAAGGGCGGGCCGGGGTTTTTCTTTAGGAACGGACAATTCAACAGCGACGGAGATGATGGATACAACGTAGTAGACATCCACACAAAGGCCCATCAGGAGGGTCATCATAGGCGCAAAGCCACAACACCTTATGCTACAAGTTTATCGCTGCTATCTTGACAGTGTTATACATGTATTTGTCTTCCTCTGCCTTCCCAGGAGCGCTGTTCGAGTTGTTCGAAAGTCGCACCTCACAACCTGGTCCAAATGAAAGGCTTTCTCGTCCTACCATAAATTAGTCCAGGAGCTTCATCACTGAATTCCATGCGCACACGTACGGTGAGAACTCCCCCAGCTTGTGTCCGACCATGTCTTCCGTAATCGTTACATCAATGTAGCTCTTGCCGTTGTAAACCTGGAACTTGAGGCCGACGAAGTTGGGCAGGATTGTTGCGGAACGGGCCTGCGTCCGGATGGGCGTGATCTTCTGACCAGGCTGGGGCCGCACGATAGGGAGACTATTCGAACAAATGTCAGATTCGAGGGTTGGATCGAGAGGTTTCGCAGCAGGAGGGGGGGTCTCCTTACGGGACGATGTGTGGTCCTGGAAGCGTTTGGTTAGCTCATGACTTTGGATTCAGTGCGCAATCCATCAGCAGTTGGGACTCACCCTTCCACACGGATCTCTTCAGCAGGGCTCTTGTTGGCTGCATTTTTTGCAACGCCGGTTTTTCGCGATATGATGGCCCTGTTTGGGATTGATAGCCGCCCCTTCAGATCGATCGCGACTCGGGAAGAATTTCCGTGCTCCCAGAGTTTGTCCGCGTCACGTGATGGCTCGGTGCTCCGTGCGGAGCCGACTTTCCGTTAATTCTCGGCGAGCCAACGACGGATCCACCTACCGATTAGCCATGCTTCAAACCTATGGAGGACTTGAGGCGGAGAACAACTGCAATGGACACTCTTGTTCGGATCAATTTACAAGCAACACCCCTTAATTTAAACCTGCTCAATGCTGTTGTCACGTTGCAGAACGAGCCACAATTCCGCATCTGCCCACCAGCCGCATGTTGCATGGTCAGCCTGCACTGCGTTGGAGCAGCGGCAAGCCTCAACCAGCAGCTGTGATGAGATGATTCTGTCCAGGGTTTGCCACAGCTAAAGGATTCCCTGCCTGAAAGCAATCTTTAATGTTAGCCCGAAAACACCCATTTGCCCTTGGATCCTCAGGTGTCTTCAACAGTTCGTTTCCAGCGATACCGCGTCTATAGAAATGATATCACCGAGGTTATGTTTCTCTTTCAAGACCATATTTCATTTTTTAAAGGTCCATCTACCTCTTTCGCGCCGTCACCCCGCGGTCATGGCTCGTTCTAGACCCTCATCTGTTCTCCGCGAGCCCCATTGTGATAATCGTTGTGGGGTTAGAAAACCCCCCAGTTACCACGCGGAAGAAGTTCCCCCGCGACTTGAAACGGCCAACTTTAAACCCCACCCTATTCGTGCTGCCAAAAGCTTGTTGTTTGTTATAGATGACTATTCGTCCAATATATAAAACCAGCAAGTTGTCCCCCCCCCTGGCACTTTAAGCCGGCACTCTTTACCCGCGTAAATAAGCTCAAGTTTCCGGATGTGCTATCCTCCGTTACCCAAAATCCCTCGTGTGATGATGCCGTTGGCAGCCCAGCTTCACCCGCGGGAAGACTGGGTCGGGGATGATAAACGGCGACGCCATGGCGCAAAGTAGCCGCGTACATCGACACTCGATGCCGTCTCATGATGATCCACGTATACAAGGTCGAAAGGAGACGTCCGCATTTCCGGGTATTCATGTTTGTTCTCCTCCTAGACTTGGGACTGCCCCACACGGCACATCATCTATGCCAACTTTCCAAGCAAGTTTAGCTAGAAATGCCTTCGCATGCCCTCACTACCTTGCATTGCTATGGAGCTTTAACAAGATTAGACGGCCTTACTGAACGGGTTCCCTTAGCTAGTTACGTCCAGTCATTGCCCACAACTTGTGATGTTTCGTCTTGATAGACGGGACGGAATATGGAGACCCATCTCACTGGCCGGAGAGTGGCCAATTTTCCCGCCTTCCATAGTTCAGTCGCCAACCATGCATTATGCTTTCCTCTACCGCTGCGCGATGGATCGGACGAGAGGGGGGAGGGGGAGGGTCGTCAAAGTAGTATAAAGTCGCCATGCCTCGGCGTCATCCTAGAATTCGTCTTGTCTTCGATGGCGATGACATCCGATCCCTTGACCATCTTTTCTTTCTTTTAACCTTAACCTTTCTCGTTCTGGTCGCTGAAAATCATGAAGTTTTCCAGCATTAGTCTCGGAATCGCGTCTGTCGTCTCCGTCCTGGCAGCCCCCATGGACGGGGCCAAGGAGAAACGTGCCGGAAAGCTCGAGTTTGTGGGCGCAAACGAGAGTGGAGGCGAGTTTGGCCAGAAGAATCTGCCGGGCCAGCTGGGAAAGGATTACACATGGCCTAACAAGACGGCCATCGACGTAAGTGGTGGTGTGTGTTGATGTGAAGTTGCAGCATGGGCTAAGTTGAATTATAAGATCCTGAGATCCCAGGGGCTCAACACCTTTCGTATCGGAACGATGATGGAGCGGATCACCCCTGATAAGTTGACGAACAAGATCAATGAGGACTACTTCTCCGGCGTTGAAGATGCACGTGTTGCAGCCTCTCTGGCAAAACAAGAGATGAGCTGGCACTAACACGCGTATAGGTCATCAATGACGTGACCTCCAAGGGATCATATGCCATCTTCGATCCTCACAACTACGGCCGATACTACGGCAATATCATCACCAGCCCCACCGACTTTGGCGCCTGGTGGAAGACGGTTGCCGCTCGTTTCAAGGACAACGACAAGGTCATCTTCGACACCAACAATGAGTACCACGACATGGACAACTCGCTGGTCAGGGACCTCAACCAGGCCGCCATTGACAACATCCGCGCTGCAGGCGCGACGAAGCAGATGATTTGGATCGAGGGTAACGCTTACTCGGGTGCCTGGCACTGGGTATGCTGGTTTCCTAGAGCCCTTTTCCCTCGCCGTTTATAAGCCATACGTGGAACTGACCGTCTGTAGATTGAGAGCGGCACCGGCGATGCACTCAAGAACCTCAGTGACCCTACTGACGCTAGCGGAAAGCTCCTCTACTACGAAATGCACCAGTACCTTGACTCGGACGGTTCGGGCACCAACGAGGATTGTGTCAGCAGCACCGTTGGCGCCGAGCGTCTTGCCATCGCTACCAAATGGCTCAAGGACAACAACAAGCAGGGTGTCATCGGGGAGATTGGGGCCGGTGCCAACACGCAGTGCCAGGAGGCCGTCAAGGGCGCCCTCCAGCACCTCGCTGACAATTCAGAGCAGTGGAAGGGGTGAGTCGAGATGCCCGATGTCGTTTTGGCGGTTTACGGGGAGGGCTAACGAGTTGATAGAGTAGTCTGGTGGGCAGCGGGCCCATGGTGGGCCGACTACATTTACAGCATGGAGCCAACCACTGGAAAGGCTTATACGACATACCTCCCGATCCTCAAGACGTTTGCTTGAGGCCATTGGTGTATTGGTTGGTAAAGTTCTCATTGTGGATATTGTCGTGGGTGTTTTGGTCTGGTGTACGGATACATATACGAAATATGACAAGACAACTGTCCTTATTCAGAGACGGCCATGTCTATTGCACTCACCCGTGGGTCTGAGGTCTCCTTGTGTAAGCAAAGAGAGGAAGATAAATGGTAGGCAGCCACTGACTGTCATTCCTCCATTTGTATGCCAACATCCGCCGTCTGGTACAGTAGGGTGCCACAAGTCTCCTGACACCTCATAGTGCGCCACCTTAACTTCACTATAAAGAATACACTATATCTTAATATATTAGGTATAAAAGTAAACTATAAAAGCTATACATAGTTACTTAAGTACATAAATTATATTATACTATTTTAAAAGTATACTACTTATATAATAATAGATATTGTCACAGGGTGACAATCCCTAATTGATTGGCGATTGGCCATATAAGTGGTGTTGACAGCAGTGCTCAGTGAGGACCACTTGAGCATTGGTGGATCTTTTGGCGTTCTGGCTCAATTGGGTAGAGCCAGGCGTTGGAAGGTCTATTGGCAGGCGCGTCACTGTCAGCGCCCTGTTACAGATATATTAAGTCTAAAAATAAATAGATTTAGGTTTTTCACTTTTACCTTAAGAAAATATAGTATTTATACCATATATATCCCTTATAAGCTTACTATCTCTAGAAAGTAAAGAACACTATACTTTTTTTCTCTTTTTTTACTCTTATAAGTAAGTAAAATAAGTATTTAAAAATAAAATATATAGGGATTTAGTAAGGCTATTTAGGAAGTATTCTTTTTTAATTATAAGATATCTAGTTAGCTTAGTATTACTTATTATAAAGTCGTGCTTTAGGTGTATACTATGTATATGTCAGGAGACTTGTGGCACCTCACTGTAATCAGAGTTGCAATACCAAATCTCAGCTGCAAGATAAGGCAAAAGGGGAGCTGTTTGGATTAGGCAGGTGGTGGGGTGCCAACCAACAGGATTCCCTACCTTGCAATGCACGAACGTGTCCTTATGGCAGTCTCCAACAGGGGAGCTAAGAACTTTGCTTGATGCATCTTGCGTCTCAGTTCTGGGTATGTACATTAGCTCGCCATAGACAGCTCAAAGACGCGCGATACTAGCTAGGTATGTATGCATTGCTGTGTCAGAGTTGCAGAACTAGAGGGTCACAGCAGAGTGCCCAAAGAGAGACCGGCTGCATTGGGTCAGAGGATGTAGGTAGGACATAGGACAGAACAGCAAACACAACAGACAGGTACCTAGATTCAAGGCTCCCGTGGCGTTACACATGTTACCCATACACCCCTTTCAGTGTGTTCCGGTATGGACGGCAGCGGAAGTCTACAGAAGAAACCCCAAGAGTACCCCAATTTCACGCATCACTGCTTTAACCCGATTCGATGGGGGGAACTGAGGGAAAAATGGAGTGGGAAAAAAAAAAATTATGACATTTCTCAATTCGCCATGCCGCTGGACCCCGAATTGGACCGCCCAGGGTACCTTTCAGCGCCTATGACCTGAAGGTACAGACTACCTAGGTACAGTACGGTCTTACCCACAGATGGCCCACCTCCGCCTAAACCTACGCAAGCCCGGACGCCGTTTCGACCACCTCACCCTCTCCGCCCAGCGACACTGACCCTCATGCGCTAAACCATACAAAAACTCGCCAAAACTCGAACGCCGCGCCGTCTTCGCCTCTACATCCTCCTCCTCCTGCCAGCCTTCTTCTATCTTCCCCCCTTTCCCCTTGCCTTCGTGTTAATCAACCTCGGTCGCATCCGCAGAGGTCCCTCGGGTCGAATTTTCCTTGTCAATCCTAATCAACCGTTCTTCAAGACAACCGCCAAAATGGTCAGCCCTCAGATGTACGTCACGCCTCTCGTCCCCGCGGCGACGTCGCAATGCACTGCAATCTCTGCGTGCGCATGCTGCCGTCGCCGCCATTCCTCATAACTCTTGTACGAACGTCCAGCGCTGACAATGCCCGTAGCACCAACCTGATCATCATGCTCGGCATGGTGCAGGTCTCGCGCAAGGTCCCCTTCGATGACCCCAACGTCCTGAACCTGTGCCGCGCCGGCTACATTGCCAGCAACATCATCATCGCCATCATCTACCTCTACGTCCAGGCGCAGATCAACAAGAAGAAGGGTGCGTACAGACCAAACACGCCAGAGTTCATGAAAGGGCAGTGTGTACGGGCAGACAGCTGACAGTTCAAAACGCAGACATGACCACTCTCAAGTACGTCGAGCCGGCGCCGATGGGCTCCTCGGAGGAGGGCAAGCTGGTCACGACCACGATCCACGCCTACGACACAACCCAGCTCCGCCAGGCCTTCCGCTCCCAGGCCATGGGTATCGCCATGATGGGCTTCATGCACCTCTACATGAAGTACACCAACCCCCTCCTCATCCAGTCCATCATCCCCCTCAAGAGCGCCCTCGAGAGCAACCTCGTCAAGATCCACGTCTTTGGCAAGCCCGCCTCGGGCGACCTGAAGCGCCCCTTCGTTGCCCCTGCCGGCTTCATGCAGGGTCTCCAGAGCGGCCCAGCCCAGAGCGACAAAAAGGCCATCGAGGCCGCCGAGCGCGCCGGCCGTGGCGGTGCCAAGGAGGAGTAAACGGGCATCTATCTCTCTTGTCTTTCGGGTATGTGGGGGGGACGACAATAAAACAGGCCATTGGTTATACCGGATGCCCAGAAGCGCGTGCTCACGCAGTTGGTTGCAACAAGTAACACATCTGCTGCGACGCACATGCACGCGGCTAGTCTCAGGATGGGGTGGCAACCACCACGTAGATGCTTAGCTCGCCCAAAGATACAGCTCATTAATCTTCACTCCTGCTGTCCGTTGCCCGCTAATCCCTATCTCTCTCTCTCTCTCTCTCTCTCTCTCTCTCTCTCTCTCCTTCTCAATCTCTCATTGTGCCGCGAGTTATGTTCTCCCCCACATGTATTCCTGGCAGCTTCGCCGCTCCCGCATTGCCAGACCGTCCCTCACTTTCTCGACGTGGCTTGGTCAGCACCAAAAAGCACGTGCATTCGCGACTAACTGGTGACATAATCGTTCCTCGAAAAGTTGCCCCTCCACTCTCATTCACGCCTCACACTTGCATCACATCCTCCGAACTACAATCCCTTTCATAGTGCACAACAACGTCCAAGATAAGCCCCGGTTTGGCATCCAAACCTCTGCAACAGCCAGCCATGGTTCGTCCATCAACACCACCGCCGAACCAGGCAGCCGCCCCGCCCCCCACCGCGACGCCTCCCACGCCAGCAGCAACCCGTCGCATGGTGAGCCACTTCGATATTCCATGTCCCAGTCCCTTGCCTCACATTTCTCTAACATTCGCTCAGGAAGAGTCCCGCCTCCGCGCGAAAGCACTCCGTGACCGCCGCGACGCCGAGCTCGCCGCTTCCGGCGCCCCCTCCGCTCTGAAAACAGCCTCGGGCTTCGTCGCGACCCCCGACGTCCACATTACAACGGCCGGCGCCGGCGCATCGCGCTCGGCAGCAGACGCCTCGCGCAAGCGCCCGTACTCGTCCATCTCGACCACTGCCTCCGGCACGGGCTCGCAGCCGCCGCCGCCGCAGCACCCGACGACGAACCGCGATGCGCGCGACACCAACGCCGTGCCGCGCCCGGCGCGCAACTTTGCAAAGTTCGTCGACTACAACATGTCAGCCATGACGGACACCAAGGGTGGCTTCCTCACGGCCGAGGATGATCCGCACAACACGGCCCTCGTGCCGAGGCAGAAACCCGGCGGCGGACCGGCGCAGGAGGAGAAGCCCAAGGGCATGTCCTCCCAGGAGTGGGAGCGCCTACAGCTCCTCCGCAAGCTCCGCCGCCAGAAGGCGGGGCCCTTCGAGCCCGGCCTCAGCGTGCTCGCCGACGACGCCGCCCGGAAGAAGTGCAAGGACTGCGGCTCGTACGAGATTGACTTCGTCTGGGACGAGGTCTTTGGCGCGCAGGTCTGCCACGCCTGCAAGGACAAGCACCCGGAAAAGTACTCCCTCCTGACCAAGACGGAGTGCAGGGAGGACTACCTCCTCACGGACGAGGAGCTCAAGGACGCAGCTCTGCTGCCGCATCTCTCACGGCCGAATCCGCACAAGTCCCACTGGCACGACATGATGCTCTTCCTCCGCTTCCAGGTCGAGGAGTACGCCTTCACGACAAAGTGGGGGTCCGCCGAGAAGCTCGATGAGGAGTTTGCCCGTCGCGAGGCTGACAAGAAGCGCCGCAAGGACGCCAAGTTCCGCGACAAGCTCAACGACCTCAAGCGCAAGACCCGCACCGAGGCGATCCGCAGGCAGCAGGCCACTATCGCCGCCGGGTCCGGCCCGAGGAAGTTTGGCGACTCGGTCGGCGGCGGGAAACACGTTCATGACTGGGGCCGGGCCGTCGAGAACGAAGACGGCATGACAGTCAAGAAGTGCAACGGCTGCGGCATGGAGGTGGAGGAGTTGGAGTTCTAATGCAATGTCGTCGTTTATTCTGAAATAAGATCATTCCCTTTGCGGACGGCAAGACGCATCATGAGTTTTTTTAGACTTTTTCTTTTTGTTTATTTCTCTCCAAGTTTCAATACCCAGAACGTTCATACAGCAATACCACTCATACAGTCGTCTATTCCTTCAACGTAAAACTATGTACGAATAAATCGAGTAGCCCCCGTAACATCAAAACAGCTAGAACCGCACAATAGCGAAGCGGAGGTAGTGGTAGGGGGTATCGACGTGTAGTGAACAATGATGCCCCTGGTACAATATTACAACAGAACGTAGGTGGGCCACTCCTGCCCACGCCCATCTACTGTCCACCCAATTCGGCTTTTCGTACCCTCCTTCTGTTGATTTTCGCCCCCCCCCTTCTTGGCCGTGGCCGATGAGCCCACTGCTCCACAGCCAAGCAGTGGCACGTCTTTCTACCTCTGCTATGCCCAATACATGAATAAATAAATAAAAACCAAGTACTTTCTTCGTCTCATGCCCCGGCAACCAAGCTAGAGTTACTATCAGAACGTTCGTCCAGAGCAAGCAGTGACCCAAAGACGACGCCATTTCATCAGACGCTATGCTGTCGTTGTTATTGTATATCCGCTCTCTTCGTCGCTTCTCTTCAAAGAGGACATACACGATGCCCCCATCTACCGCGCAAAGACCTTCACCACGCCGTCACCGCCGCCACTTACAACCCACTTGCCGTCTTGGCTCCACACGACGGAGCACACGCCCTCGCCGCGCATGATGCGGTGGCTCGTAATCTCCTGGGTGCAGGACCGTTTCTCGAGACTCCAAAACCGCAGTGATGCATCGTGGCCTGCGCTAACGAGCTCGCGGCCGTCTGGACTGAGGGAAAGGCCCGAAATCGATGCCGGGTGGGCCAGCATGTTGTATGTACATTGCCCTAGAGACCAATCAGCACTTTCTCCATTGACGAGTGACATCTTAAACTTACCACTGTTGGCATCAAAGAACCGCACGAACCGATCCTCATGTCCGGAAATGATGACGCCTTCGACGCCGGACCCTGCCATGGATCTACCTCCGCCCGTCGGTCCGCCACCAGCACTACTGTCCTCTTCAGATAGACCACTTTGAGACTGCTCCAGTCCGACAGTCGTCGCAACAACAGCGTTGACACTTGTGTTGATTGAGCCATCGTACGTCTCTGAGCTATCCATTGTGCCGATCTGTTCACCTGACCTAGTGTCGTAGACAAGAATGGATGCATCCGAGTAAGAGACGACAAAGGTCCCGCCGCTAGGGCTGAGAGGGGTGATGCACGTAGGGCTGGCATTGGTGCCCTCGGGCCTCTTGATGTTGTGGACCAAAGTGTGGTTAAAGGGCGAATTAGATGCCATGTTGGGTTGAGGGTTGCTCGAGAAAGCACTTCCCGAGCTCATCGAGTTGCCACGGACGCGACCCCGGCTGCCTGATGGACCAGCTCTGTTTGTGCCTGGTTGAGGAGAGGTCAACTGAGGAGGCGCGCTGACAGCCCATAGACGGACGGATCCATCGGCGGCACCGGAGACAAGCAAGATGCGATCGGGGCCTCCATATTGACTATTCTGGCCAAAGATGGCGCCAAGAGTGGTCGGCAGCACGCACAATGCCCAGACGGCATCGGTGTGGCCCTCGAGCGTGGCTTTCGGATCAACTCTGCCTCGTTCCCAGACCCTGATAGTCGCGTCCTGGCCACCAGAGAATATCCAACCGTCGCCTTGGGCGCGGCCACCAGTGCTAAAGCTTGGAGACGGAGACCAAGAAGTCAAGCAAAGCACTGCCCCAGCGTGGCCACGGTGAGAGAAGTTGGCTGTCACGTCAAGGTCCGATGCGGCGTTGGTCTGGCCGTGACTGTCTACACGAGGAATGTGGAAGCGCTTGATCATGCCATCGTCGCCAGCAGTGCAGATCTCGGGTTCTCCAGGACTGCCACCGCCCGAGAAGATGACAGTTCGTACCGTGTCTAGGTGACCTCGCAGTCCAAACCGCAGCTTAAAGTTTCCCGTCTCAGCTTTCTGAGTAGCCGCATTTAGCGACAGCTCATGGTCTGCGCTGCGTCTTCGCGACATTGATCCTTTTCGGCGATTAGGATTTGGCCCACGGTTGGGTGACTTGGGGAGGTTGTCTGCGGCTGGAAAGGCATCGGTGTCAGGTCGGTTTGTGAGTTGCTGTAGAGGTTGCGATGTGTTGGACCCCGGGAACGCTCCCTCGGGAAAATCCCATGCATCAGACTCAGGGGCAGGGCGACTGGGCTGGGGCTCATCTGTCGGCTCCACGCTGCTAAAAGATTCCACAGCATGAGTCGGACGCTGCTGCATGTTATCGTCGAGCATGCGGGCAGCAACCGACATGGGCTGGGGCCACTCTGTGCCGGCAGCATACATGACAGGTGGCGCGGATTCAGGGTTTGAGGACGGCATAGATTGCTGTTGCTGTTGTTGCTGTTGCTGTTGTTGCTGTTGCTGTTGTTGCTGTTGCTGTTGTTGCTGCTGCAGTTGCTGCTGCTGTTGTTGTTGTTGTTGTTGTTGTTGTTGTTGATGTTGCTGCTGCTGCTGCTGCTGCTGCTGTTCAGTTGGCTTCACCAGGAAACTGGTCGGCTGACTTCGTTGCATTGGAGGCGCGTGGTTCGGAGCAGGAGGAGGCCGATTGGCTTCGCGGACGTGGTTCTGTGGCACCAGAGAGGAGGAGGCGAAGGGAAAGGGCGGTTCCTGGAACGCCTTGCCGCCTGGAACGCCAAAAGGCTCACCCTCGCGCAAATCTTCCAGTATCGGGAGCGGGGGTGATTCTCGGGGAGGCAAAGGGTTTGCGGGCGTGATCATCAGGTAGGTGAACTCGGCTTGGCACTGGTCCAAGAAAGACTTGAGGTCGTTACGTTGCGTTTCGTCGTCGCCCTTCTCAACCTCGAGCTCGTTAGGATCGGCATCGGAAGGTTTCTTGGAAGCTGCGTTGATACCGTGTTAACGGTTGATTCATGAGAATACGTGCGTCCAGGGTACTCACATTGAAGCTTCTCCTGGATCAGGGCAGCTCTATCCTTCTCCGGTTTTGTTGTCTGGCTGCCTGCCTTGCCCCCTCCCTTGAGCTGTGCAGCCTGGTCCTTAACCTTTTTCTCGAGGATGGCGACGTATTTCTTGAGGGCCTTCTGCGTCGCATCGGACCTTCTCGCCTGACCTTCGAGGGAGGCTATCCTCGCCTTCATCTCCTGGCGCTCAATCTCCCAAGCATTCCTGTCCCGCTCGTGACGGTGCCATTCGGTTTGGAGGAAGCGCATAACACCTGGGAAGTGACGTAGTCAGCATACAGATGTCGATTGTAACCAGCGCTGAAAGACCTACCCTGCAGTGTGTATTCAGTTGCATGAGGCTGGTTGCCGCCGTTGCCCTGCATCGCACCGCCCATCTCGTTTCCACCAGGCCCGCCCATGCCGTTGCCAACGTTCGACCCCATGCCCGAAGCCACCTGCCAGCTCATACGCGCGCGAGGGGGGACTGGTCCCCGGCAAGGAGCTCAGCGCTGCGGTCAGATACGGGAGGCGGGGATGCGAGAGTCCGACGACGACGACGACGACGACGAGGAAAAGGAGATGTCGGTAAGTGATGTCGAGCTGTCTGGTTTGGCTTCTCTCGACTCCGTCTGCTGGTGCAGCTGATTGCGCCTTTGTTGTCGATGGAAGCTACCTGATCGTCTTTGCATTACCTGGGTAGACGAACAAGATATCGCAGGATCGGCGGCGGCAGCGACTCGTCGAATAGCTGACGTCGATAATCGTTGTCGTCGTGTTCGTCGTTGAGAGAAGAGCTGGTTGTTGGCAGTTCAGGACAAAAAGCAAAGCGGTGGTCGGAGCTGTGTTGGCCGGCCCTGGTCAATTGAATTGGAGCTTTGTTCCCGTTGTCGCGTTCCCTCGACATCTGCCAAAAGTAGGTACCTACCTACTTCGACTTGAGTATGTACTCTCTCTCTCTCCTGTCCTGCACACTCTGCACACTTTGTGCTAGGTACACATCTATGATCAGGTGGGTCCCAACACAATTGGCTCCAGGTTGGCTTGGTGGCCGGAAAAATAACGAACAACGTGTCGAGATTGCAGGTCTGCTCTTCCCCTTTCCCAGGACTAAACAAGAAGGAACGTTGTCGGAAAAAAATGTCTTGCGCGAAAGACAAAACGGCCTGGCAAATGAAAGGCGGCCCACAAGATTTTCGTCGTTGGATCGCGTCAAGTTATGAGTTGACGACTGCATCTGCTGCTGCCTTCCTGCTGTACTTACTGGCTTCAGTCCCGGTCAGTAAAGGAGGTACGGATACCTAGGTTGGTACACTACCGTTACCCAATTAGGGGAAGTGCCCACTCTTCCTCTCACTGTTTGTCCACGTCGCCTCGCCTGTGCATGTGCCTGAGCTTTCTCCATGCACAGCTGTCCTGCCTTTGCCGCCAGTCTTCGTCCTATCATTGGCAGGACAAGAAGGGTGTGAGGCTGTCAGGCATCAAGTCCTGCAGGGCTATGCTTGCTTGTCAAGAGCACAGGCCACATCATCACCAAGTCTCGAAGATTATGTAATACATATACCTACCCTCCTCTCCCCTTGATTAGTGACTCGAGTTTCAACTTCATCGCGGGCTGCTCTCCACGCAACGATTGAATGGGAAGAAGCTACCTACTCACGCTAACTCTTCCGATGAATTGCTGTCAAGGAGAACCGCTCCGCGTTTGCACATCAAGTTCCCCCTTCGCGGCATAAACAAACGTTTGTAGATCACGTCTCATATTCCTGTCTAAAGACAAGGTCGTGCCCCGATGAAACCATCCAAACCCAAGAATACCAAATACCCTGGGTTAGTCGTCCAAATGCCCTCAGGCGTCTGTTCTTTGCCGTTTCTTTCGACCATACACCCAAGCGTACCCCTTATTACGACGAGAAAAGCTTCGGAATTTTGCCACCCTCTTACACTTCCTTCCAAGCCCAAACTACTCCGTTTGCATGTCCGGTATCACGCGTCCCATCGAATCGCAATGAGCTTAACCCCAATCTCCAAAGCCAAGGAAACGCAATCATATGTGCACTCAAGGTATCAACTGCCACCGGGCTATCTATCATGCCCCATCCGCAACCCATTGTCCAGGAGGTTATGTTTGTCTCCTCGGCATCGCGGCAGTGCCTAAGAGCAAAGCCAACCTCCGTTGTGTATGGCGTCGAAATGTCGTATGTACTTGATATCGTCATGTCGTCAAAGGGCAGAGGTGCCAAATATGTCCACCTCCATCTGAGGCCATTTCTCAAGCGTATTGCTGCTCGTCTTGGCATGCGTCGATGACGCGCTTTGCATTGACGATGATCTGCGAGAGATTCTTCAGGACCGGGTCGTTACCCGACGTGCTGCTAATGCGGACGAAGAGCCCCTCGACACGGGCAACCAGCATACCCATAATCTTTGGCGTAACCGCGCGAGCATCCTCGTCCTGGAAAAAAGAAAACAAGTTAGCCCTGCTTTTGGAATACGGAGCAACGCCTCAACTTACCATGTTGCCGAGAGAGACCTGGAGGCTGTGCACAACCATCTCAAGCCAGGCGATCCTTTCCCGAGTGTAGGATTCCAGATTCAAGCTGACAGTGGCAGTCACCGTCAGGAGAACAAGGTGAGGTAGGTTGCGAACAAACTCGGGGCTGTACTTCGACATGTACTTTTCAAACACTTCCTGTTCACGTCCAGACTGCATCCAACGAACGACGGCCTCTTCGGCACGGCCCTCCCTCATTGACTGGTTGATAACGGCAATGCGGGCCTGCAAGTCAGCGTCGTGTTCGTTGGTGTTGGGCTTAGCAACCGTCAGGGCCTGCGAGTGACCGTAGCTCATCGAGTGTTGCGAAGCACGATCGGGGCTCTGGACGTTGCTGTAAGACTGGCTGGGGAGCTGGCTCGGGACCTGGCTGGGAACCTGGCTAACAACAGAAGGAGCGTTGTAGGAAGAGGTCGCATGGTGGTGCGACAGCTGTTGAGGATGATGTTGCTGCTGCTGAGTCTGTGCCTGGACACGGATCATTTGCTGTTGAAACTTGAGGAACTCGTTCTGGAACTGCTCCTGCGCCGCAGCCATGCTCGAGATCGTGCCAGTAAGACGAGTCACTATAGCAGACAGCTGGTCGACCTTATTGCTCTCGGCGAGACGCTGAGCGTTGAGGGCCTCCATCTCGCCGCGGTGCTGCTTTTGCAACTCACCGGCAACCCGCTGGCAGGCCTGGGCCGCCATGTTGGTGAACGAAGGACCCAGGCGGGAGGTCAAGGTGTTGACAACCTCCTGTTGAACGTTGGACGACACGGTAGCCCCGACTCTATCCGAGATAGTCTTGACAAAGTCCCCGTTCTGCAGCGCATGCTGAGTGGCAGAAGGGAGGGCCTTGTGAATTTCCTTCTGAACGGACTGCGAGACCTGCGCGTTCATGCTCTTGGTGAACTGGTCAGAGACGGCCTTGCCCGCAACACTGGCAATTGTAGGGATGACGGCATTGCTGAACTGCTCCTGAATGAGCGCCTCGAGCACCTTCTGTGTGTTCTCGTTGAGAACTTCCGATACCATGTTCAAGAGCTTAAGCTGGCGCTCGTCAAAGTCGGCCTCGCGAGCGCGCAGACCATCGTCAATGCGGCCGTGAAGCGTCTTAAAAGACGAATTGAGCAAACTATTGAACCCGTTCTGCAATCGAGTCTCCATACTGCTAATTGCGGCCTCGACGGAATCCTGGGTAATCGAGTTGGAGTTGTTAGCAGAAGACTTGCCCGAGTCCCTGGAGTTGTTGTTGGAAGGGTTTACACGAAGGGAACCGTTGGTTTGAGCGTCGTTGCCGGCGGCGGCAGCAGCAGCGGCAGCGGCGGCAGCTGCCTTCTTCTTGCGGCTCTTTCGCTCCTGCTTCTCTTCCTTGGCAGGGGCGGGGGCAGGAACAGGTGTCTCCTCTTCCTTCGACTCCGCTTTGGCGATCTTGACCGGAGTAACGGACTCAGGGCCGCGGCGAGGCATGTTTTCATCTTGCGAAGGAGTGGTCTGGAGCAGTGAATCCTTGGCAACATTGCGGGACGAAGGATGAGCGGTATCGGCATGCTGGTGGTTGGGCTCGGCAGGCTGGCTGACAGGAGGCTTCAACTTCGATATGGTAACAACACCAGCATCCACGGCATCGACCGGGGACAACACCTTGTTGTCTTTGGTCCACCCAAGCTCCGCCTGCTTGATTAAAAGGCAGGCAACGCCCTTGGAGTGCATGGCGTATAGCTCGAAGAGAGTGGGCTCGTCAGTCTCCTGGGCCATGGCCGGGTTGGCAAGGATGTCGAGACTGCGCAGAATTCCTCGGTTCGCGAACGAGTACTCGCGGACACCACTAATAACAGCCGTCGAGTCAGGCTGAGGAATGGTGGCATCTTGGGCAACCAACCGCTGGATGTACTCCACCTGGGACACGCTCTTCAAGTTGTACTTAGGAGCCGACAGATGCGCGAAGTAGATGGAGTTGCGAGTCGGGTGGCCGATAATCAGCATCCCAGTCGGAGGGTGGTACATGACGCTGCAGACAGCGTCAGACTCCTTACTGTGGGGGAGGTTAAACTCCTGAACAGGCTTGCCGAGAGCAAGGTCCCAGAGCTGAAGAGTGTGGTTCTGCTTCATGCCAATGATCATGTAACGCAAAGCACAGCGCTTCTGATACGGGCGAAGCTTGTCGACAAGGAGAACGGACGTGGGCCAGGCCTTTTCACCCTCCGGAGTGCTAGTCAGGGTCATGAGAGGCTCCTTGATCTCGAGTGAGGTGTGGGCAGGTGTAGGTCCGCGGGGGTCGCTGTCCTCCTTGGCAGCGGTAAGGTCGCGGACGTCCCAGAACTTGACACGTCCAGACTTGTCAAGAGACACTATCACGCTATCGTCCTGACTGAAGGTGAAGTCTTTGCCGGCCTTACCGGTGTTGATCTTCAACGAACATTGCTTGGCCAATTTCTCCGTGTCGACGACACGGTCGTGACCAGGCTTAAGCAGGTTATGTTTCATGATGAATGTGGGCCAAATGATATTGATGGACTTGCCGCGGCCAACAGCGAAGAACTCTGGGTGGATCGTCGAGGGGCGGGCCCGAGTCTTGAGGACACCACCGGGGGCGTCACCACCTTCGTGGGAAGCCATAGGGGGCAGAGCGAAGCCGTACTGCTCCGGGTGAGCATCCTCAATGTGGTCCTTCTCGCCGTTCTTGATCTGGACCCAGTAGACAGTACCGCTAATGCCCGTGCCGATAATGGCCTCGCGGTGGGTGCTGGTATGGTCAGGGGGGGTGACGGACATGGCAACATTGAAGATGCGGTCCTTGGTGTCGGTGAAGATCTTGGCATCCTTGCCATCGTCCTGCCGGATGACGCGAAGACCACCAGCCTTGGACATACCATAGGCCATGTAGTTCTCGGTGGCGGTGTAGAGGTTGCGGTCGATCTGGTCAAACTCCTTCTTGAGACGGGCGATATCCATGATGGCCTCGTCGCGGAACTGGGGGCGGGGCTCAGTGGCGCCGTCCTGCAGAGCAATCGAGATCCAAGGCTTCATGGGAAAGTTGAAGACCTTGACGGGCGAGGAAGTCTCCTCCTCAATCACCACGATCTCATCTTGGTCCGCGCTCTCCCAGCTGTCGGCAACGGCTTGGCCAGCAGCCTCCTCGATGATCTCGCGGACCTCCTCGGCCACCTCGGCGGAGACAACCTTTTCGAGGATATCCCTATTTTCCTCGCGGTCAAGCTCCTTCTTGATGGCCTGGGCAGCATGGTGGGCGCTCTCCTCGAACTCCCTCTCGGTCCGCGCCGAGTCCATGTCCTCGAGATCTTGCATGTAATCCGGCCGCGACTGCTCTTCCTCAGCGCGGGCGAGAGCTTGCTGAGCCTCGTAGTCGGCTTGCTGGGCAATGTCGTGGATTGCCTCGGAAACCGTCTCCTTGTTTCTCTCGCCAGCAGACGGCGCGGCGCTCACGTAAGAGGCGGTCGAGCCAGGCGTGGGGTTAGCGAGCTTGTCTGCGGGGGAAGAACCATGTCCAATGCTGTGGCGGACACGCTCAGGGCTGGCGAGAGGGCTGCGCTCGTTGTTGATGCGCTTGGCCTCTCCACCGTGATGGGAGTGATGAGAGCTCGGCGAGTCGTGGGTCTTTTTGAGAATCTGAAAAGCCGGACCGGCAGGCGACTGGCCAGCCGACTGAGGTGGGGCGATACCTGAGATGGAACCAGACTTGGGTGTGCGGTTGTGTGGCGAGGTAATCTGGGACTCGTCAAGACCGTTGCTGCTGTTGGCATTGTAGCCATACTGTTGGTGCTGGGCGACATGCAGGTTCGAATCCTGAGTCGGAGGGAACGAGTATGTGCCGTAGTTGCCACTGGACTGAGCGTAGGCGCTGGGGTCATACTCGAATGAGTTGGAGGGCATGTGAACGTTAGGAGTTTGACCAGCTTCGGCTAGGACCCTCTGGAGGATGTTCTCGCCGGCCTGAGGGGCATTGGAACGAGTTGATTCGGCCAGAAGCATGTCGTTCTGACTGGGCTTCGGGCGGTTCAGCAGGTTCAGCAGGTAAGCGCGGGTATCGTCGGGGGGCGACGATGCGCCGAAAGTCGAGAAGGAGCCGTTTTGAGGCGGCTCTTGTCGCGACTCCTCGCCATCGTGTGCTCCTTTCATCAGAGCGGCGAGCAGGCCGGTAGGATCGGCCGGGGCGCGGGCTGGTGCGATGATCTGAGTCGGAACGGACGAAGACATCGTCGAGGAAGGTTCATGGCTGTGGTGGTGGTGGTGGTGCTGCTGCTGCTGCTGCTGGTGATGGTGGTGCTGCTGAGGCTGCGACTGCTGGGATTGATGCAACTGCTGGTGCTGGTGATGCGGCGACTGCTGGTAGTGCTGCTGCGATTGCTGCGGCTGCGGCGACTGTTGCTGATGCTGGTGCTGCTGGTAGCCTTCCTGGCGAGCCTGGGCAGCTTGCGAAGCTTGACCGCCAACACCGCTGAACTTGAGCAGGTTCAGCAGATTGTTGCTGCGATCACCATTTGAAGGCATGCTACCACCGGGGGGCGTTGGCGCCGGGGGCATTGGGGACACCATAGTGGCGTCAATGGGGAGGGAGAGAAGGTCAAGGGAGGGGGATGCGGAGAGAGTGTGTTTCGACGAGGAAACGAAGGGTAATTGACAAAGACACCCTTCCGTCGCGACACGATGGTGTGTTGAATATGGGGGTTTTGAGAGGTTGTGGAGGGGAGGAGTGGGAAGGAGGGAAAGGTCAAACGAAGAATAGGATATTGAAAATAAATTTTGGGACAGAAACGGATGACTTGGGAGGCTGGACGATTTCTGAGCCCAACGCAAAGACCCAAGGTGAGACAACCCTGTCGATGTATCCGTCGCGTCAGAACAGCACAGAGGAGAGAGGAGCAGGGGGGTGTGACGTGGTTGAAAGACGGGAGCCAGGACGAGCCGGGGGCGACTTTATTTTTTATTTTGTTTTAAGTAACTGTTCTTTTTTCCATCTCTTTTCGGGTTGTTCCTTTTAATATTTCTCGTTTTGATTTTTTCCCCCCCTCTCTCATCTGTCCCTTCCTTACTCTTCCTAAGGTAGCAACCCTAGATTTTCAGGCCCATTTCCCTTCCGCCGATCCCAATCTAGCGCGGCTTCTGGAGGTTCCTTCAATAAAGCTGGCTTGCTCCTGGCGGTCCTGCTAGTGTTGCTGCTTCATCGATGGTGCCGTAAGAATATACCTATGTAGGTATCTAAATGATGGGATTTATGTTCCTGGATCTGGATCGGAGTCAAGATAGGCAGGTACTTCAGGTAGCCAGGCAGGTACATACCTCAGGTAGGAAAGTTCCCAAGACGCCTGGGCACCTAACCTACCAACTTACTGTAGGTAGGTCAGTAGCTAGCTACGATGTACATACTTTAGGTACTGCACATACCACCTTAAAGGTCGCATAGCCGCAGGGGAGCAGCGGACAAACGCTCCTGCCCCGGAGACAACAGCCAGGTAGGGTGGAGAAGGCCGAGGTGCAGGCAGGCACACGTGTAGACATACATCGTAGTTCGCAGTAATGCAATCAAAAACTTGGGTGCTCGTGCTGATGCCATTAGGTAGGTAGCTACCTGGGGGGCAGCTGTGGTGCTGGGATAATCACCGGTACGCTACTGGTGCTTTGGGCAGACAGGCAGGAGAGGGGCAGGTGGTCTGTGCCGCCCAGTGTCGACGTGGGGCCGTGCCACTGGTGGTTTTCCCTCCACCTTACCACATCCTACTGGGTGCTGCTTTGGCTGTTGGTGCTGCTTGCAGAATTGGATTGGCATCGGACTTTGGGTAAGTGTCTGACGTAAGCAATCTCAAGATTCCACTAGGCAACCTCAGGTAACTGCACAATGCACGCATCCAGCTAACCAGCCAGTCAGTCGACATACCAGACTCTATTCTACATTGTGTTCCTTAACGTCTTCTTCATTGCTAGCAAGAAACCGGCCATTTGTCTCGAACAGATCCACACAGTTTGCTTTGTGTTTTCTCTCTTGCTTTTTCTGTTCTTTGCGTCCGGCTTGCGACCAACTTATTGAGAAACATATCGCACCGCAATCGGGACCGTCCGACTTCCCGCCGATCCCACCATTGTTCCGCAATACGCGTGCACTCGGCCCCAGGGTTCGCATCGCGCCGAGCTCGCAGTCTCGGAGGCGTTGAACCAATCCCCCAAGCAAAAGGAACGCGGACAACCATCTCTTGATCTATCAGCCACTGTGTCCGGCGTACAGCAGAGACACGTGCCGGGGACTGCGCCTGTGCAATCCCGCAATCGTCGACCTTTCAGGGCTCTCCCACAATCGCCTCGTTTTACGTCACTATCACAAAGGGCAGGACAGCCGTCGCCATCATGTTCTGTCTCCGAAGGTAAAGTTCCCTCGAATCCGTGCTATCCTCCTGCCTTACCAGGCTCCCTGCTAACACGGATCCCAGCTGGCTCCCACTCCTCTTCATCCCGACCAATGCCTCGCCCGCCTTCATCTTCCTCTTCTTCATCTGCACATACTTCCTCAACCGGCCCTGCGTCTATTGCAGCTTCCTTCTGTTAATCCTCTTCCTGACCTCCTGTAACTGGTCAGACCGCTGCTTCTTCGACTTCAGCAGTAATTGGTTCCAGCCTCGTCCGCCCACCTCCTCGCAGCTACCCGACCTCGATCCGAACACCGGTTTCAATGCCACCGTCGTAGAAATGATCAATTCGACCGCCAGCGCGCTCGCCGGCGCTGCGGCCGAAGAGCTTGCGAGGCAGAGGCAGGAGTGGACAGGGCTGGGTATCGAATGGCTGCGCAGCCTCCTTGGGCGGAGAGAATGGCGCGTCGAGTGCCTGGATATCAATATTCGACTATAACATTTCGACCTCTGGGAACGCTGTGTGCCGAGGGACGGACGAATGTTTAGTATGCGTAATGAGCATATTCGCGATTTGGGAGCAGCACACATTGGGAATGGTTGTGTGGACGAGGCAACCTCGCCGAAGGTACACCAAAGAGAAGAATGGGTTCTTGAGTGCATTCCATAGCGTTCTTGCGTTGCCTCAGCCGTCCAAGGCGGATGGGATAAGGTCCCGGGTTCTTGGGAACTGCGTGGCGGGTCGTCAATGACCAAGTCAACCAGCGGAGAGCACTCGAGTCGAGGCTCGTTGCTGCTTCGAGGAGTATCCGTTACAATATGGAGATCTACAATATTCATAACGTATTCGAGTGTCCATAGTCTGGAGGAGTCCGCTCATGCTGAACATATGACTACCAAATGTGCAGAGTTTGGATACCGACCCTACGAACCCAATATATACGCCCGGCTTCTGGCTGAATGTCGTATATTCCAACCACGCCGGTCGTATTATATTGGAAGAAGGCGTGTAAGTCACAGGACGGCTTGGACTTTCGGCGGTGTCGGTCTGATTCCTGCAGATCAACTAAATAGGCCGCGTTCCCGGTTTACGGATAGCGGCCATCTCCCTCGCTGCCCATATCGACATTGATCCGCATGTCAGCGTCAAATAGAGTTACATATTGAGACAGCACTCTGTGATCACAACAGATCACCACGATGCCTAGGCAAGGCGATACTTCGCGAAGTCATAAAGCCAGCCGAGCAGATCAGATTAGCAATGAAGCGAACGGTGAGCAACGTGTCCTTGGACGAGACACGATGCTGCTCCCTGGACCTGGCGAAGAGGTTTGATCGCACTTTCTCGTGCATCAAAGGTCGAACCCGTGTGAAACCCCACGGCTATTATACAATGATAATGATTAGCATATATTTACCGCTTTCAGTAGATTCTCTTGGTCTCTCACCTGGGCACTTTCCGTTTCAGTGTGTGTTTTGGTCGCCAACCTTTCGACATAACTGCGAGAAAGACGTTACTATAACTACGAGAGACAGGCCTAATCCGTTGTTCTCATCAAGCCCATGTACCGTCTCACCAGGTATGCTCGCCCCTGGTAAGAACTAGCACTTGACACTAACTGGTACGGCAACGGCATATTTCGCGGGATCTAGGCATCTTTTACAGAAGCAGATGTTATGGTTAGCGGGACAGGGAGTTACAAGAAGTTTCATCTACATCTAACACCTCAGAGAAGCGAAGCCTCGAGGGGCTGGACCAGCTCAGCCCATTGCAGTAAAACACTTATTGTAGGCGAGGCAGGGCGCAACAAGTGCTTATGACCTCACAGTCACGGAGGGGAGATGAGGCGGGCCTAAAAGGCGATTATGAATCAGATCGATGATGTTTTTCACATTCGACTCCTATTCTTTCACGTTATCTTATGATGTTGTCTTTAGTCGTATACACCCGGAATTTGACGTTGAATTGCATACTACACTGCCGTCTTCCGTCTCAGACGACATGTGACTGTCGTCTTTTCAAGCCATGGGCGATCTCTGCTCTCCGATACAAACCTGGCATCGGAACATTTCTTGTTTGCGTGAAATGAGTTCCTCCTGTCATCACCTCTAGGCGCTCTGTATATACAGCATCCTTCATCGGGGACTCCATCAACCGCATGATTAGCCTCAAGGCCAAATTAAAATGGGCAAGATCGAACGGGTTGTGGACATGGGTGAAGATTAAACAGAACAGGGCGTGTGTCATTTTTGGTTGTTTAGCAAAGCCATTTGGTAGCTCAAGCTGGTCCCAAAGGGCCATGTGCCTCATAATGTATCCATCGAAGAGTGTTCTAGGCTGAAGGGCTTCAAAGGGGTCTCGTAGCTCGTTATAGCGAACGACGCGTCGCTACTGCAGTCTACGAAGCCAAAGATCGTGCTTAACACGAGCTTATGAGTCAAGCTGCTGTTTTGAGGCCCATACATGTTAGGCGGGCGGCATTGCATAGCGTTGTCTTAGTCCGTCTTCAGATAGCGCCGGCGTATTCGGAGCAGACACCATGGTTTGAGCTTGCCTGGAGCCTGTGTATTAGCACAGCCAAACAGTCACCATATTTGTGAGTGAATATCCAAGGTGACGGAACACTTCGGCCAGCGCGTCGTCCCGGCCTGGATCTAATATTGGGCTCTGATAGACATGCATAAGTACAAGGCCCAAGGCTCAGCATCCAAATACTAACCGGCCTCTCCGCAAGAGCTTACCACGACCCCGAAAGAGAGATCGCGAGCTTATCGACGGCCGGGGGGTGATGATGGCTTTGGACGACTGATGAGCTGGCGGTCGCCGTGAGGCACGCGGCGGGTTCGGAGCACAGTAGAGCACAGCAGCGGGGCCAAGGAGGAAAATCCGGCGCGACGCTGGGTGGCAGCATCGCCGAGGGAGGGGTGCACACTTCTGGGGCCCAGATGCCTTCACCAGTGGGGTAGACATTGGGAATTGTGTAAGGACAAGAGACAGGCTTGCGTCGGGCTGTGGCGTAGCCTCCGTCGTAGGTGGGTGCTTGCTTGGCTTCAGCAACGTCGGCCATTTGCCTGAAAGCTATTGTGCGCTGTCGAACAGAAGCGATCGGTCGCCTTCTTCACCTCTAAAACCCTTCAAGATGCCAACCTCGATGATGATTCTGTTCGTATCTTATGATGCTTGTCTGCATTACCCCGCCCTATACTCGATAGCGGGGCAGACGCTATGGCCTCTGGACTCAAATGCGGAAAGATAGCGTTAGACGGGAGTGAGAGTTCCCCATCATCATGAGGAGAGGTGGATGGGGGCAGTGGCTGGCTGCAGTCGTTCTGTTGCTGTTGTCGTGATTATTTGGCCGGTCCGGTGCCGAGGTATGCAGCCACAGCCTTGCATGCATGCGGATTGGCTCTGGACACTGCTCCCCAAGCCACCTATGACTGCTGTGGATTCGGCCTGCCTGTTCGGGACACGATGCCGTGGTCCCTCGCCCTCGAAAGGTAGTACCGCGCGGCCGGCGACTCGCCGTGGGTAGACGAGATATGAAACCTCGGACTAGGAATGCCTTATGTGGCTAGCCGCCAACCATGTATCCGGTAACAGCTAGGTAGCGTCATGAGGATGTCGGCTTCAAATGCGGGCAGTTAGCACCGTCAAGTGGGACATTCCCTGCCAACGACTGTCGACGGGAGGTGGGCGCTGGTGCGGAGCGGTAGCCATTTGAGCCACGAACAATAACAACAACAACAAGACGCGGCACAGTTGCGGCGGAAAGGGAGGTGAATCCTTGTGTGAGTTGCTCGTGGTCTAGGTATGCACATATACCTAAAAGACGAATGAATATACGGGCTACGGGGAAGAGGTACATTCAGTTGCATCGGGCAGGTAGCGGACGAGACATCAAGTCAATCGCTATCCTGAAAAAGGCAAAGTGGCCAGGGCGCCTGGAAAGAGGGCCACGCGTCACTGTGGGTCCCGGTCGCGCCAATGGCACGGAACGGGGTTGGTGAGAGCGAGTCGGCGAGAGGGTAAGAATTTTTTTGAGTTTTTCTGGGTCGATGGCCCTCAATGAGATCGGCCCGACGACTCAAGTTGTTCGGTGTGTCTGGGCAAGACATTTTCAGACGTTGCAATGTTGCAGTGAGGCATCGGACGAGATGCGGCTGCAGTCAGGCGGACTCAGTCTGACAGAATCCTGAATGCCAAGCGGCGGCGGAACGGTACGTCTGACGATGATGAGCGGAGCCAGCCCAGGCAGGCCCCGACGGAGGGAATCTGATCATTGGACCGGGGAGGGGAGCGGCAATCAAGGGCCCTAAAGGGGCGGACTGAGACTACCAAGACGGTGCCAAGGGCTTGGGAAGTGGGCCGAGTAACGGTGCAGCTGCTTTGTTTTGTCCCAACTCGTTTGATCTGATGGTGATTGCGTCCGTGTCTGGTCGTGGTGGGTAGCGGTAGGGAGTGTTGTCCAAGTCTGGTCGGATGAACTTGGGAAGAGATGATTGAGTACGCGATACCCTCTACCCCACTGAATGAAGACTCTGCAGAGGAAACGAGACAGATCGTCATCGATATGGGGCACGCGGTGGAATTGTCGATATTCTTAGCAGACAGGGACGAGCGAGCAGTGGGGTCTCCTCCAATCTGATGGAGAAAATAAGGTCCCGTTGTTGGGTACGAACACCTAGGTACGTGTACACTACGATGTAGGTGTACCGTCCTGTTGGAGAGGATGGAAGGCACGCTTATCTGCATCGGCTGCTTTTCTGTCTACCTAGAACCTAGAACCTAGCTAGGTATGTACAGCAGCCGCCTGTACCTAGGTAAGTATCCGTAGTGTACTGAGACAAGACCACGATCTGGGTGCACACACCAATGCGACCCTGGTGCTCTGTACCTCAGGTACAGTACAGTGGGTTGGTCCCCCAAAATGGTGCCAAGCCCGTTAGCGGCTTATGCCGCGCGATCAGGATCAAGGAAACAGAAGGAGAGCACACGACACTGATTCTTGCTTGGTACACGTACTGAGGTGTCCGTTTGTCACCCGGGATGCAGACGGTTTCCGTGTTTGTGTACGGAGTATCCGTAGTTCTGGCAGCCGCAACCACCCCCCGTTCGCTTCTCGAATTTTGCCATGTTTACTACTCCGTACCGACCTACCGGTAGGTATCCTTAGGTGACCAGCACCGTTTCTAATTAAACTTCGCGGAACCAAGGAGAAGTGGGCCCACCTCCTGGTCTGTTCAGTGTCACTCGCGCCAGTCGTCGTACACTACCTAGGTAGTCGTGGTCGTGGTCGTCGTCGTCGTCGTCGTCGTCCTCCCCGGATACCGGCAACAGTTCGGCCTCCTTCCAGCCCCCCCCCGTCCCACTCACCTGATTGAGTCTCTTGAATTATTTTTATGCGGGATTACGTATGCCGCTTAAATGTGGCGCATGGAGGCCACGCACATCCGCTTTGCAAAGGAATGTCGAAGGCTTTAGAGAGCCCTACCTACCTACCTACTAGGTACCCGTGTACGTAGGCCGCGCGTACGTGCTGCCCGTTACCTATCTGCGGCCGGGCGGTTGGCGGGTGAGACATGGGCAGTCAGTCTCTGACTTGTTCTCGCCTTCCCGGCCTTCCCATCTCTTGGTATTGTTCGCCGACTTGGCCTGGTTGTGCTGGAAAAACAAGGACGATTAGGAGGCGGAAAAGGAACAGCAGGAAGAAGGCGCAGGGCAGGGGATGGAGTCACGACCCCAGCATCTTGGCAAGAGAAACCCCGTACCTACACCACGGCTAAGGTTTACCAGTCAATGATATCTGTACACTACGGAGTACACTACCTAGTTGCAGTTCCCATCTTTGGCGTGCGGATTCCTTGCCATGGCGGGACTCTCTCTCTCCCGGGATCACGGCACACCACCCATACCGGTAGTCCCCCCCAGCTTAGATAGTACACACTATGCCCCCTGCTCTCGCACGCCTCTCACCGCACACTCCGTCTACGCATAGCATATCATCTCCCTCCTGCCCGGCCGCACTTCAATCCAGATGTCTGCTCTGGCCTACTTTCCTATTCCTTCCTCCTCCTCCTGCTTCTTGGCAATCGTCTGTTTGGACGTCCCTATTGTACAAACTTCCTCTTGACCCTGCTATCATCTTCCACGCATCCTTTCTCACATCACATCCTCATCGTTCACCACTGTCTGCTTACATGCTTCCCGCCGCCTCACATCATCTTTCTGCTGCTACCTGTACATTCACGACATCCACGACCGGCTTTTCGATTTTTCGGAGTATTTCACAAAAATAACCGAATTGCTTTGGGCTTTTTTTGTTTTCCGTCTTTACAGTTCCAGCAATACACGCCTCTTGGTGTTTGCTTTTACTCAACGACTCGGAACGATTCCTCTGGTTTCTGTCAACGCTCGTCGACCTTCCGGGTTTTCGCGACTGCCTTTTTTCTCATAACCGGCTCGTACTGCATACCTAAATAATCTTGGCACTGCGAGGCCTCCCACGAATAGTCGTCTCTCTTGGTTTTTTGAGGGAAGGAATCGACGTAATTCCTTTACTGTCTTTACTATCAACCAAGCGAGCTCGGTTTTGATCCTTGCAACCCAACCAAAATAACATATCGACTCCAGCACATCTTGCTGCCATGCGCCTCAGCCTCACTCTCCCCCTCACCCTTCTGGGTCTCGCTACCACAATCGCTGCGGCACCCTCACAACCTCCCAGAGACAACGTCCAGGATTCATCACCCGCTCTCGTCAAGCGCGAGGACTCAAAGTACTTCCACGAGCCCTGCTGTGGCGAAGAGCTGGGACACTACGATATCCGTTACTTCAAGGAAGCTGTGGGCTATGACGACCACCGCATCGTTCTGCGCAACCTCATCCGCTCCTATTTGACTATCACCAAGAAGCTCAATGTCGAGACATGGCTCGCACACGGCACTCTGCTGGGCTGGTGGTGGAATGGCAAGATCATGCCATGGGACTACGACCTCGACGTTCAGGTCTCGATGGCGACTCTCTACTGGATGGGCCAGAACCTAAACCGCACCGAGTATGACTACGACTGGACCGACAAGGACGGTAATGCTAGGAAAGAACGCTACCTTCTCGATATCAACCCCCACGGCACAGAAACGAGCCGTGGCGACGGCCAGAACGTTATCGACGCCCGCTGGATCAACATGGCCAACGGCGCCTTCATCGACATCACTGGCCTCGCCGAGCGCAACCCCTCTGGCATGCCGGGCGTCTGGAGCTGCAAGAACTACCACCGCTACCACACCACCGATCTCTTCCCTATGCGCGAAACCGAGTTCGAGGGCGTCACCGCCATCATTCCTTACAGCTTCGAGCGCATCCTGACCGAAGAATATGGCAGCAGGAGCCTGGTGACCACGGAGTGGCTTGGGTAAGTCAAAAGATCTCTGCTGCAGCTCTGAAGATTGTTTCCATACACAGAGTACTAGCGGATTTGACCTTTTGAGTTTGCCACTAACATGAGATACAGACACAAATGGGAGCCTGAGCAGAAGGAGTGGATCAGGATACCGCAGCCGAACGAGCAAAAAACTCAATAGACCAGGGTTTATTTTTTCCTGTTCTGTTGGCAGACGACCCTATTGGAAATTGGATCAGCATGGGCGATGTCTTTGGGTTGCGATGGCCACGGCAAAAATAATTGTAGCAGTTTGGGCGACTGCACTTTGCGTCGCACGCTTACATGGATTGGCGGCGTTCTTGGATGCGGCATGGCATGGTATTTTGGAGTTGCAGGGTCAGGGATTTCCATACAGGGACGACACTCGGACGAGGTCGCACACACACCCCTGTTCTTTTCACAGCGGACATGACGAAGGACGGAGTCCGAACAGCATTAACAGCATCACCCCTCAGGTGTCTAGACTATTAGGTCGCTAGTAACCGCATGGATGGAATAGACGGCGATAGCATCTTAACGACCTGTGTGTATGCATTAGGGGCTGTGAGGTGATGGGATGATCAACGCCTTGAATCGTGCACACTAGAATATGTGTCATGGGGGGATCATCATTACGTGTCCTGGCGTCTTGGGGACGATTCATGTCTCGTGTCTACAATGTATACCAACGCCGCGCAATGCTGAAATTACAGTAAAGGGAAATACCATTAAAACAAAGGTCAAACCCGGCTCAGCAGACAGGACTCAGGATGACGGACCAGGGTCAGGCTTTCCCCCGTCCCGCCTCTCCATGTCCATCTTCTTGAGTCTCTCCTCCGCGGCCTTGGCCAGAATCTCTCTTCGGCTGAGGCCTGTGGTATTGCCAGCATTGCCGCCAACCACGAAGTCGCCCCCCTCCCAACCCCCGTGGTCTTCGAATCCCTCCTCTTCGTCCTCCCCTGGCGCATAGTACGATGACTGCTGCCCAACGGTATGCCCGCCGTGCTTCCAATCCGCGGCGTCCACCTCGCGCTCAATTTGGTGGCAAAGATCCCAAAAGTTCTTGTCGTGTGGGCCGTGGACATTGTGCGCCAGCTCGTGACATAGCGTCTTGCGGATAGTCTTGTAGTCTCGATATCCGTCGTGCGCATCCGTCCTCAACCTCAGCTCGATGACCTCCCCGCCGTTACGGTTCAGGCCGAGCAGTCGCGTCGTACCCTCATGATTGGATTGGGTATTGGACAGGGGCTCCATCTCCGTCAGCAGGCCAACGCTGAACTTGTGCTTGCGCATCGAGGCACGGATGCCTGGGTCCTCCTTCAGCCTCTCGAGAAGGGCGAGGGAGCGCTCGGGATGCGGCAAGCCAGCGAGGGGCCGGACGGAGAGGAATGTGTATGTGCTGTCGGCCTGGGCGAGAGCCTGGTCGCGTCTTCGAAAAGGGCGGTTTTGCCGCCGAGCGGCGCTGCGGGCGGCGTTTCGTTTCGCGGCGAACTCGGATGCGGCTTGGAGGGAGGCAACTTCCTTCGCCTCGACGCCCATAAGCATGATTTTCTTGTCTTGTAAGGCGACGAGAGACATGTTCGGGTCCTTAAAAGGAGGCTTCAGAAGGCCGACCTTGGGCACGATGAATTTCTGGTTTGATGGAGGGATGGAAAGGATGTCTTCAACATCTTCGGAGAGATGACAGATTGTGCCGTCGGAGGGAAACTTGAAGGTGTGCGGGGTGTTGCGGTGGGTGAGGGTGATGGTAATTGCTTCGTCGGAGGAGTCTAAGTCGAACTCAGCAGCGTTCGGTTCGGCCATGTTTGAATGAATTATCGATGCGGTATCGTGATACTAGATGTATTAATCGAGTTTATATATTCTTGAAGTGATGAGAAACGTATGTGCAAGGACGCGGGAGGCTGTTTGTTGATCGACCGCCCGTTCACGGGGTAATATACGGTTGGTGGAGGACCGTCGTGGATTGTACAGGAAGCGGACTTGGTGAGGCGCAGATGGCCACTCGTGATAGCAATTCGACAGTTTGTCAGTGCAGGCAGCTTTGTAGTACGTCACACTGGGGCGACTGGAAGCACCGGCCTCGGATGGCCTCTCGGGTAGCCCGGCAAGATTACCTCAGCAAAGCAGGCGCACCTCGTGCTCGTTTGTCCCTGGAGGCTAAGGCAGCTAGCTACCCGCTGTGGAGATACCCTGTCCAGCGAATGCAGGACTGTCTCACCCACATCGCCTTACCTAAGCAGGCAGACCAAAACAACCTGGAACAAGTGCTGAGCTGGCCTGGTCAGCGTGTGGCTTGAGTGGTCGGTCCCAGCTTCCAATAAGCTTGCAATCGCGTTCGTGTCCTTTCGACCTCCTGGAATCCAAGTGAAGAAAATCAAAATAAAAAATCAGCTACCAGCTTCGCTGAACGCAGCCAAAGCTGTCCCTCCCTGGCAATACCTACCTAGATCAATTCCTCGTCGCCATCACGACACACCACGCCACACCACGACGCAACCCGGCTTCTTGCGACTCTCGACGGCAAGCCAAGCAGAGAAGACCTACTGCACCACTCTCGCTCGACTACGAAACCGCTCTCTGACCCGCAGCTGTCACCAGCAGGTTGAAGCTCCCGTCGATCTGAAGCTGCCCAACCTTCCAACAATCAGTCCGCGGTTCAACGCCCCCACGCTGTAAAGATGCTCAACATCTTCCGTATTGCTGGTCAGTGCCAAATCAACACCTGGAGGAGTTTCGCGATGCTTGCTTCGCCGGCTAACACGATGGCCTTGCAGGGGATTTGTCCCACCTTGCCAGTATTGGCATCCTCCTCCACAAGATGGTGCAGCTGAATGTAAGCTTTGCGACGCACCATATGTCGTCACCTAGGCGCCTTTTCTAATTCGTCTATAGAGCTGTTCCGGTATATCCTTCAAATCGCAAGCTCTCTACCTCCTGGTCTACATCACCAGATATCTTGGTATGACGAGTCTACAACGCCCCCCGTCCGCTCAAAAACAAAGTTAACCCCCTCTCTTCCCAGATCTTTTCTCAACCTCAAGTCTCTGGAACGTAGTTTTCAAGATCCTCTTCATTACCTCTCAGGGCTACATCGTGTACCTGATGACAACTGCCTACAAGCCCACCAACGACCCTAATCAGGACACCTTCCGTGTCCAGTATCTCCTCGGCGGAGCTGCCATCCTGGCCATTCTCTTCCCATACTATTATACTTTCTGGGAAATCCTCTGGGCCTTTTCAATCTGGCTGGAGTCTGTCGCCATTCTGCCCCAGCTCTTCATGCTCCAACGCACCGGCGAGGCTGAGACCATCACCACCCACTACCTCTTCGCCTTGGGCATCTACCGCGCCCTGTACATCCCCAATTGGATCTACCGCTACTTGACCGAGGTGAACCACAAGGTCGACTGGATTGCCCTCGTCGCGGGTATCATCCAGACGGTCCTTTACAGCGACTTCTTCTGGATTTACTACACCAAGGTAATGAAGGGCAAGAAGTTCAAGCTGCCTGTTTAAGGCGGCTCCCTTCTCGCAGATGTCTTCGTGCAGCCCCGAGCTAGCAGTCTTCACCGGGTAATGGGCAACGCAGAACAGGAGTCATGGACGATGTAGCAAAAGGCTCCAGTCAGATGCTTGAGTCCATGGCGGTCCATGACCTTTCTATCTTGCTTTTTTTTTCTTTCTCTTTTCCCGCCTCCGGTCTGTCAATGAATATTGAACTTCTTTTTACGCACATCGACAACAAATCGTTGGCCGTGGTTTGGCAGGGTACGGGATATCCTCCATCAGGATGGGGTGCATGGCTGGCGTTGGTAGACATGGTTAGTTTTGCATGGGCAGCACGTCAGCCAGCCAGTCACGTACGGGGTTGGTTGAACTGCTGATACGAACGTGTCCACAGATCAATACGACCGAGAATGAGAAGAAAGAAGACCCGGACACCCACTGGTAGGTATATAGATGGTCAATGCGAAGAATGTTGTCCAGACACTTCCGATATGTTTCCATCTATCATTCGTACATTCATCCGCGCGCCAACTGTCAAGCGGCAGTTCCGTACAATGACACGGAGGGGATTCCCCGTTTAAGCTGCCGGCTTCCGAAACTTTGTGTTGATCTCTCTGGCGTGAAGACAGAGGCCACTTCCTTGTTAGCCCGGCAGGTTTTTTTTCTTTCTTTTCCCCTTTTCCTTGCCCATCTGGGGGGAAAGCAGGCCCCTGACAAAGACATGAAGTATTTTTTAGCATGGTAATAGCTCACTGGGCGACTCACGTTTAGTCCTTGATTGCTCACACGGCCATCCTAACATTAATACCCCCCGGACCCGAGTCAAGTGACACTGGCAGGGATGCAAATATGTGACACCACCGGCTCGAGGATCGACGCTGTTCGAGACAACACCCCCAATTGGCTTCCCTCTCCGTGTATGTATGCCCGTGCAGAACCTCCTGGTTGTGGGACCAGTCCAATTATGGGCTTTTGAAACATAACCCAGCTCGGAACGCACCCGATAGTTGATGCCGCGGGTGGGCAACGAGTGTCAACGACAGGCATGAACTCTTCTTCCTTTTCTGCCAGCGGAGCTGTTTCCGAGTTAGTTGATGAAACCCTATACGCATAATACAACCCTAAGATCTAAGCGCCTTACCGAATTGGAACTTGGGATGGTGCCGCGCTAATTTGATCTATCATCCCTTATGTTATCGTCATAGCGAGCCTCCTTCTGGCCCCGTCGCCGGGCTCTCAGTGCACCCGAATGGATTGGCAAAATGGCATTATAGGCAAGGGGAGGGGGGAGATCGAGAAGGTACTGCGTACCACCAAAATGCCCAAACTGGTTGTGGCCGAGAGGCTCCTCGTCCGGCAGTAAGGACGAGGTGGTTCATAATATGGGCGACAGCCGCCCTGAACGCGTCGTCCTTTAGCAGCCTTTCTCAGTTTTGGTTTTTGTTTTTTTCCCTTATTATTCGTTTCGTCTTCGTAATTCGCTGCACTTGATCGTGCTGGGCTATTATTGCACTCCTGGAGAATACATTTATAACGACATAGCCGGCACATATAATACGACGAATGACATGAAATCATGGTGAAGGCTTGCCCACCGCGACTATTACTGCTTAATCTTTTTTTCTGCTTTTCTCTGGCAGCAACAGCGAATGAAGAAAAAGGACGATGGGTGGGACTGGCGGATGGAGGTGACAGCAGGTTACCTGTGGAACATCAGCGGAGGAGGGCAGGATTCGAGGAGCTCGTCGATATCTTGGGCGGACGGGCACAGCCGCCGACGGCGTCAACGGACATCAGCAAACCGGTAGCCCTCGAAAAACGTGTCGTGTTGGCAGTGCCTACACCACCGGCCCTCTTCGGGGGTTCCGTCCTGAAGGGTCGACAAGACCCCAACGATGCCATTGCATCTGCCTCACGTTCTGCCCAGCAGGCCATTGCGTCGGCGTCACAGTCAGCTCAGCAAGCTGTTCAGCAAGCAGGCGATCAAGTGAGACAGGCCCAGGATCAAGTACGGCAGGCTCAAGACCAAGCGAGGCAAGCCAGCGATGCAGCCAGCCGGACATCGTCATCGGCAAGCAGCGCCGTGTCCCAGGCCCAGTCAAGCGCGCGACAGGCCATCTCCGATGCCCAAAACTCGGCGAGGCAAAGTGCGAGTCAGCAGATTTCGCAAAACTTGGCGAGTGTTACGTCCAGTGCGTCGATGCAGATTGCCAGCATACGGTCAAGTGCCAGCGCCAGCGCCGCGAGTGCCATTGCCGCCGCCACGCAGTCGGCCCTCGCGATGGTGCAAAGCGCGCGGGTACGTTTCTCGATTCCCCCTCTGGTTTAAGCGCTATCTAACTCATCACAGACCGATGCGGACTCAAGGGTACAGCAAGCACAAGGTACCGCAGTGTCGGTTACGCAGGCCGCAGTCATAATCGTGGGAGCCATCATCGGCTCGTCTCTATTGACTATCCTATGCTTCTACCTCTTCACACGCTACCGCCGCAGCAAGCGCAAAGACCATACGGCACGCGGTTCTCGCCGCGGAAACAGCTACCCCGCGCAGGACTCGCCTATGGCCGCCAGGGGTCTGGTTATGGACACCGGCTACCCGCAGGATGTCAAGCGTCCGATGTCGCCGGCGCGACCAGAGACAGCGCTCACAACCGGACCTGGCGGGATGGGATACGCTGTAACCAACTTTGGCGACAGCGCGCTCAACTTCTCAAGGACGACGACGTTTATGGGCAGCACGGCGCCGCAGACGGGGGGCATAGGGGTGTTGTCGAGGGAACCGTCGGTGACGCGAAAGCCGATACCGCCGCCACTCAAGAAGCCAGCGGCCTTTAATTTGTTCCCATCGACACCAAAGGAGGGCTCCTTCGGTGTTGGCGGGTTGCCATCTAACCCGTCTTCAATGAGAGATCGGGGGTGGTCCGTATCGTCGTCGGCGTCGACGGCGGTACCAACACTAGCACCCACGGGGCCTGCGAATGAAAAGCTGGACAGGGTTGATGAGGAAACGGACGACTTTGGGGAGGGGGGCAGGAGGTGGTTGAGGCGGACGCGGACCGTGAGTCCGTTCGGTGACCTTGCCGAGAGTCCAACCAAGGGGAAGGGTGCAAACTGGCCGTTTACTGGGCCGGGCTCGCCTGCGACTGCCAGGTGATGATGGTTAATGGGATTAATCAGCCTTGACCGGCGACCCCGATGCCACGGAAGCGCTTCGTGCGCTTCTACAATCCATTCATTCTAATTGTCCATTTAATTCAGGGTCATGTCACCCAAACGTATTTAGCCTAACTCTCTTTCGACATAATACACAATGCACTATTGCAGGTGGATGTCATGCGGGGCAACGCCCCCAGTCTATGCGTATGTGCCGTCTCTCTGTGGGAGGAGACAAGGGGTGGAGAAGGTATGTTGGATCCAAAGACCTGGACACATGGAGTTCGGTCTCAGGCCTGAGGCCGCATCCATAGACCATCGTCGCCGCTGCATACGTGTTTCTGAAGATTGTACCCGTTGTGATATGGGACTTGAAGACCCGGACTTGGGTCTTTGCTGGGATTGGGGTTGCCAAGCTTCCACAGATGACAGCATGTGAAAGACGAAGGGGAGGCTGCCGGACCCGAGCCTATGGGCGAACTGTTGTCTATGCCGCGTTGTTAGAGAATCATGCCCCTGATCCCTCGCTGTTGGGTTTGATCGACGACTAAAATACGGGTCATGGCCGGCGACCGGTAGACGGGCGGGCCGGGCCAATGATTCTTTCGATCTTTCATCGTAGGCGGTCTAGCTTCAATTCATCCGGGACATGCATGTTCCGTCTTCCTTCCTGGAGGGGGGGTGGGGGGGCAAAATGATCATAATCAAGTGACGGTCAACGTACCTCCATGTCTAGGATCCTCGGATGACCGACTGGAGGTTTCAAGACAAAGCTTTCGGTCGAAATCAATCGAAATGCCCAGGATAGACGGCAGGGCGGCGTCGATTTGCACGGACTCCAGATCGCGTCTTAGCACACCAATCTCTGCGTCCTCGTCGTTGCGGTCGTCTTCTTTATCCGATGTGGGGTGACACTCGGCTGCCGACTTGAAGCCTATGACGGCGATCTGCTGCCGAAGCTGCTGCGCTAGATGCCGGTCCGACTCACTCGGTGCGGCTGGAGATATTGCTAAGATAGCGCCTCGACGACGGGATCGTTTGCTATGCGCGGGCTCTGGGGCCACTGAGAAGGAGCAGGGGAGGTCGTGGAGGGTGAGGAACATGCCATCCGGGACGGGTTGAGACCACAGGCCCGGTGGGGAAGGGGAGGTTGATGGATGCGGTGGTGACCAGAGCCATTTGAAATGAGCGGCGTCGTTGAGGCGGCCTCTCTTGATGGGGATCTCGACATCTTGTCCGTCGTCTTCTGCTTGGCGCTTCTTTCGCCCGCTTATTTCGGCCATGGTGTTCTGTTGAGATTTGAATAAGGGCTTCTTTGTACCGTGGATGTTGGCGATGCGTTAAGACGAGGGCAGTGGCTCCGACCTGAAATCGTCTCCGGTGGGAATCGCCAAAATAGAAATTGGGCTTCAAAGAAGAATTCAGTCAAGGTAGGATTGTCGTGTTGGTATGAAGGACACATCATTTGAAGTCAGAGTCAAGACGTATTTCGGTGACGGCTCATACGCTGGCGGGGTAAAAGTTGACTGTTCGCCGCCTGGCGCGAGCTCTGCCTCCGGATCAAGTTAATTGCCTGCTGGGGAACAAAGGTGGTCGGTGCCAGGGTATCGTGGGTAGCGTGACCGGATGGTGTGAGTTCCAATCATCGACATCCGAGCATAAATTTGGTTGGGGAAAACTGGGACCTGTCACTTCGGTTTACTCGGCAGAGTTGTGATGTAGTTCCTTGTCATTAACATCATCCCATGATCTGTCGCGGATGATGGTTTCAGTCACTGCGCCAAGATTCTGGGCTCCCAGAACGCGATGCTGTGATCTCCTGTTGCCCTTTGTCCGTTCAACGATACCAGGTGAACCATGTGAGCTAGACAGCGTCCCGACTGTCTGTGGGTTATGGTTTCAGTTCGTCGTTGACATGATGCTATCGACGAGCCGTTTATAGTAGCTGTCAGACAGCGTTGCCGTTCCTCAAAATTGATTAGTAGATCGACCCCAAGGCTAGTCGCACAGACGAGGATACCATACGTCCACAAGTCTACCCTTACTAGTTACGACTGCGAGCTAGCTACCCGCACCATATACCGTCTCATACCTGTATGATCCTCAGATGGCAGGCGGCTAGTGATCAAACATCAGCTTTGAACCTTATGGAAAGTCTGAGATGCCAACGATTGCGAATATTTTTATGCGGCCTACAGCCAGACTAGGTAGAGGAACTTTGTGCCACGCTCCGTGCCGCCCCCAACTGTTCTTTACCACCAGTTCCTACGACTTAGCCTTAAACTAAAGTTGACCTGGCTTCCTCGGCAATCTCGTCCGTCTTCTGTCAGGAGCGGGGTAGGAGGCCTAGCACGCACGTCCCAGTTGGAGGTCTTCGCCAACCGGACCATAAGGATTGAGGACCGTGGCGGCCGGTTGAGTCGAGAATGCCTGAGACGTCCGACTGTCAATCGAGACATCTCTGGCTCAAGCCCGCGTGGTGGAGTCATAACAGCATCGCGTTTGATTGCTTTGACGTTTACTTGTCCGAAGTTCTGTGCATGTGTTTGGTCGACGACGCTGCCATAGATTCCAAAATCGCGAGTGAGGGCCGAGGTTTTCCATGGGCGTGTGTCAGGTGGAGAGCATGTTTGCGAGATGGCGATTGACGGCTGACTTATGTTTTCTTGTTTACTCGGGTATCAATCAACTAATCATACAGAAATGGAATATGTATACAGTGCCAAGGTTGCATGAGAGACTTTCCTGGCCCGGCCCATTCGTCAACGCCTGGCAGAGCTCCATTGCTGGTTGAACTTGGCAAGTTCGTCGGCCGCATGGCGTGTCCTGTGTGATCCCTGGCCAGTGACCCAAAATCTCTCCATCGGGTCTGCCGTGCTTAAGTATGTGGTGTAAGGTGCCTGGTAGGTAGGGGTGTCACGCGGTCGGCCAGTGGTGTTTGTAGAACCGCTGTAGGCCGACTGGGGGTAGCTGGGATGTGTTAGGGTGGGGAAAGGTACGAGGTAAGAGGAGAAGTAGAGAAGTAGCCCGCGTACCTTGATTTGGGACGTTTGTAGCTAGATCCAGACATGTTGTCTTGTATTGCTTCTGGGGGGGGGGGGGTCTTGAAGGACGTCGTTGGAGAGGCCCAAGATGCACGAGCGGTTGGCTGTCAAGGTCAAGCAAATGGTTTGTGTTGGTCCGGTCTGGCGTCCTTCGACGACCAACACAGCGATACCTATATACATATATATATATATACGGGTTGAGCAGTTGACTCGGATCGAACAGAGACGGGTGGTAATATCACTACCGGCTGAAGAGCCAGCAAAAGAAGCGCATGTAACTGGAATAAGACACATCATCATTGATCGACTTTGGGATCGAAGCAGATTACCAATGTGAGCGGGTTACATTTGAGAGGCATGGGGGGCGTTGTCGAGAAAACATGGAATGGAAGGGACACGTTTAGGAATAGTAAAAAGTCGAGGTGCTGCATGGCGCGCTGGCATACGGTGATGAGACGGATGGAACGAAGTAATTCGGTTTCAGTGTCACTTGACGAACAGCATCGTCATGAGAGCATCGAATTAGGAACCGGTAAATAGTGGACTGGCAGCTAGCGGCCTCCTTGCAAGCCTCAGAGCATGGAGTTTGGTCACGGACAAGATAAACGAAGGAGCGGGAGGCAGTGAAGTCAGAATAAGGACAAGAGGCAATTGGAAAAAACCGTTTGGGATCCCTGGTTCTCAACGGCTGGGACGGCACGCGTGGAGAGCTTAGGGAAAACTTCCTGTAGGTTCCCATCGCATCGCCAAGAAGTTTGCCACTCGCATGGATCTAGAGTAGCTCCCGAGAGGCTTGAACAACCGACCTCGGCCCGTAGAGGAGCGCTCGGGTGGGTGAGAGCGCGGGTTAGTGAGGGCGGAGGTCGGCGGGGGGGGGGGACAAGTGGCGTGGCGCGGTGCAGTGAGATTGAAAGAATGGCGATGAGAATGAAATTGGCCGTCGGGGATGGACGCCCGGGAGAACCAGGCTAGAAGACGGAACAGAACGGGGTTGGCGATGGCTGTGGACGACGGGAGTGCGGCACACTCTTTGATGGCAAGTTCATCAACTAGCAGGGAGGGAGTCAGGTACCGGTCATAGACTCACAAACAGGTCGGTGAAGGCCATGGGCTTAAGTGGGCGACGTCGTGAGTTTCGTTGAGTACCTACTATCATGGTCTCATGGAGGTGTTCCCTGCCAATGAATGTTGTCCAGGAAGAACAGACGATTCCCAGCAAAGGTCAAGCACCAATTGCGGTGGTGGCTAAGCCATCGAGGCGCCCGCCGGTTGTAGTTTTGCAATTTTGCGGCTTTTGCGGCGGAGCACGGCGGGGGTCCAGTCGCTCCAAATGATATTATGACCTGCGGTGGGGAAAACCAAAGCTTCAGTTCTCGACGAGGAGATGTTACTCTCAGCACGTCATTCCCCCAGAACGCTTGCGTGAAGGGCACGAGGGCTCCCATGGCCGTCCCGAGCTGCGCCACACTGAGTTAGTTCCCCCTTCAACTCTGCCTGACGGGGCAGTTTCTCGATCCCATGCCATGTTCTTGCTGCACGACAGCAGTAGCAATATGGGCATGTTGCGGCTGGTTCTGTCTGGTTGGAGCCCTCCTCCCATGTCCCGTTCCCCATCTCGAGACGAAGGTGAGGTCATTCCCGTCTCTCGAGCGCATACAGGGGGATGGACTGTTGACTCTCCCAGGCTATAGCAGTGGGCGCTTACAGGATTACTCCACAGTATGTACAGGGTGACAAGGGGTAAGTAAAATACCCCTATGATGTTACCCCCCATAACCGACATCATGATAGAGGGGGAATATTCACCAAAAGTGAAGTTCTGCAGTAGGGGGGTGGACGTTAGTTACCTAACCGGGGTATTTAACTTCGGCCTGGTACCATTGTATGTACCCCCAGCTGAACAATCTTAGACACCGTAACCCTGGTGCCTAAACCAACATGCAAACACACAGACAATCAGCATCCGTCTGGAAATCCTCAACCACCCTCATCCCTCATCTCATCATGGATGCGATGCTGGTATGATGATGGTAGTTCTTGGAGATCCTCGGCCAACACACTCACACACACACACACACAAAAACACATAGCACTTCTCTGATAATGCCCGTATAGTTGACACGAGCCCGACTGGCACATAACGGCTGAGCCACAACACTCTGCAGCCCCAGCCTACTCTGGTGGGTGCACCACCTCCATTCTTCCATTTCACGCCCATTGGCCCCGCCTGGCCACCTCCAAGACCTCATTTTCTTCTAGGCTGCCAGCTCTTGCTGTGCTACCACTTCCCTTCCAGCCCCGGCCGTCGGAGGGGGCCAGTCTTATCAGGCTCCCACGCTTCCTTTGGTCTTAGCTGTCTATTCTGACCCCTGCGTTGTACCAGACTCTACGTCTCTCGCCATGGATTGTCCATCCCTCGTCTCTCGCGCCGGTGGCATGCACCACACACATATCCTTCAGCTCATTGATAGCCTGGTCATCCCCCTCACTTCTGATGACCAAAGTCTGCTCCGATCCTCTTCATTGCCCATCATGTCTCTCCTCCCATAACAAGTCATTCTTTCCAATTTTCCCTCCAGCTCTTGGCCTGTAACAAGTCTTTCTCTTCATATACTTTGATACCCTTCTTTCCCCTTACTTACACGCTCTTCGTCACCAAACGTGGCAAGGCTGTGGCGGCCAGCCATCACTTTGAACGCAATGTCAGCTTCACCTTCCAGCTCGCACGCCACCCAAACTGGTCGTCCTTCGCTGTGGAACGATTCTTCTGAGCGTAGGTTAGCTAGGCTCTACGTCTACACCACATTGCCTCTCAAGAAGATCGTCGAGGTCGTCCATAAATCCACCCCCGGAAACAAGGACTGCCCAGGGTACGCCGAGACTCTTGCTTGCGACAGCGCAGCTGCGATTGACCGTCATTGCTGACAGACAGGTGCAGAAAGGACTCGGCCAACAAAAAACTCAACTCGATACTAGACAAGGAGCCAAGATGGCTTCACCCGCGAACCCGGACCGATATGGACCGTCGCATACGCGCTCTCGATAGCTCTCCCACGCGGCAGACCACACCAGAGAACGCATTCCCGTCAAGTTACTCTAGGTCCGTCTCCTCCGACATCAACTCGCGGTTGAGCGCAAACCCCGACTTCAAACACGAAAGTGGAAACAGTCCCAACCTGCATGACTTTCAGCCCTTCCAACACTCTCGTTCTTCGTCTGCCGGCTGGGGTCCACTTGCCGCCGGACCGCTTCCGACTCTGGTGACCAGCGAGTTTGCGTCCGCGCCGCCGCCCAACATCGGAATCCATCGTCAAAGTACTACCTTGACCCTGCAGGAGGTTCTGTCACAGTATTCTACGGGGTTTATCCGGCAAGTCGACAAGTTGTTGAAGCGGTATACGATGCCAAGCCATACGATGCAGAACCGCTCACCCATGGACGAAGACCGCCCGGGCACCGCCGATTCTAACCCGGCCTCATGGATTTTCGAGGACAATGCACCGCGAGGAAACTCGGACGCAGGAGCTAGACCGCTTCCCGGCGACTTCCTCAATTTGCATCGGCACATGAACAGCAGGGGCTTCTGTACCGAAGGGCTACCCGAACACGACTCGCGATCCTGCTTCTGCCACGTCAACAATGAGCTCACCGAGGAATCTTGGGTGACCAAGGCGGGCCCGTCGCCATATGCTCAACAGGTCCTCCTCTCCGGAGCACCTCCAGACGGAAGACTGGACAGCCGCGATGCGTTCGGCAACACGATCCTCCACCTCCTCGCGGCCGGCGACGCGCACCATGACCACCTCTTCAGAGCTATCCAGCTATCGCCAAATCCGTCGGCGGCAAACAGCGCTGGCCAGACCTTTCTGCACGTTCTCAATGATACCTGGTTCTCGCACAAGGCTGATTCGCTCTTCCGACTCCTCGAATACTTGAAATTCGAGAGCTTCTTATACGTGCGCGATGTCTATGGCCGCAACTTCTGTCATGTTCTTCACTCCAAGGGTTCAGACATCCTGGACCAGGACACAAAGAACTTCCTCCTGAAGAAGTTCGATGCCATGGAGTACTGCCGTCGCGATGCCTTTGGCAACATCCCCGAGTCTGCACCGATTGGACTGCCTGTTCGCCGGGCGTACACTGCCGCTGTCGGCCAAGAGATGTCCCCAGCGTGGGACTCTCGTACCTCGCGACAGGTTTCATCGCCCATTGAACAGCAGGCCGCGCTCCTAAGGCTTGTTAGGGAGGCGTACCAAAATACAAGAGTTCAAGATACACAAGGCCGAAATGGTCTACACTGTCTTGCAGACGCCATCCTTAGCCAGGACGCTCTGCTGGCTAAATTTCCTCAGTATTCCAGCAACACCGGTGCCGATGCACAACAGCCAACTGCCTCCAGTCGCAAACGCAAGTACAACAAACCCGTCCTCAACAAATCGTTATCCGACTCATCCACCGATCGCCTTACCGTCCGGGAAAGAATCGTTGTGGACCTCATCGAACTCGGAGTAGACCCCAATCACTACGACAAATACGGCAACACGGTGCTCATGGCTTTTGTCGCCCAGCTCCCCGAAGACGACGACTACAAGAAGCCAGTCGAGATCCTGGAGGTCCTTATCAAGGCTGGCGCCAACGTGAACGCCCGCAACAGGAACGGCGAGACCGCATTGCATATCGCCGTCCGGAGGGGTAAGAAACTCGCCATGCGCACGCTGGTGCAAAATGGAGCGAATCCCCAGGCGCGCGATGTTGAGGGTAGGAGCGTACTCGAGGTCGCCGACCGGATGGTGACGACTTCCAAGCAAAACATTCAGTACTCCCACTACGAAGCTTGCCATGCATGGTTGTCGGGGCAGGCAAAGGCTGTGCAGTTTCCCACAATACATCAAGAATGGGAACTCAGAGAATTATGAGCGTCTGGGTCGATATTGTGTCGAGTGATGGGATAGGCCAGCTGCATACATAAAAGTCAATCCTTCTTGTCTATGGGTTGTTTGATGATGTTGACGTATAAAGTCTTCTGGCGTTAGGCGTTTCCCTTGGACTTGATTACTCGAAGAGTCATTCGAGAGGATACGGATATGGGCGAATGATGATAATCGTTGAGATTTTTTTCTTCTTTTTGGACACCCAGTTGAGGACTGTATAAGCTGCGTAAGCTCATATACATTTGCATTGGGTTGTTGACCCTTTACTTTCTTCAACTATTTAGCGATAAAATCAGGCAAGCTCCTCTATCGCCTGATTGGGAAACGAGGCTTCATTTGTGGTGGTTGCAGGAGCACATATTTGCATGATGTACATACGGAAGAAACAATATAGAGTCCCATGTCGACCTTTCATGCTCACACGAATGATCAACACTACATAAGTCCCAAGTTGTGGGGGACGTAGTTGTGGTCGACCCATGCAGGCGAAAGCACACTCAAGAATTTGTGCTCGTGGTCTTGCCAACACCGGCGTTGGCCTTGACCTTGGCGGGAACATCGGCAACACCAATATGGCCAATGAGCGAGGATTTGAAGCCGCCCAGCTTGGACAGAGCATCAGTGCTTGTGAGACTGCTGACAACTCCTGAGTCGCGGGCTCGGTTCCACTCGCAGATGTATCCCAAGGACGAAGTGCAACGAGATGCCTCGTCTACGGTGTTCACAATGTAAATATTGCCACCATTTGTCAAGGTGGCTGGAGTGACGGGTGTGGTGACGGAGTCGAAGTAGTTGCCCTCGAGTAGGACCCATGTGTTGCCGTCAATATCGAAGGCATGACCTCCTACATTCTGGAAGTAGTTGTTGACGCCGTGGAAGATAATCTCGCTATCGGCCGTCTTCTTGGTGCCCATATGGGGAGAGCGACCCGAGACGTCGTGCAGCCAGTTGCCAGAGAAAGTGTAGTAGTCCTTAGCCCCGATCAAGAGGGCGGCCCAATAGTGCTTACCGTTGCAGCCGGCCGACCATTCGGACTTGCCATCAAACTCGGTGTTGGAGATGGTGACCTTACCGGCAGCGCCCCAGCCCGAAACGACAAACTGACGGCCTATCAGGGAGATCTTGCAGTGGTCGATCCAGACCTTGTCAGAGCCATCTAGAGTAATGGCATCACCACCCCAGACGTACTGGGGATTCAAGTTGGTGATGTGGATATTTTGGATGATCACATTGCTCGTGCCACCGCGCACACGGAGTCCCTTGCCAACGATCACGCCCTTGGAGCCGACACCGACGATGCTTTTGTTACTGTTGATGTCGATAGGACTCTTGGCTGCGTTGTCGTACGTGCAGTCAATCCACGTTCCGCTGGCGGCATCACAGGTATCCTGTATCCAAGCCTGGCCCTTGGATGTACCACCGGGACACTTGGTCGTACGATTATCACTGCAACACCTGCCATGCGTTGTGCCCTCGGTGTTGCGGAAGTCCCAGGTGCGGTCGATCATGATGGTTCGGGGCGTGCTGTCAGTGAGCCACTCTTTCAGCCTGCATGGTAATATCAGTTCTTCGGCCACCCAAGTCTTTTTGGCCTCTTATTCGCACTCACTGGGCGATGCTGGAAGGATACTGAGGCGCGGCCGAGCCACCGCCAGTTGTTCCGGCAGCAAAACCAAAGGCCTTGCCCTGAACCTGGGCGGTAGCCGTGCTCGCCAGAGCGGCGACGACGAAGAGAAGTAAATTCTTCATTGCATCAAACCCACCAAACTCAATATCAGGAACTATACAAGCAAAAGCGGTGAACAGATTGGAAGAAGCAAGTGACAAGAGAGGAAGAAAACAGAAAGACAACGGGCTATATAATATAGAGAGAACCAATTTAAAATACGCCAAGATATTGATAGCCGAGTGATGATTCCATGGTACTTTGGTGGGGCAGAACGAGGAGGCCTGTCCTGTGATCTTATTGTTCTTTCCTCTATGCATCTCATAACCCCGCGTCGTTCGTACTTTAGCATATCGCTTACATTCTCCATTGTCCAAATAGGGATGGGACGGTATATTTGACACTGCTGCTGCTGCTGCTGAGGCGGATGCGATATTATGCAAGGGTGCATTTCCACCAGACAGCACTGCTCTTTCTTCACGGACACAATGGACCCTCCCTGGTTCTTTAATCCTTCTGTGCAACGGGAAGTTTCTGTCCCATACCACTGGTTATGACACCTACCTTGTAGACTTGAAGCATTTGAGCCTAGCCTATGTTTCCTGATCCGGTAGTTTGAACTCAAACGTCCCACCGATGGTGACCTTTTCGGTCAAGACTCAAGATGCTGTGCACAGAGAGCCGGGTCGACCCCGCTTTTCATTTGGACAGAGATCGACGACAAGGGCTGAAGGACTACGATGCCACTGAGCGGGATAGTCCAAGCACCACAGGGTATATGATTTAGGAACCCAAAGAAGTCTAAAGGGCCCTCTCGGCCATCTTACTCGGCACTTATAAGTCATTTCCTTAGAGATTGGAGGGGAGTTTAGGCTCAACATCCCGGGGACGTCTACTACTGTAGCTGGGGGCTTACCCTGCGGCTTTCAGACATTTGTTGGGCCCGTCATGTCTGCCGTAACAGTTTTCGACTCTATGCTGTATGATGACACTTTTAGCACCGAGGAGGCTCGCTCAGGCTTTTCTTAGAACCCATATGTTGCTAACCTTACCAAAGCAGGATGCACTCTCGTTGATGCCCAGGAAGCTGAAGATATTTTGCCTGTCATCATTGTCGTCGCGCTGAGAGAGGGCCACGATGTTTCGAAGATTGGTTGGCAGCCCCTAGTCACGCGCTCAAAAATCTTCAGATACCTAGTTCTCCCTCTGGCCGAAAAATGTCACAGTAGGTGCCTGAGGAGACATATCAGTTGTCACTGGGCCTAGTATTTCTGCCTCTGGCTATAGGAAATGCTGCTCCACCAAACAGGGTTTTCCCTATCTGGCCTCCAGGTAAATCAGATGCTATGATGGCGAAGTTGAAGTCGACAAAGGGCTTGGTCGCCGCCGAAGCCGTCATGGGCTTGGAGAAGTACATTTGCTCTCAAGAAGCACATCAAGTAGTATACAAAAAACCACATCTCTTTGCAGGAAGCTTTGAAAATTCGTCACGGGTCCCATCTCGTATTAGTGGAGCTGTCCATGTTTTGGCCATATCCTGCGAGTTGTCTTGGCTGTTACCAACTGATGCTCGATGAGATGTTAGGCTGGAAGATAATGAACGAGAACGAGCTTACAGAAGAGCAATGGGTCGGTGAATGTTGGGTATCAGATAGCCCCGAAACTATGTTGATGGAAATATTTCAAAGTGGAAACACGAGGGCCTCTCAGTAATGTGCTTCTTTCTTAGATGTTCCGATTGAGACGCGTTTTCTGATGTGTCGTGATTTGTTGGTCAAGCAACACAAACATGACATTTGCGTCGAAACGTTAACGCTTTCCCTATCACTGGTGGTAGACGATAGTTGTCATCTCAGCACATGCGATGGAGTCTACTTCTGACCGATGAGTCTCGAGAGTATTTATGAACCGAATGCATCTCTCAAGCAGAAGCCCACGCATCAAGATCGAATTACATACAAGGCACTTTGCGTCTAAAAAGTTCATGTCTAAATGGATGCGGCATTTCCAAACCTTTCAGCTTCTCGACTGTGGGCAAACAGTTTTAAACAAGTTGTATCAATCTTCTTATGGATGATACTCAGTAGTTTTTCAAAAAGAAATGGGCCATAAATTCGTACCAAGGCTCGCCTGGTGTGCTATCTAGCTCGCTGGTCTAGGTATAATATCTTGTCTTGTATCCTTCCATAAATAATCAATCCTAACTCCAATCTAAACTCTTTGGCCGGGGTGATAAAACGTCAAGTGGCGCATGCAACCAAATCCTTTTATAATGTCCTGGATGGACGACGTGCTTAAATCGTCACGTCGGCAAATGTAAGAGGCAGTTTCAATGCCCTCAGGACGGAGGGAATGCTCAATTTCGCGCTGGTGAACCAGCGATGTGCCGATCGAAGGAGGTGCCCGAAGGCCAGATATGTTGATATCATCTACTCCTTGTGGAGGGAGCCAGTGACGTAGTTCTCCTCGAGGGCATCGATGGTAGCAATGTCCTCCTGGGAGAGTTCGAAGTCGAAAGACTCAAAGTTGGACTTGATGCGGTGGGCGGTGAGGGACTTGGGAAGGACGATGTTGCCGCGGGAGGCGTTCCAGTTAAGGAGGACCTGGGCGGGGGTCTTGCCGTACTTCTCAGCAATCTTGCCGACGGTGGGATCTTCAAGCTTGTTGCCGCGAGCGAGAGGGGAGTAAGCTTCGATGGCAATTCCGTACTTGCGGCAGGTATCGACAAGCTCCTGGCGCTGGCAGAAGGGGTGAACCTCAATCTGGTTGACTGCGGGGACGACAGAATTCTCCTTCATCAGCTCCTCAATGTGCTGGGAGCTGAAGTTAGAGACACCGATGGAGCGAACCTTGCCCAAGCGCTGGGCAGTCTCAAGGGCTCTCCAAGAGGCAAGGCGCTTCTCCTTGTCGTCGGAGGGGGAGTGGATCAGGTAGAGGTCGAAGTAGTCGAGACCAAACTTCTCCAGAGAGTCGCACAGGGCCTTGAAAGTGGCCTCGTAGCCGTGGTCGGCGTCCCAAAGCTTGGTAGTGACGAAAACCTCGGATCTGGGAGTGCCAGTCTTCTGGAACCACTTCTTCAGGGCGCGGCCACAGGCCTCCTCGTTGGCGTATCTGGCGGCAGAATCGATGTGTCGGTAGCCGGCGTCGAGAGCGGCAATGACGGCGTCCTCAGTTTCCTGACCATTGGGGGCCTTGTAGACGCCAAGGGCGATCTGGGGAATCTCGTTGCCGTCGTTGAGTCTAACGGTCATACGAGGGGAATCGCAAGGAGAGGCGTATCCGGAGTCCTGGCGGGTAGGCATGACCTTCTCCATGCCAATCTCGGGCTGACGGGAAGCGAACTGGGTGGCCATTGTGAACGATTTGAGGGTTGATGTGTAGATGCTGGAAAAAAAGGCTATGAATGGGATATCAGAATGAAGTATTCGTTGGTATGTTGAGGCCGTTTGAAGTGATTGATGTGTGAGTGGTGTTTTCAAGCGAGAGAGCAGATGTTGCCGAGTTATCTCTTTCCTTTTATCTTTTTCGACGTCTCTCTGTATATTCTCCTATTACCTATCTCGGTCCGATAGCATCCTCTCCCTTGTCGCCAGTTGCGGACCCGCCGTGGTGAAGAGCCATCTGTGTTGAGTTGATGCCCCACCACTTGGATGGGTACACGTTCTGCAATGAGTGGACCCATACCGATTCTGAGGGCTGGCACCGTACTCCTCCTATGGTGGTGAGTAGGTTTTCCATGTGAACGAATGTCGATTTTCAGTCGGTGCTGGCGGTTCCCAGTCGGCATCTGTCCGTCTCTCGTACGGTGCCAAGTTGATGCCCCGTTATCTCTGGGCCCACGACCCGCTGGTGTTGGATCCAATGACGTAGAAGTTCTCCGCCGGCATTGGGCCGCTGATCCGCCGTAGACCGGATCCAATGACGTGCCGTGACTCCGCCGAAGCTGGGCCGCTGGGCGGCGTTCGAGTCAGGGTTCTCGATGGAGGTACGGTGGCTATTGTCCAGTTACACTACTGGCGGCAGGTCTCAGTCCCGGCTGCCGAAAGCCAACCTCACACTGCCTACTGCGTACTGAACTCGACTCATGCTACATGTACCTGACGGGATAAGCAATGATCGACTTGCAAATCGGTGTATGCGGCCGAACTACAGGATTCTATCGGATTGTTGAGCCTCACTTTATGTGTTCCACGACTTTGGCGAATATCAGCTTTCACAGTGGCAAAAATGTTGCAGTGAATACAATGTACAGACTTTTACGGACAAGCGCAATTGTGAGGACTGTGCACTATTGGGAGCCGCTGCGGAAATCCCGACTGCTAACTAAGAGCTATGCCTTGGGGTTTCGTTCGGTCAATCATTCCCGAAGACCCATGAAGCGATGTTTCACTTTCAGCCGCGGCGGATTGCCATGATGCGTCGGAGGCACAGAATCGGCATAGAGCCAACGCCGTTGAGGAAGAAAATCCAGTTTTCCAGGGAGACGTCGAAAAGCCAGGTACGTACAGTGGGTGTGTCCTGGGTAAGGTATCGTGAAATGAAAAGCCGCACTAAGCGACAGGCGCGATTTTTCACAATATGACGTCAAGCTGCCACTGGCATCACAGACGAAGTGGACCAGTTCAAAACGCGGTGCAGCTCAAGGCCCATTAGAAATGTACCCTTGAAGCCGAAAGATGCCGCAGCTGTTTCTAGTCTGTAGGCTGAAGTGTGCGTGGTTTGGTGGTACGAGTTGCGGCCTCAACAGCCTGGAATGTAAGGAGTATGCGAGTCGTAAATTTGCCATTTCTCGTGTACATGAGCAATGTACTCCGTACCTATCCTGTCTGTCGTATTGTACTATCTAGGTATGTAGCTCAGAGTCTGAAGAGTCTGAAAAGTTGTTATAGCGCCCTGCCGCTGGAGCCTTCGAAAAGACCATAACCCTGTAGCCCATAGTTGATTGGCCCAAAGCCCTGCAGAACTCAGGAACGTAGTTTCAGGATCCCCTCTGATGTCATTGGAGGGTCCCGATGTAGGGCGGAACGGAAGCTAATGGTGATTAGATGGAAGTCCCTGTATCCATGGATGGAGGCATACAGCCTGCAGGACCCCTATCGGGAAGGCTCGGAAGGGCCCGCTCTTCCCTCAGCCTGGGCAATCAATCAGTGAGTGTACAGTGTACTAGAGAGGGGATTGACTCTACCTGCCACATGGAGTTGCGCCCGCGTTGCCTAATCGGCAGAAGTCCATGTTCCCGTACAGTCGCCTACCGATATATGCCAGCTCAGCGAGACAAACATGATGATCGGACTTCCTAGGAGTAACCCTGAGGCCCTGAGCCCGGCGATCAACAGCTGAATCAACTCTGAGAAATTTTCACATGTACACTACACCACGCCAAGCTCATACACAGCCTAGCAAGTTGGAAGCGCTTTACGGGCAGTGGATCGGCAAGGAGACATCAGGATTTTTTCTGGTCCGAGGAAGTACATCATAGTACGGATAGGTAGCCGCGCAAAAGAAGGGGGAAAAAAAAAAACTGTGCTTCCACAATCCCTGTCAAGAATATTGAGAATGCCGATGAACGTCAATGCCCCTTATCTGACCCTGAGACAAGGTCCTATCAATGACCCACGCGAGGCTCCAGTTTATCTTTTATCTCAACCAAGGTAGGGAGCGCTTCTTCCCAGCGTGTCAGCCTGGGTGCACAGGCACTTGTGGATTGAATAGAAACCTAACTGGATAGAACATCTCGTAATGTGGGCTGCGCTAGGATGTCGGGACCCCGTCTCACGGCGAGAGAAACGGCCGATAGGGGCGTCACCTCGACAGACAAACAGGCTGGCTACAGGCAGAGACGATCCTTAGTGGGGACGTCTGCGAGGTGAAAAATGTCGCTCTCGAGCTTCTCGACACGGTGCATGAAGCGGGCAGTCCAGAGAATCCCAACAGTAATCAGTATCATTGGCGGTGTACGGATAGTGGCATCGGTGAATGGGACCAAAGCTCCACCACATCATAACATTTATAATGGATTTGGCCTTAGGGTCATGGTTGCTATGACACTTGCCTTCATTGGATGATGGGTTAAATTCTAAACTTTTCGCTGAATGCCGAATCCTGGTGAGACTGCACTATCGAACTTGGTTTCATGAGGGATTTCAAGTCCATGTCGTAGGTAACCTAGAGTGCTGCGGTAAGATTACGTCTTAATGCATCGAGATCAAGCAATGAGACCGGGTTCTGCTCCTCTGAGATGCGAGGCTAGGATAACAAATAAAACAGATACCCGCCCGAGGCAGCCGAGAATAACAGCGAAACAAGGCAGTGGAATAACTTGGCAGGTAGGGCCATCCCTCTCCATCTAATTAGTGCATATGCTAATCGAAAGAAAATGCGCCCGTTGCGGTGACGAGTAGGTAGAGCTGCATGCCATGCAACCATGCCATATCAAGAATGTAATCACCGCTATACCGCGCATGTAGATTTCCAAAGATAACGCAAAATCGCAGCCATCAATGCCCAACGCAGCACGAGTCAGATATGGCGTCAGCAAACAAAACTAAGGGCAAGGGACTGCAGGGGAAAATGTGCCAATCACTTCAAGTAATGTTACAGCACAGGAGTTATGGATGTTGATCTACAGCATGGTCGGCTTTTCTCGGGCACTGGCAGATGAGAGAGGACTAAAAATGCCTCAGGGGCCTGGTGGCCTCTCCAAGAAATCGACATGGAGTTTGGGTTGGATAGTATTACGGCAATTTTGGTAAGTTAATCGGTATTTTAGCGCTATGCTCGAGCCAAGTAATAGTTATTGGGATGGCACCAATTGCTACGAAGGCACGAAGTTGCAAAAACCTCAACCCCACATTAATGCCGAATGTCACGATAGCCTCAACCCCAGATCAGGACCACCATAAATGTTCGTCATCCCCGCCAACCCCAGGAAAAGGCCGATCTAAGCCAGAGAGAGACGAGATATGGGGCGCTGCGACTCATGTAGTTTGAGCTTCAATTACTGACCGACATCAGCAACTTGCTTTCAAATGCATCACTCTCAGTTGGTGCAGTAAAGCAACACGCGTAATTTAAGAAGTCAACAAGCCTGGTTTCTGTTTGTCTTTTCATGGAAGTTTTATTGAAGCGAGTCCTCCCATGAGTTAATAGGGTGAAAAGTCCATGCACTCAGACCATGCCCGAGGATACTGTTTGGATGTTATCTGAGTACGTCTAGAACGTCAACTGTCCCTCTAGGAATATTTGTGACCTTGATATAGCTCAAACGTGCAACTGTGCTCACAACAGACGTTCTAGAAAGCTCTTCAGTCCCAATTTTGAATCCGCCACGGGTTCAGCGACCGATGATCCATATTTTACTCCACGAAGCTTGGATGTCAGGTTTTATGGAGAATTGCTGATCGTTGCGGTGCGGCTCAATACTCGACGTTCCAAGACAAACTTGATTGATGATAAGTCTGGCGGGAGAGGGAGAAGAGAAGAAGCAAAAAAGGAAAGGAAAAGAAAAGAATTGGATCTACAGATTTATGGATACCAAGTGAGTTCTCTTCATGCGCACTGTTCTGCGGCAACAGTACAAGGGGACTGATTCTTGTCCCGCTTGCAGCTTTTCAAGTTTGCCTCATCCTGAAAGCCCCTATATTTGATGGACTATTGCTATGAGGCTATTTCAATTGATTTGTTTGATTAGCTTTCTAGCATGGTGAAAGGAACGTTTTCGTGTCCTAAAATAAAGGACCTTGTGGTTGGGCATGTGATCCTATTTGTTATTGGTTGACCAGACTCTTGTGTGTACAAGTGTTGGCGGGCAACTACGTATGTGCCATTCGCATTTTCTCTGCTGAAATGCTGCAGTCGCTGCTACTTTTGGGGGGGGCTACAAGACTATTTATGCAGCACTGAAGTTGGGAAAGTTGTGGACTGAGGATAATGATTATTTGTAGTACTGCAAGAGGCCGAGGTAGGCGAAAGTGGGGATACTGACCACCGGCTCCGGCTCCGGGCTCGGCAAAATAAAGGATGGCAAAAGGATATAGAGTCGGGGGCCAGCGCTACAGCCGGTAGACTCAGAACTTAGAAGAACAGAGCTTTGAATTTCTATGAACATAATGCACAGTAGCCTAAATTCATTTAGTATCAAACTTAATTTGCAAAGCATGCTAGTCATGAATCTAAAAATGGAAAACTTGGTCAGTATTCATTCCCTAGAAGTATTCCTTGATTATAGATACTAAATACTAGTGCACTACAGATATGTTATATCTAAAGAACATCTATAGAATACCAACCCAAAATCTAATCTATAACAACAAGTAGGTTACACTTAATTACATAAGTTGCTTCTAGATAAAAACCTTTATTAAATAAAATACTAGAGGGGGAAGGAAGGAGGGGCTGCCTTGCTAACGTACTTCTAACAGGAAGTGTCAAGATTTATGTTTGGACAAGCTGTTATAAGCCACCTTAGTCAAGGTCTGTGGATACTCCGGCGTGAAGAGTATATTAGTTTAATAAGATGTTACTGCCGCGTCAATCACACTAGAATGATGCGTCTTGTACTTCTAGTTAAAACGACATGAGAGCCATTAAATGGGGTGCCAAATGTGGCTATGTACTTTTTATCAATAGTGTGTTTGTTCAAAGCTTCATAGGTAAGGTTTATTGACCAAATGTCGGAAGAGATAATCTAGACTTGTAGCCCAAGCACTATCATCTCACAATCTAGCTGGCTTCCACATCATCTTAGCATGTTGATAACCCCTCGTTTGACAAGCGCCAGGTAATTGATTTAAAGACAGACTGTATCATCTTACTAATTAGGCAGGTCTTTAAGGGTTATAATTATCTAATGCTGTTAGAAGGACTCTAGATGGATTGATGCATTAAGCAAATGGGTGTAAAAGGCATGAATTCCTGAAGTCTAAGTTGGCCTAGCTGGCTGGAAGGTGGCCAGTTATATAGACTTCTGTAGTGACTGACTCATGCGTGCAGATCGGTCAGAAATGCTGTTCCCACAAATGCCAAAACAATACGCCTAATAATGTCTACAATCCGTCTGCCTTGACACCTGCATTTATCATGCAGCATCCTTACTTTAAATTCCCGTAATGAGGCATAACGTAGTATTGAAGTCCAATAGTGGTTTCTTAGCCTCTTCTAAACTGAAAATTGCAACTAAGGCTTGTAAGGGCTGCTGTTAACGCACGAATCTAGTTGTCATAATGTTATGAAGCTTGCACAGCTTTGTGTGGCTGATCCTATAAACGCTATATATGGCTTACTAAAAGATGGACTTACATAGGAAAGGGTATTCCTACCTAGAAATCTTCTTGTACGTAGATCTAAAAAGGGGCCATTCACTTCTCTCTAACAAAAAACAGGCGCTGCGGTTCATGATACACAACAAGTGGTATGTTGTTGTTGCTACCTTCTTTGATTGCGGCGAGGTGTGTGGACCTCAATATATGGTTCATGCCATACTTGGCCTAAACCACCACTGCATCTTTCAAGCTCGCACTTTGTGATATATTATACAAGGACTTATACCAAAACAAGGTCATGAATATGCTGCAAATGTTCTTTGCCCTTAGCGATTCGTTCAGGATATGCGACAATAAGTATCAATATGCTGACGCTAAATGTTTGAGAAATGACACAAGCCAAATAGGCTTGCAAGCGTAGGCACAACGTACGGCAGACGTTAAGGGCGAGAAAATCACCTGAGTATGAAAGATGGCAATAGTTTTAGGGAAAATGGCCATTATTTGTCTCAGCAATAAAAACAACTATTATTCTTCCTTTGGCTTCATTGGAGACCACTAACCCTTTATTAGTAAAGTCAATTTACTATGACTAAAACTGTAACGTGTTCAAACTTGGATTCAATCGCTTCACTTGCGGCAATGATGACCTAATAAGTTTGAGAATAACTACAAAATACAAATCTGATATCCCTCTAGAATACATAGATTATGCGACGAAGCCAGGATATAAGCGCTACATACTGTCATATTTAAACGATAAGCCAAGTGGCATTACGATCAATAAATACCAGCGCCATCAAACGAATTGTGTGATGTGATGGCACAAGCCAAGTATTAATGTCCATTCACGACAAAGTAGAGACGGCTTTCTTAGTCTGCTTGTCCTCGACAGATTCGACCCCTCCCTTCTCCCAGTCCGCGTCTACAGGTCGTATGCCGACTTCAGTAGCGCTGAAAGCATCGGCAATGTTACGGTATCTTGGCATGAAATTGACGGCGAAGGCGTATGACAATGCCAGCACGAAGAATATGAGGGGAATGACCATGGCAGTACCCATACCCTTGGCATCGCCGACGACACCGAGAAGAGGAGGTACGACAGCGCCACCAGAAACACCTGGCAAAGATGTTAGCAAGATTTCTGAAAATATGACTGATCTTGTACTGCCTACCAGCGATTATGACGCCACTTCCTCTCTTAGAGTGTCTGCCAAGACCTCTCATACCCAGAGCCACAATTGTCGGGAAGCAGATGGATTCGAAAAATAGTACAATGTACAGCATAGCCATACCTATATCTCCATGCTGAGTAATGGAAGGAGCGATGAAGATGACACAGCAGGAAAGGAAGCCGAGGAAGACCCAGCGGGTTTGATGTAGTGCATGAGACCGACACCAACAAAACGGCCCACAGCAAAGGCTGCCTGAGCGCCAGCGAGGAGCTTGGAGCCAAGAGCGCTATCAGTATTGGGACGACGCTCGGTCACGTAATTGATGAAGAAACTGAGATGCCATGTTAACGCACAGTCATCTCCGCCAATTCGCAGTCTGGACTTACCCGGCAATCGCAACTTGAGCGCCAGTGTAACAGAATTGGGCAAAAGCGGCATGGAAGAGGCGGTATTGCTTCCGGAAGGGTTTATCGTCCACATTGGCGTGGGTCTCAGAAGCCTGAAAAGCCATGTCGGCATCCGTGATTTCGGGAATCCTAGCTAGCCAGAAAACGATGGCGAGAGACCAGACAAAGACAGCGATGGCAAGGTATACCCATTGTACATTCTCCAAGGCGCGCTTATCGTCAAAGGCAAAGAAGACATAGGAACCCATCACGGGAGAGACGACGGTACCGATACCGTTGAAGGCCTGGGAGATGTTGATACGGATTTCGCTGTACTTTGGAGGACCGCAGACGGTGATGTACGGGTTTGCAGCTGTCTCTAGGGAGCCAAGGCCATTGCCAATGATGAATATGGCGGCGCAGAAGCCACCAAAACTCTTGGCGATAATGCATGGGATTGCGATAAGAGCACCAAGGCCGTAGAGAAAGAGGCCAAAGACGAATGTTGCCTTGTAACCCCAATGCCTCAAGATCCAGGCAGCATGGCCAAGACTAGCGATGAGGTAGGCTCTGCGCAGTAGAAGTCAGCAAACTGAATTGCCATCTGAAGAGTCGCCAAAACTAGATTGCAAAGCTGGATCGCAGACAGAAGTTCCACGGAACAATTCTTGGAGTCACTCGGTTGGTCGTTGGCATGAAAAATGACGCCCGTTGAAGGGAAAGCCTCTCAGTCGAGCCTACACCAACCACTACACACGGTTGTTGCGATGGAGTGACATACCCGAAATAGGCGGCCTGTAAGCCGGATGATCTTGCTCGGGTAATGTGTAGCGTCTCTTGAAAATGCTTATTCAGAGTGTCGAGGAGGCCTTATGCTGAGAAGTCAGCAAACCTCTAACTTGTCTCTTTGTGATCGGGCCGGAAGTGGCGCACCGTAGGAGAAACCCCAAAGGAAGAAGAGGATGGTGACAAGGAAAATTGGAAATAGAGACTCCTTCAACGTCAGCTCAGCGGCATTTGTGCGCACGTTATCCTTATGGCGCAATGACCGTTTGTGGAAGAACTCCTTGACACCCATATCTTAGATACAATCAAGTGGCCAAAGGTATATCGGTCCTTTTGAGGCGTCTCTGGGAATGTGCACGCGTGTCGGTGGCGTATGATGAGCGCCAAGGCCTCGCGAGGAGACAGGTGCACTAGTAACCGGTGGACGGCAGCGTTAGCGCTTGAGTGGTATTGATGAGGCGCATCAAAAAACAAAAACAAAACAGATTGCTCAGGAGCAAGAGGCAGCCGGAGACGGATGAAAGCTTGTATTTGAGCGCTCGAGCCTGGCATACCCCCGGTCGTTTCGAGCCTGGTATTGCCGTGGACGGCAACGTGGGATGGACATGACCACTCTTGGCATCGCATTGTTACACGAGAAGTAATACGGATAACTTTTGGGTTGAGGTAAGCATCATGGGGAGATGAGCAGCATATCAGCTTGTTTGGGGTAACGGGCGTTTGGGGAGGCGTGCGGGGGTGGGTCATCACGCTTTGAGTCGCGGGGATCTTCATCTAGCTTCATTTGAAGTGCGGGGTGAAGGCTAGGATAGCCAGTCGAAAAGAACGAAGTGGAACTCAGGACTCAGGAGACCTTAGAAAGTGCGCCATACATGCCTGACATGCACACTTTTGATTATAATCCCTCGAATCAATGACCTGGAGGCCGGGCAGTAGATGAGTGCGCGTGGGAACTCCAAATCTTGGGAGGTGGTGATTGGATATCGACTAGCCGGTTAATTCATGGGCCCGGGGTAATGCGTCTGGGTTCGACACAAAGATGGCCCGAAGGTTGAGAGTGCCGATCCGAAATGAGACCACTCTCATTGGTGTAGAGAATCAGGAGCTGAAGGCAATCCTCCAGATCGTGCCCTGCAAGATCCGGTATAGAATTCTAACCTTAACTGCGCAGTTGATGTCACATTTGTTTTCTGCTCTGGCCTCTAAAATATTTGATGGTCGTCTGCGTGCCCTTTGCTGTCGAAAGCCTTTCATGCAAAGGGGAAATGTTGATGCTGGATTGGCACGCGGTTCGGCAGTACATATAGTTAGCCCAACGGCCCAACCCCAAACCCGGTTTTGAATCTCGAACAGCTAGGTGCCATGGCTCCTCGTGCAATTGACGCCATTCGAGAAAGGTCTCCTTCTTATTGGGATGTTGGAACTGAGCCTTTGTCACCCCACTGGCAGGTTTGACAAGTTTGTATTTCGAACCTCCAAGATCAAGAAATACTAAGATGTTAGGGCCCAAGATAACGAAAGTCAATCAGAGTCACGTGGAGTCGGGCCCCCCCCCCATGTCAGGGTAAGGACATTTCCTTGGTTCCGCCAACCAAAGTGAGGAATGTTTCGAGGAAAGGCTATGGTATTTGCTCCAAACAAAAGAAGAAAAGGCAATTTATCCCAAACATTACACCGCAGTCAACGTGTAAACGCATACGAAGTTTTTTGATCATCAAAATAACACATGCTCAAACTCTGGAGCTCCAACATTTCGGAAAAGAGGCTGAAAAAACCAGAGTGAATGAACAGCTACTGCCACCCCAAGTGCAGAAGAGAGATACAATCTGACTCTTCAATGATCACATACAGGGGGAATTAATCCAAAGACAGGAAGTCGAGGAATGTGAAAGTCGTAGCCTTCTCATTTATGTCAGGTGCCCGGAGCGGGGCCCCAGGGGGGCACTAGAGTAGGACCAGGACTAGATAAACTAGTTACTAAAGGAATAACAAAAAGGGAAAACTCTATAGAAGATAGGGGTTAAAGGAGGTATATTAAAATAATTATTATAATTAAACCCTAGCTACGCCTATTACTAACTCTTTTACTTAATACTATCTCTACCTCTAATACGTTCTAATATCTTTTTATCCTTAAGTGTATTAACTACTAAAGTAGTAATAGTGCCTACTAGATCCTAAACTATAGCCTAGTAATAAAGGAGCACTATAATAAGATAACTAACACCTAATATAACTAAGTTTATACTAGTAGATAAGTAGTATACTATTAACTTAAGTAAGCTATTAGAGGAAGAGCTAAAGGCCCTTCTAGAGGAGGAAGTAAAAAAAATAAAAAAAGTAATTAATTAAATTAAAGCCTTTTAAAATAGTATATTTATAAAAGATATATAAAAAGAGATAAAAATAACTACTAATCTTTAACTAAAGACTAAGTAACTTTATACTAATATACTTTTAAAAAAATTACTTACTTTAAAGTATAAAAAAAAAAGCTAAAATAAACTATAAAAATTCTTATTTTAGTTAGAAATATATTTTAATATAGTAAGGGATAAGTTTATAACTAATAATAATAAAATAAGATATACTAATACTATACTAAAAAGTAACTTAGTATATAAATAAAAAAAGTATATAGGTTTTTATTATAAAAGTAAAATTAGTAAAGTGCCTTAAGAAGTTATAAAAGACTAGCTAAAAGTAAATATTACTAATAATAATATATAGGCTTTTAGTACTACTATAAAGCTAAACGCTATATAATAAGCCTTAGGCTAGTTATACTAATAATTTATTAATAAGTATAAAATAGTTAAGAAGAAGTGCTTTAACCCCTAAATAAAGAGGTAGTAAGTAGTCTATATTTTAAACTAGGTGCTTTTAGACCTAAGGACTTATATACTTACTAAAAGGCTACTAGCTACTTACTAGAAGTTAGATAATATAGTAAAAAAAGTAAAAACACTTACTAAGACTTATATAAAAGAAGTATTAAGAGGATAACTAAAGTAAGGTTAGAAAAAAAAAAGCTACTAGAGGGTAGTAGTATAACTAATAACTATAAATACCTTTTTAACTAAAGCTACTAGTATATACTTAATACTAATAGCTATAATACTAATAAGTATACTTATATTAAAGCTAGGGGTTAAAAAAAAAAAAAAAGTATAACACCTTAGCTAAAAAAAACCTAAAGACTACCTACTTATTATAACTATAAGAAGCCTAAGTACTAGTTAGCTAGGTATAATAAAAAGAAGTACTATAAGTATAAATAACTATAATACTTAAGGAGATAGTATACCTTAGTGCTAATAAAAGTTAATAGTATTAAGCTCTTTTAAGATAAAAGACTATACTACTACTTTAAAGTAGATTTTTATATTAAAATAAGTAGTATATAGAAAAAAAGGAGAGCACTAATTAATCCTAGTGTAAATAAGAACATACTATACTAGAGGATATTATATATAAAGGTACTAGTAGAGGTAAGCTAGAGGGGCCTAACGCTTTAAGGTATATAAAGAAGTAAGGCCTTAGACTATAAAATAAAAAAGGTAGTAATAAAAGTTATAAATAATATAAGGGTCTTAAGGACGTAAAGCTATACCTTTTAAGTTAGTAATATAGCTAAGTATAACGTTATCTTAAGGATCCCTTAAGAATAAGTAGTATAACTAAATATAAAGTAGATAATAATTAGTTAGATATACTTACTAAGAAAAGACTACCTCTAGCTTATCTAAAGTAAGTAAGAAATTAAAAAGGTATATAAAAAGTTAAAGGCTATTCTAGCCTATTAACTAATAATCTACTACCTATAATATAAGGGGGATAAAGAAGCACTAAAGATACCTTATTATAACTAAAAAGAAAAAGTAAAAGCTAAATAAGATAAAGGAATAAAGGCTACCTTACTAGAGGCCTATAAAGAATAAGTATATATATTTAATATAGGCCTAGTAGTCTAGCTAGTAGGTAATAAGGGCTACTTATATATAATTAATTTAAAGCTAGAGGTAAAAGTACTATTTAGCCTTATCTACTTATTAGCTAAGAAAGAACTAAAGGAATTAAGGATATATATTAATAAGTTACTTAAGAAAGGCTAAATTAAACACTTTATAAGCCTAGTAGGGGCACTAATCCTCTTTATTCTTAAGAAAAAAGGTAAGCTATATCTTTATATAGACTATAGGGGGCTTAATAAAGTAACTATTAAGAATTACATACTACTACCTTTTATTAGTAAGATCTTTAACTATTTAGTAAAAGTAAAGTAGTATATAAAGCTAAACCTAAAGGATATATATTACTAAGTAAAAATTAAGGTAGGTAATAAATAAAAAATAGCTTTTTATACTTACTATAGACACTTTAAATATTATATTATACTATTTAAGCTAGTTAATATACTAGTAACATTTTAGGCGTATATTAATAATACTTTTACTAAGCTAGTAGATATTATATATATTATTTACTTAGATAATATCTTAATCTTTATAAAAAATAAAGAAAGTTATATAGAAGTAGTTAAGTAAGTACTAAGCTAGTTAGACGTTATAAGGCTATATATAAACCTTAAGAAGTATGTTTTTTACACTTAGTCTATTAGGTTCCTAGGTTTTATAGTGTCTAATAAAGGGATTACTATAAAGTATAAGTAAGTATAGGTAATAATAAAGTAGTAACTTCTTACTAGTATTAAGGAGATTTAGGTTTTCCTAAGGTTTATAAGATTCTACTAGTAATTTATTAAAAACTACTTTAAAGTATATATATCTTTAATAGACAGGCTAATATTTAAGGTAGTAAGGAAGTAAGTAATAATATAAAAAGTAAAAAAGGCTTTTTATAAGCTTTACGCCTTATTTACCTAGGCCTTAATCCTTTAGTATTTTAACCTTAAGTTACTTATATAGGTTAAGATAAATATATCTAACTTTATAATTAGTATAGTAATATACTAGCTTTATAAGGGAGTATAGCACCTAGTAGCCTTTATATTATAAAAGCTATAAGGAGTAAAACTTTATTATAAGGCACTAAAAGTAAAGCTACTTATAATCTATAAGGTAGTAATTTACTAAAGACACTACTTACTATATATATAATATTAAATAGTATTCTTAATAGACTATTTAAGGCACTACTACCTAGCTACTAAGCCCTAACTTAATAGTTACTAGGCCTAGCTACTATAAGATCTATTATTATTTAACTTTAAGATTAAGTACTAGCTTAAAAAGGATAATATAGTAGATAAGCTCTTATAATAGCTAGACT